TGTGCAGCAGTGCCATTCAGTATCTCCACCCTCTGCATGGAGACACTGAACTTTCCTCATAGAGATGCAATGATTCAATGTATCTCTATGAGAAGATGCTGATTGGCCAGGGCTGTGTTTGACTTGTGCTGGCTCTGCCCCTGATCTGCCTCCTTGACAGTCTCAGCCAATACTACGGGGAAGCATTGTGATTGGCTCACAGAATCACTTCTAATGTCAGGCAAGCAGGGAGATCAGGAGCAAAGGCAGCAGCTGCAGACTTGAATTCATGTAAGATTTTAAATTTTTTAGGGAGGGCAAAAGTAGGGGGAGGGGGGGTAAATGGTGGTTTTAACACTATAGGCTCAGGAATACATGTTTGTGTTCCTGATCCCAATAGTGTTCCTTTAATTGTGTTTTTTCAAGAATTACAAAAAATAATAATTGGGAGATTCTTAATAGACGGAACACATCTAATTAAAAAAACAATGCTATTGCCTTTTAATAAGTGTTCACTTAAGTGATATATTCATTCAGAGAAAACTTTGTAGACATCTGCTGAGCATGCTGACTCCATCTCCAAGCTACGCACTTATACAATGCTGTTTCTGTAAACACGTTAATGCTCTCTGGATGCAGGGAGTGCTCTGCATTCTAAACATTTCATAAAAGAAGATAAATGTATCTAGTAATGTGATTCGCCCACCCATATAGGTATTTACAAGGACAGAAACAAACAGAATACAGAACAAGGAAATGTCCATTTTTTTTATCTGTGTTTCAAAGAAAATATTTTAACAGCAGTCGTCCTCTCACCTTCAACCTATACAATTTGGCTGTACACAGTCATTTAGAGATGTTAATAAGACATATGTCTTTTATTGAGACAAATATGGTTTTTAGACATAATGGCAAATTTGAACTTATGTGACTCAAGGGAAGACAAACTGTTACTATAGCAGGGTTTATGTTGTTGTGTTCAAAATCTGGGAACAAGCCAAATTACTTTATGACAGTGGCCATGCAACTTCAGCTGTAATTAGTTTAGAACAGTCTGGAGCAACGCAAGGCTCCTTCATCGAGATGCACAAACAATAGCGATCATACAAAATTGTGTTCAATAACAGGCATGTGTTAACAAATGTGGATACTGATTTATCTTTTGCATTTGGGGGGTAGCAAAACAATTTCTTGCAACAGGGCCCCCTCTATATTAATTGCATCACTGGGTGGTTTGGGGTGGAGGGCGTGATTGAATGCCAGGGAGTGGGCGGGCAGGATCCAGTGGGCCCAAGCAAATGCTTGCCCAGAGTCAAATCAGTATTAAACACAGCCCTCCAAAGACCCACAGGAAAGTACCGACTAATTGGATCAAAATGGCTAAACCAAGGCCAAAATAGTCAAGGCTATGGCTGAGTTGGAGAATTTTATCAGGTAAGCTATTTTTGCCTCAATTTTTCAATTCAGAGTTCATCTGCGAGTTTAGTGAATAATCCTGTTTGGGTTTTTGGACATCCTCCTACTTGTACAGATTTCCGTTGATCCATTAAGAAAAAGAAAAAAAAAATCCTCAGTTCTCCCATCTGTACCTATTTTGATTTAGTGATTTACAAATGAAAGTTTACCCCAGCCATCATATCAACACATATACAATTTGATTAAAAATGCTTTAATGCTATTCTTGCGCAAAACCAAAAAGAAATGTCATCATCAGGACAATTCTACTGCACAATTCACCTGTAACTAATTTCTAGGATTTGTTTTTTAAATTCTCATTTCATTAAAGTAAAAGCTCGTTATACAAATCATTTCGTTATACAAATCAAAAGTTATAGTAGAATTGTACAAAATAATGTTTAGGTGGTGACCAGACACAACATCCGCATTGCTTCTGTAGAAAAAAATGGAAAATGTATACGTTATTCATTGTTTGGGAGATATCTGGTATCTTTATTTTTATAGGGACACCATTGTCACCAGAACAGCTTAATGTAGTTATTCTGGTGTCTACTGCCTGTCCCTGCAGGCATTTTAATATAAACACTGCTTTTTCATAGAAAAGGTAGTGTTTACATTGCTGCTTAGTAACATCTCTAGTGGCCGTCACTCAGATGACCACTAGAGGTGCATCCTAGCCCAGTGCTGTACAGTGTGCAGCACTGATGTTCAGTGTCTTCACAATCTGCATGGAGACACTGAACATACCCCATAGATTGATTCCATGCGAAATAGCCTCCCAATGCTTTCCTATGGTAAATTGGCTGAGTTAGTCAACCATGGAAGCAGATCTGATGCAGAGCCAGCAGCGGCGGACCCGCACAGCACTGGAACTCACCTTTTACATAGGTTACAAGGGAAGACAAGGGGGCTAGATAGTAATATTACAGCTATAGTGTTCCTTTATGTCAAGAAAGGTTATTTCAGACAAGTGGATAGGGATACATATCCCTATCTGTATTTCTTCATATGTTTTAACAGCTATTAGTGTTGGTTTAAATTTTTGCCCTTTGTGCTTTCCCTACTTTTCTTGATCATAAACGCAGGAGCATTGGCATAAAAGGACTTTCGGATTTAGCGTGCATGCGCAAACTATATAACCACGCCATCAAGAAGAGCGACTTCCAAGCGGGACGCTACGGAAAAACGTCACATCGTTTGAAAGTGGAACGCACGCCGCATTTGCACCACATGAACTGGGATGACCTGTCTTTTTAAACCAGACTCTGCATACATTTTATATATCCCTTAAGAAGTCCTATTAGGGCGAAATGAGTAGGATTTCTATTTATTTTATGGCTGTTTTGAATTAGCATGGTTTTTTGTTTTTAGCAGTCTTTTATTTTACCCAACTACTTCCCTCTTCGGAGTCTGATCTAATTGGATTTTACCACCTAGAGTGGAAACATGCCTGCTTTGCATTTGTGTATGCAAGTGCAATATAATACATATTTGTATTGATTTATAGACATGCTTCACTATTGTGACTATTTTTTAAAATTTCTCCACATTAACAAGAGGATCTTTCACACACTACCCCTAGAAAGTAAAGAGTCTGAATCGCCCTTTTGGTTTGTGAGTGCGCTACTTTCCTACTTTTAATTTATTCTTTTTTTTACTGTATAACACTATGTGCGATGTGTTTATATATTTTATAGATTGACTTTATTTTTCTACTGGATTTGCATATACCCACATTCCCTCTTTCAGGTTATATATATTAATTTTACATATGTGTTTTTGTTTTTTCCTCTATATATGTTGAAATTTTGCTACAATTTACTTACACCATATTAGTTATGTTATATAAGTCAAAACTTAATTTAACAACTGCCACGTATGGAGGGGAGTGTTCTGTCCGACATTTTTAGATGGGGCATCGAGTTAAGCTTGGACATGATTGTCACAATTACTTGTATCCTTTTTGTTATAAAGGTTTTAGCAATGCTCTCTAATTACTATGTACACGGTAAGGCCAGAATTTTAGACTGCAAAACCCTATCATTTTGTAAAGGCTCCTGGAAGTCATTCAGTTGTACAAGAGATGAGACAGCTGGACTGAATGTGATGTTTTTTTTTAGCTTGTTAGAGAGCAGACAAATACTGGGTATTGTCACAACTCGGATCATGTGATGTATTCAATTAAACAGCGCATATCTGGTGAGTTTATAAAATTAATAGAATCAGTTTGCCCTCTTGTACACTACTGGCTCTTGGCATTACATAGCTTTTTGGATTGAGTAGATATCAAAGAAGCCAAAAAAATGACGCGTTAGTAAAAAATGTTTATTTTAAGTACATTCATCACAGTAAAATAATATTTTGTTATAACAGGCAGTAGATTTCGTAAATGTGAAATGTTACATGCTGACAAGATAAAGAGGTATGAATTATCTCTAAACCAGCAGTATAGTTTCATCCTTGGGGAGTAAAATAGGCATAACTACTGCAGCATCCATGTAAGATTATTTATTTTAAAGAATGTTTTATTATAAATGTAGGTCAAGTTTCCAGAAAATTAGTCACAGTTACATGAATTAATTGGTTGTTTCTCGAGATTGTTGGTACCAGGAATGAGCCACTAAATGGAAGGTTATATATTCCCTGTTTTGGCTCAAGCATGGTATATAACACTTTTATACCTATAACATCCAAACATTACAGAAGGCAACTTTTGCTAATGGGGGTTACAGCATTTTTCCAGTAAAGATGCTTTTATTATTAAACAACATATTATTGCATTCCCATCCTTTAAAACATTCAAACACTAGAATACATACCGAGGTTAATTGCCTAATTCGTAATGCACTGAGAACCAGACTGCAAGGCAGAAGAAAAGCTGGATTTTCCCACTTGACTATTGTGGCCTAAATTCTGTAATTTGAATGTTTAATTACTACAGTTCAGTATTCATAAAACCTTATGAATGGAGTCTTCACAGGTTTGCCATTTAATGGTATTTTGTAGTCCTCACTAAGATTTAAAGGAACACTCCAAGCATCATCACCACTATAGCAAACCTCCTAACGTCCCAATTACAGCAGAACATTCTGGATTTACAAACCGATCACAACTGTCCCTGTTTTTTGCTTTTGGGGACAGCAGGGAAATGTCCCCAAAAAGTGTAGTGCGTTTCATGCTAAGTGTGTGGGCTGACCTGTGTGACCTGTGTGCCTGTCATGTATTCACACCACATCTGGCGGATTTTTTCCCCATTCTTCTGGCAGATCCATCCCCCCACCCAAGCGATTCATGTCACTCCCGTGCCGGCTTCCTGATTCAAGGGACGCCGATGTTAGGCACTGTAGCGGTTATAGTGACAAGAATGCCTTGGCACCCCCCAATGTAAGTGATCTGCTTTAAAATTAAGTTCTTACCTGGGTCCACCAAGCACCACTCACTGCCTCAGGTACTGATGATGGAGAGCTCTTCTGAGCTCTTCTGAACTAATCATTGTAGTACAGAGCTCAACTCATTGGCTGAGAACATAAACTGATCACTCTCATTGAGTGAGCTAAGCCCTGCACCACTGGGGATTGTTCAGACAGAGAGCTTCTGGTGTGTGAAAAACCACAAAAAAAATTTGCAACGTTTTAGCTCTAAATCTGTAATTCACTCATTGCAGTGTTTGTTTTATAACATTTATAAGTTAATTGAATTCCTAGACATATTGGGCAATCAGGAAAAATTTGTAAATCTATTTTGAGTCAGATATACATGAAAATACTTTTTGCCTTCTTAACAGGCATCATGACAGCCTCAACTATTACTTCCTATATGAGACCAAATTGGGTTTCGTGTTTCTGTAGTGCTAAGTAAATATTGCATTAAATGCTTTATATTTCACATCTCAAAATATTGTAGACTTGTTGCACCAACAAAAGGACAGTTTGACATGTCAATTAAAATATGCCACCATTATGCTTCTCTCAGGTTCAATTGCATGATAGCACAAGCCAAAGTATGGACGTTTCAATAATTTGTGAAAATATTTATAATATATGAGAACATTTGAACAAAATATTGTCCATTAGAAATGGGAGTGCATGTACTGCCAAAAAACAGAAGTAATGCGGTATCATGGTACATGAGGCAAGTGGAAATACAAAGAACAAAGGCTGCGCCAAGTGCACATATACAATTGACAATTTGTATAACAGTCCTGAAGATAGTCCTTTAAATATAAGGTAATACCTCTATTTTTTTTTAGGTAGATGTTATGTGGGTTGGTATTCTTCATAAATGGGGCCATCTCCTTGGTTCCTTTCAGATGTATGTGAAAGACAAAAATAAAAGGAAATCCAATGGTACAGTATGTCAGGCAGGATAAGTACAATGAAATATGTAATTGCTTTTGTATGACACAGCCATGTTACAATGCTGCCGCCCTCCCCATGTGATACCTATTACAGGTTAATAAGTATGTAAGGGTATAAAAAAAAAAAATACCCCTCTCTGTCTCATTGGAGATTTTGCCTTTTGGCTAAAACAGCATGGTGAATTGTTAGTGTAGGACTCACCAAAGAGGTTTTGCCTTGACGTGGCAATTGAGCTTACACTTTAATGGCCATTGGAGTATGCTAAAAATCCTCCAATTATTTAAATGTGCATAGGGAATTGGAATACTGTGCAAGTAACTTTTTTCCTTGGTTTTTATTGTATATACTGGGGCTGATATTTACTATACTCATAGCCGCCTAAGAGTAGTGGGAGTTTGAGAGCAGGGCTTAATTTGTAAGTTTGTATTGCTGACAGTTAGTTGGCCTAATGCTTTCGCTGCACTGTGCATGGAGTGAAGCAAGGAAGACCATAGACATGAGGTATATGTATATGGCTTAAGGATCCTGTCATATAATTACGGTAGGGATGAGATTTTTTTACATATCCTTCAATTAACACAGAATCTATTTCCTTTCAAAACTTGATGAAAGGATTATTACATTAAAAACATTGTGTTGAGGTGACATCAGTTGTCCTCAGGATTAGTGGTGTTGGTGCTTAGTAGAATGCCAGCCACAAGACAGGAGGTAGAATGGGTTTATTATATATGTCATGATTACGTATTTTTAATGGCAGGTCTAAGGTTAACATTCCCTGGGACAGCAACACCATACACACATTTCAGTCTGCCTAATATTGGTGCGAGTTCCATTTCCAGGCATTATCTTTTGACCCATTTGTGCTGTTTTTTGTTACCTCAGTTCCTTTACTGCAATATCATTATCAGGATCTGTGAGCATAACCTCCACTAATAATGGGCATAGAGAGACCAGAACATGTTGCGGCATGTGATATCTAGATCTACATCTATATATATATATACACATCTCTGCAGCTCACAGGGTTTAATTGAGCAATATTGATAGAAAATACACAAAAAAACTTACTCATTCCAAGCATTTATCTCTGTTGGTAAATACATCAAGATTTGCCCTCGATGCCAAATAGAATCTGAAATATATGTTCACTCTTACGTTGTTTGAGGTATTCAAAAAACTGTCCCAAGTCCATATGGTAGTCATTGCGGAGCCCGTAATCCCCATGTGCGGCAAACTGTAACTCCTCAAATGAGTTAAACAGTCTTACGGCATCGAGGTTGCCAGTTACTTGTTTACTGTCCGTGTGTTTGCATGAGATATGTTTCCAGTTTGGGTACCGTATGTCACGCCAGAACTCTTCGCATTGACCTTTAAGTCCTTCAATACATATCACCCCAGGCTTCCCGGTCAAACAAAATCCAGTTAAGTTTAGACGCTTAGCACAGTCTAAGATCTTTTTTCTTAACTCTTGGCGATATATGTGGTGGCTGTAAATCCACATTCTGTGGAAGGTGTCTGTAATCTCATCCACACACGACTCAGCTTCCTCACTGGGCTTTGCGCTCTGCACATAAGAGGAGATGTTGTCTTGCAACCACTGCGCAGCATTAGTGATGCAGAGCTCTCCTCGATCAAGTGACATGATATAGGATTCCAAGGATTTGTTCAGAATGTTTTGTTGCTGTCTGTCCAGTGCACTGGATCTCACAAATAGCTGGGGTTCAGCTTTGGGGTAGTTATGAGGAAGTGACACGTGCATCTGTAACTTAATCTGAAAAAGATGTATTGAGAATATTAAAAGTCTGTATGTCTGAGTCTAGCTGGCAAAATGACAACAGTTTTAAATGGTGTAAGAGGAGTTGCTTAACTTTTGAACGTGGTTATTTTATAATGAGCAAATATCAGAACAGGTGTCATATTAAGGCACACATTACAAAGGCTCTAGCTGTAGTCTCTGGGGCACCACTTCCAAATTGTTTAACAAAAACCTGTGACAGCACCCACAGACACAACATTGAACTGTAATGGTTATTGTGACCCTTTCATTAAAATCTAGACGGAGCTGTGATCTAAGGAAACAGATCACGGATGACAATCACTATTTTGACACTATAGGTTCTGTTCTGTCCACCCCTTCTGATTAATACAATTAAGTTAAATAAAGCTTATTTAGTAAAAGCTCATATAGAAGCAATGGTTTGGAAGTTGGCATGTGTAGCCAAACATCACGCTCCTTTAACAACATACTGCATACCATGAAGAATGCAGCTTCAATAGGTGCTATATGAATGCATTTCACGGGAAGTAGAGGAAAACAGAAATATCTTCCTTGAATTGGTTTAATAGAACTTGAAGAATTGCAAAAAAAATTATAATATTTAGTTAATGACAAATCAGAAACAAAAAAACACACAAAAAAAACTGTCCTGTAGAGATATAAAATAGATATAATATAAATAAAAGGATAATAAGTAATAATAATAATACTTACAGATGAAGCCTCTGTTTTGAGATATAGTGAGAAATCAAGGCGTGGTGGAAGTGACTCACAAATCCCTTCTAAATACCTCTGTACACGTAAAACAGAACTGGTATCTTCCAGAACAATCTCCTCTTTGTTGGGGAACATTGAGAAAAGCATTTCCATCTCCAGAAGCTGTAGCTCCAGACATTCGCGTTCTGTGGCGTTCATTGTTTCACACGTAAATACAGACAATTCCCAACAAATGGTCTAATGGTTCCTGGTCTGCGGAGAAAATTTGGGATATGTTTGCATTCTGTATGAATGTAGAAAGCAAGGTGTGTGGACTCAGAGAAACACATGTAAGTAAAGGCAGACTCAATGTAAGTTTAAATGGACCCTGTATGCAGAGCACACACAGAATCTTTACACACCTTTAATATTCCTCCTATTGCTGCCCCGTTCCTCAAATAAGTAACTGAAGCCTTTCAGCCATTCTTAGTTTTTAATCAGCTAATAGTACCTTGCAAAAAAGCTCCATACCCAAATATTTCCATAAAGCAACTGAGTGAGGGAAAGAAGAACATGGAAACTATTGAATGAAATTGTACTCCGAATCTCCATTTTTATTGCAAACTGTTCTTTGAGTACCACTATGGGACCTAGTATGTAGCTTTGTGAAATGTACAGTTTGTCCTTAACCAGCTCCTGCAGTAACTGTGAGGACATGCTGGGATGGACACACCTCCAGATTTCCTCTCTCTCTCCCGTTCATATATGGGCTTCAGCAGGGATTTGTCTATCAGCAAAATGAATTGGACACACATGGTGTGAGTTGTGAACAGTAAATATTTTCTGATTAAGAGACGGAGACTGTTGTAAGCCAGCTATCATCAGACATGACAACAAGCCTATTACTGGAGGACTGGGAATGGTTTAATATTTGAGGAAGGAGTTGCATGGTAAAATGGTGGGAAAATCAGTGGCATCTCTACGATTCATTCATGGTGGGCCAGGGACTAAAGTAGGGGGGCAAATTTAACCCCACCCTCACCACAGTTTGACCCCGCCCCTGCCGCATGTTAAGCCCCGCCCCCGACACAATGTGTTTTGTTTTTTTAATAATCCCTGGTGGAGAATTCATTATTTTCCACCAAGGATTATTAAAAAACAAACACATTTCCCTTGATACAGTCCTTACACACAGACTGCTGACCATACACACACACTGCTGAGTCCATACAAACACAGACACATAGACTGCTGAGTCCACACACACACAGACTGCTGAGTCCACACACACACACACACACACACAAACACAAACACACAGACTTCTGAGTCACACACACACAAAGACTGCTGATACCATACACACAGACAGACTGCTGAGTCCATACACACATACAGACTGCTGAGTCCATACACACACAGTGCTGAGTCCATACACACACACTGCTGAGTTCATACACACATACAGACTCCTGAGTCGATACACACATACAGACTGCTGAGTCCATACACACACAATGCTGAGTCCATACACACATACAGACTGCTGAGTCCATACACACAGACAGAATGCTGAGTCCATACACACACAGTGCTGAGTCCACACAAACACACACACACACACACAGACTGCTGAGTCCACACACACACACACACAGACTTCTGAGTCCACAAACACCTACCACCTCGTTATCCCCCCTCCTCGAAGAAACCAGCCTGTATAACAAAATCTCCAATTTTCAAGTCAACTTTACAAAAAGCGAAATATTACCACTCCAAGTTACTCCCCCCTCAAGCACATATCTGCAGGCCACATTCCCATTCAAATGGGCAGATAAATCCATTACGTACCTAGGAATTCGCCTATCGGCGGACCTATCCTCCATATACGTCCTGAACTATGACCCACTGCTCCAAGACATCTCGAAGGACCTACAAGCCTGGCATAAACCGCAGCTCTCTTGGCTCTGTAGAATCAATATTCTTAAAATGAACTCCCTCCCTAAGATACTCTACCTCTTCCAAACCCTGCCCATAGCTATACCCAAATCCTTCTTCAATAAGCTCAGGCAGCTTTTCACCACCTTTATCTGGGCACAGAAACAACCTAGAATCCCATATGAGGTCCTCACCAGACATAGGTCCTGCGGAGGACTAGGACTCCCACACATAGAACGATATTATAAGGCAGTCATTCTTACCAGAATATACGACTGGACGGAACACCCATCGACGCGACAATGGCCCTCGAAACCGCGGTAAGCCTAGTACCTCTCTACACGCTCCCATGGCAGAGAAGTGCCCCCTCCAAACTGCTTTCAGGCAGCGATGCCCATCCCACCATCTCCCCCACATTTAAGACGTGGACAAACATGCGAGAGGCTTGTAATATTTCCCCCCACCCATCCCCCCTATTTCCCATCATGTACAACCCACTCTTCCCCCCAGGAATGCAACCAGGGGCATACCAACGATACAACAACATGCTTGACACTCCCTACCTGACACTAGGCTCAGTTGTCGAAAGGGACTCTATACGGACACTGGTTAGTCTTGTGGGCCCCGAGGCTCCGCACGCACTACAAGCGTTTCGCTACGCACATATGACCCATTTTCTAAGAGCCAACACAATCTTACTCAAGGGCCCCCGCACCCTATCCAATTTTGAGACACAATGCCTGACCCATAACGTCAAAACGAAACAGTTATCGACCTTCTACAAAACCATGCAGGCAGACCATGACACCCAGCTACCCCCCTTCACAGACACCTGGTCAACAGACCTGAATATACAGATCACGACGCCACAATGGCGGACTGCCCTATCACAAATACACAAGGCATCCATATGCACTAAGATACAAAAAGGGGGATACAAGAGAATATCCAGGTGGCACTACTCCCTGGCCAAAATTAACAACATCTTCCCAGGCACACCAGATGTCTGCTGGAAATGTTCCCAGCCACAGGCGTCCCTTGCTCACATCTGGTGGCACTGCCCGCTCACGCAAAAGTACTGGACTAACATTGTCAAAATGATCAATATGGTAATGGGGTCTCAACTACAGGATACCCCACACACTCTGCTGTTCCTGATCCTACCTACCTCAACCCCTAAGACACAGAAAGCCCTTCTGACACATCTCCTGACTGCAGCCAACTTGCTCATCCCAGTAAAATGGAAAAATCCTGAACTCCCCACAATCAGGGAATGGGTAACTAAAGTAGAATCAATCAAAACCATGGAAGAGATCAATGCCTCCATCTCTTATAGATACACACTTTTCAGGGACACGTGGGACCCATTGGTGAGATTCTTAGCAGAGGACTCTGTTTGATTCCTCAAAGTTCACACCCTCTCACACGGAGATTCCACACCGAAAAGGCCTCCTGGAACAGGAGTAAGCACCGATATCTAACGCACACAACCACCCGTAACGACCAGGCTGCACGGCCTACATTACTACACAGACCACTGTCAACACAGCTGTGTGCTACATATACCGGCACGGGACTAACACCCTGGGTGACCATCACCGGGCTAGAAATGACACATACGCAAACAGGTAGATAGGGGAGGACAACTTACAACACCAAACCATATAGTGACACTATACTGCTTAAAAATCACAGCGAAAAACAAGAACACCCTCCCTGAGTCAAGGACAGGTCCAAGTTAAAGATAAGGTCCAGTCTTAGTCTATACCGTGGTGCAAGTCTTAATTTGTTGTCTCAACTTCTAGAGCTATGTTAACAAATGTATGTTTCCTGCCAAGTTCTACCTACTCAATACTGTATATACTCTAAATTGTACCTATTTGAAAATGTATTATACTAACAAAATGTCAGTTGTCACTCTGGATGTAAATGTGTACATCCCCCCACCTCCCCTTCCTTTTCCTCTTTTGTACCCTCTTGATCTGATTGTGACCATTCTTGAAAACCCAATAAAAGCTTTATAAACAAACAAAAAAAAAGACTTCTGAGTCCATACACACACACAGACATCTGAGTTCATACACACAGACTGCTGAGTTCATACACACACACACACACACACACACACACACACACACACACAAAGACTGCTGAGTCCATACACACATACAGACTGCTGAGTCCATACACACACAGTGCTGAGTCCATACACACACACACACACACCTGAGCATATCAAGCCTACCTGTTGCTGGGGGTCAGACAGCCATCTTCTTGCCTTTCCAGCAGTAGCATGGTCTGCTGCTTAACGGTGGGGCTTATGTGCGGGAGGCGGGGCTTCGTTTGGGGACGGGGCCCTGCGGGGGAGCCTGTCAGTGCTCCCTCCGGCCACAGACAGCTCCCAGCACCGTTCCAGCTGAGCTCCTCTGCCCTGCATTCCCTCCCCCGTGTTGTCACACACTCACACACTGTTACAGCCCGAGGGAATAGAATGTAAGAACAAGTTGCTGGCATTTGGGGGGCCCAAGGGGTGGCACAGCATGATGTAGGGGGGGGGGCCATGGCCCCCTCTGGCACCCCTCAGTGACGCCACTGGGGAAAATGCTGATTATATAAGTCCCTATTGTGGGTACACCTCTGTGACTGCTGCTCGAAGGTAAAGAAGGACCTACCCAAGCCATTCCTTCTCTATTTTGTATTGTTATTGTAATGGTGTTTGTGGGAATTAAAGGGGAAAGTCATCCTTCTGGTTAATAAGAGAGGATGGAACACTGTATTCTGTAAATAAACTGTATTTTTAGTAATTGTGTTAATTTGACAATTCATATATATTGCAACCTCTTTAAATTAATACGTTATAAAACAAATAATTTACTGACCTTTATCCCAGCGCTGACAAGAGCCCCCTCACAGCCTCCCACACTGCCCTCTACGGCGTCAAGTGTGATGATATTGGTCCAATCCAATGCTTCTCTTAAAGAAGCATTATTGACCTATAGTGCACGCGTGGCAACCTGTCAATCAAATGCTTCTAATACCAAAGCATTGAACACAATGTTTCTCTATGAGAAACAGTAAGCATTACTGTCAGGATATACTAATATGCCCAACATGCAGAACTTAAGTAAAAAGTAAAGAAAACCCTAAGACGTATTACCGGGCCTTAGAACGGCCGGATTTAGCGTATAAAAGGAAAAAACACAAGACAGGCTTAGGACAAGAACACAGAAAACACAAAAGCGTTGGGCAAGGAATACAGAAGTCAGAATAGTCAGGAGCCAAGCCAAAGGTCAAGGGATACAGAGATCGGAATGTCAATAGGAAAGCCAAGGTCAAAATACACAAGAAACAGTACCAGAAACACGCTCTCGGATAACCAGAATGGAAACCACGACAGGGCACAGGAATATGGTTTAAATAGCTTAAGGTGCACATTGATTGCAGGGGAGCATATGACAGTCACACACGTTTCCAAAGTGTAGGCACTCATAGGGTTAAGCAAGAACCTTAAAAGGTTCTTACTTGCAGCGACTGGCGTCTCTAATGATTTAAGACCCGGCCACTGTGAGAAGGGAGGAGTGCCTGTCAGTGGACAGCAGGCATCGCAGGAGGAGGTAAGTAATTGGGGGCATTCCCATTAACATGTGGGAATGCCGCCACAACGAGATGCGCCCACTGAGTCCCAGTCCGCTCTCGGGCATAAGTGGACGCAGCAGGTGCCTGCAGAACGGCTGAGTAGTCAGCAGCTTTCCCTTTGCGATGTGGGAATGCTGCCGCAATGATACGCACCTGCCGGGACCCATACCGCTCTCAGGCAGGAGCGGACCTGACGGGCATCGTGACAATTACCCTGTGTATGTGTGCTGGTGCCATAGTGTGGGCCGTTAAAAGACCCAGGAATTACCATTCCCATAATCAGAGGACTTGGAGGCATGGTTAGAAGCCATGATTTCAAGTCATAAAACACATGAAACAAAAAGAAGTGGAGAACAGGACAAAGGAGACATATTTATGACACTAAAACAACTTCAACATCAAGCTGTTATAGTGCCTACAATGTTCCTTTAATGGAAATTATAGTTAAGTTACTTACGACTGACTGGCATTTAGTCATGTTAAAAGGTTAATAATGAATGTGCTATATGTAGTTAATGTTGTTACTGCCTTTAAAATAAAAAAAATGTTAAGCCTTTTAAAATACATTTTAATAAACACCAAGGCTTGGCCTAGGTAAACATAGGTAAACCTATTATTGTACTATTAAACTATTTATATGTTTCATTTGATAATCATACTCCCACTCAACCCTAAATTGAGAAGCATAAATTAAATAGTAACAACTTTTTTCCCTCTTCACACCTCACACTCAGATAACCCAATTCTCTTCCTTTTCATTAACTGCATCATATAATGCTTATAAATCTTATTTATTGTAGACATAATTTGCTTTCAATTTATACTGTGTATAAAATACACGTTACCATTCATTTTTGGTAATTATACCCCACTACACTTAGAATGTAAGCTCATTTGTGCAGGGCCCTCAGCACCTTCTGTTCCTGTAATTCCAACTTCTCTTACCACAATAACCTGTTTATTTGTCCACCAAAAATTCAGTTTCTTCAGCCTAATAGATGGCAGCATGTAGGGGATGGCTGGTAAAAAATAGGGACATGTATGGAAATAATACATGTCAATACAATACAATACGTTTAAATATATCCAACTTTCACACCAAAGCTCTGTTTCTAAGTTTCTCTATGGAAATGTCTATTCCATGTGGAGAGTGTTCTATGTTAGTCTAACTAATTAGATATAGACACATGGATCCAAGTAAAGGCTATTTTCATGTAACTTTTACCCGGCTCCATATTTTTTTTTTTAATGCTGGTACTGGACACTGGGCATTGTAACAATGACATATTAAAGATAAATAGTCAAGTAGCAGTGTAAACACTTACTGACTGTATTCACATCTTTGTGCTAAAGGCCAAGTATAACACTTGTTTCTCAGATCCAAAGTGCATCTGACTATACTTTTTATAGAAGTTGTTTGAATTTGACAGAGCTATGTCTAATAGCGTGCAGGGTCCAGCAGGGAATATTTAGCCCTCATTAAAGAAGGCGTGATTGGCCCCATGTCCCAGCAGGTTCAAGGAATTACTTTTCTGGTTCGAGTCCAGAGTTCTTCTAATCTCAGTAAATAGGTTATAACATCAAGTGGTTGATCATTACTGAAAATGTTGACAGTGGTGCTGTTCACAAAATTATAATTTTTTTTATATGTTAAGAATCCAAATTCTAACCAAGAATTGAATGTATGAAGTATTAGGTTTCCTCACAATCAAAACTTAAACTCTTTGGTGACACCCAGGGGATTTTTCATATAATGCAGTTCAGAGAACATACGGTCTGATTTCCTGTTTAATGAACACTATAGGCATGTTTATATTTGCCATGTGCCCCCCTGTTTCAACCCTGCAGCTAAAAACATTGACACTAGAGGTGTAATATCAAAGAAAAACTCAGCTATTTTAGTCAGACTGTCTTAAAGGGACTATCTGATTGGCACAGATTGGTGTTATGCCCTTCAAGTGCGCTAGTTTCCCAATGCTTTCATATGGGAAAGCACTGGATTGGCTGAGATCATTGGATGTTGGTCCCGAAGTGTCGAATTTCCGAAGTTGACGAAGTTCTGAAGTGTCAAAGTGCCGAAGCACAGTATTGCCTAAGTACTAATATACTTACCCAACGAAAGAAGAAGAATGTTACATTGTATACAATTTTAAATAAAAAGTATACAAACATAGCCAGGATTCAGCTGTAAGCATTTGAAACACTTACAACAATCAAGTAACACACATTCATATAAATACAGAAAATCTTATCATACTTACCGTAATTTTCTTTTCCTGGCTATTATTCATGGCAGCATCACTTATGGGTTAGCTCCATCCCAATCAGGTACAGGACAAGAAAAATCAATTAATCTGGACCCGACTGGGGTATAAAAGGTCCCTCTTCCTTCCATCCCACAGTTGAGTTCCAAAGCTTCATAAAATCTTAAGGGAGGGTTGCTGATGCTGCCATGAATAATAGCCAGGAAAAGAAAATTACGGTAAGTATGATAACATTTTCTGTATTCCTGGCTAATCATGGCAGCATCACTGATGGGTAATACCAAAGCTTCACCATAGGGTGGGAAACCTAAAAAAAAATTACTCTAAACCAGATAATGCTGAAACAAGTTTAATTAGATAGACTCAACAGAGGATAGAACACCTCTACCAAAGGCCACACAGGATGATGCCAAATCCAATTTGTAGTGCATGTAGCTGCCTTACAGATGTCGTCAGCTGGAACTTCTGCCCAATTTGCCCATGATGTTGCTAAAGCCCTTGTAGAGTGAGACTTGATCTTACTAGGAGGAGTAAGGTCTTTTAATTGATAAGCCTTGATTATAGTATTGGAGATCCAGCGTCTCAAGGTGGAGGTAGAGGCTGCTTCCCCTCTCCTGGGACCTATCGGAAGAACGAACAGCTGTTGAGACTTTCGAAATTGATTTGAAACGTCAACGTATTTGACTAGACACTGTCTGACGTCCAACTGATGAAGTTTCACTTCTGCTGGAGAAGAATTAGATGGATAAAAGGAACGAATAACAACTTCCTGTAGAATGTGGAAATTCGAGACTACTTTAGGCAGAAACTCTTGTTTAGGTCTTAAAACCACCCTGTCGTGGAATACCTGAAAATGGTTTTCATCACATGAGAATGCATGGATTTCTGAAATGCGTTTTGCCGTAGCTATAGCCACCAGAAACAAGGTCTTATATGTAAGTAAGACAATACCCAGCTCATCTAAAGGAGCAAAGGGGTTTTCAGACAAAACCTCCAATACCATCGGTAAATTCCAAGGCGGAGAATAATTCCTTTTCGGAGGTCTTATCCGAATGGTTGCTTTAAAGAATCTGGCAATAATAGGATCAGATGCCCATGACTTGTTGCAGAGAGCAGATAAAGCTGATAATTGGACTTTCAGAGTACTAAGACTCAGCCCTTTCTCCAGTCCTGTATGAAGAAAATTTAGAATGTTAATGTTAGAGGGCTGCAGAAAATTAACATTGTTAGCTTGAGACCAGGAACGAAACACCTCCCATATCTTATGGTAGCAAGAAGAAGTCGACCCTTTTCTGGATTTAAGGAGGGTATTAACCACAGACTCCGAGATACCTTGAGCTAGAAGTCTCTCCTTTTCAAGAGCCATGCCCCCAATTTCAGCTGGCTGGGGTTCGGATGAACAGCCGGTCCCTGAGTCAAGATGTCTGGTCTGTGAGGAAGAGGCCAAGGAAGTTCCAGGTTCAACTTGTTCAGGAGAGGAAACCAAGGTCTGCAAGGCCAAATTGGGATGATGGCAATTACCTTGAGACCTTCTTTCCATATCTTTCTTAGTAGTCTGTAAATCATAGGTAGGGGAGGGAACGCATACCCCAGGTCAAATTTCCATGTAAGGGACAGAGCATCCTGTCCTGCTGCTCGATGATCCGCATGTAGAGAGTAAAACTTTTCTACCTGGGCATTGTTGTATGATGCCATAAGATTGATCTGGGGTACTCCCAACCAAATAATTCCGGGTGCAATTTCCACTCTCCTTGGAGAATCCTTGTTCTGCTGAGATAGTCTGCCAATAATTTTTCTGGCCCTGGAAGGTAAACTGCTTTCAATCCTTGTAAATGGAGTTGCGCAAACTTCATTATAGGAGATAGTTCCATCAGAAGAGAATAGCTTCGGGTGCCTCCCTGGTGATTTATTTAAGATGCAACCGCTCTGTTGTCTGTATGTATTCTCACCCAAGCATCCCTCAAGAGATGACGGAAGCCCTTTAGCGACCTGAGAACCACTCTCATTTCTCTTAAATTTGAATGAAGTTTTGACTCCTTCCATGACCATGTTCCTTGAATCCACGAGTTGTTCAAGTGTGCTCCCCATCCCAGGAGGCTGTCATCTGTTGTTATGGTTATCCAAACCGGTTCTACCAAGGGAAAACCCTCGACATTTTCTTCTTTTGTCCACCAATACAGATCTTTTAAAATCCTCGGGAGGAAACAAATCTTCTGATCCCAATTCCCTGTTTTTGTATTGAACTGTATGAGAAAATGCCTCTGAATAGGTCGCATCTTCCATTGGGCCCATTTCACTAGGCCTATCGTGGAAGTAAGAGACCCTAATAGGCTCATAAATTCTCTTGCTGAGATGTAGGATTTTTGACGCAGTCCTCTGCTTTTCTTCACGATTTGCTCCTTTCTTTCTGTAGATAGAGATACCATGCCTTTCACCGAATCTATATTTGCTCCCAGGAATATCATCCTCTGTGAAGGAACCAAAGAACTCTTTTTGGGATTTATCAACCAACCATGCTCTTGAAGGTATGTGATGGTAATTCTTGTGTGGAGATTCACAATTTGTCTGGATGGACCTATGATTTGAAAATCGTCCAGATAATGATAAAGCTTGATGTTCTTTGTCCTTATAAAGGCCACAAGGGAAATAAGGATCTTTGAGAACGTTCTGGGGGCCAAACTTAATCTGAAGGGAAGTCCCTTGAACTGGTAGTGATTCCCCGAAATCCAGAACCTCAGGAACCGGCGATGACTGTCGTGAATAGGTATTTGATAATAGGCATCTTTGAGATCGATAGATGTCATCCAGTTCCCCGGCTTTATATTGGGCAGGATAGTGGTAATAGACTCCATCTTGAATGTTCTTGTCATCAATTTTGTATTCAGACCTTTTAGATCCAGAATTAGACGCCATTTTCCCTGGGGTTTTGGGGCCAGAAATATAGTGGAATAATGGCCGCTGAAACGCTCTCTGTAAGGAACCTTTTCTATAACCTGGTTCTACAGCATCTGGGAAATAATGTTGTTCAGAGCGATTTCTTTTCTTCCTTTTGAAACTCTTGAACGAATGAAAGTGTTTTGATAAGGGAATTCCTTGGATTCTATCTTGTATCCTTTCATTAGAATAGAAAGAACCCAAGAATCTTGAATATTCTTGGCCCAAACCGGATAAAAGAAGCGAAGTCTGCCTCCTATGACATCTGGCTGGGCCAGCAAACGTTCAGAAGTTTTTACTGGGTGGTCGAGATCCTCTTCCTCTAACAGGTTTTGATGTAGATGTCTGATAGCTTCTCCAGTTAGAATTTCTGTATTCTTTCCCGGGTCTATATGCTCTGCTATCTCGAAAGGATCGGTCTCTGAATTTTTTATCTTTCCAGTAAGATGCACTAAATCTTATTTTCCCTTGTGGAAGAAAGGCTTTTCTCCCATCAGCTGCTTTATGAATTGCATCTTCTAAGACTTTACCAAAAAGCAGGTCACCTTGAAATGGGAGCGCACATAGAGAAGCCTTAGAAGCGTAATCTGCACCCCAGGAGTGAAGCCATAATGCTCTCCTGGATGCTACCGACAGTGCCATACTTTTTGCTACCATCTTGGTAACATCCAGTGAAGCTTCAGAACAAAATTCTGTGGCTAGTTTTAAATCCTTAAGGCCCTCCATCAGGTGTTCTCTACGGACTCCTCTATTAATATCCTCTTCTAGATTATCTATCCAAATTTTGAGTGCCCTGGACAAGGTGGTTAAGGCAATAGCAGGATGTAATGCTGATCCCAGAGCCAGGTATGCTTTGATAAGGTTAGCGTCCAATCGCTTTTCCATTGGCTCTCTTAAGTATGCCATGGAGTCTATGGGAAGAGTCGTTCTTTTTGCCATATGGATGACTGCTGCATCAATTTTTGGAACAGAAATCCACGATTTGCAGTCCTCTTGAGCATACGGATATAATCTGGGAGTTTTACTCTTTAAAGTAACCTTTCTCTCTGATCTATTCCTGGATGACCTCCTTAATAGCAGTGTGGACCAGAAAGGAGGGCCTGTTGGACTTCAGATCTTCGAAATATCTGTCAGATTCCTTCTTTTCCGTACTCTCTTCAGGGATTCTTAAGGTTCCTCTGATAAGATAAACCAATTTATCAACAGCCCTGGAATCCAGGGATCTTGAGAAACTATCTTAATCTTCTTCCTCTGAAAATTCTTCCATTAAGTCAGAATCTTCTTCCGATTCTACATAACTCTCCACTCTAGGACGCTTAGAGGTAATCATTTTATTTGAAGATTTGAAGCCTTCTGCAATAGTTTCTGATATCCATTTTTTTAAATCAGCCTGTGGGGAACTTTTCTTTTCCCATTCATTAGCTGCTTCCGCCAGGCAAGCTTTGCACAAATTATTCCCAGGAGGAGCCACTTGGTTACAGTTCGCACATCTATTAGACGTTTCTCTATATTTTCTGGGAGAATTCTCTTGAGATCTTTCTGGGCTGAAATAGAGGCCAATATATAATATATTATAGGCCTATTTTGGCACTCTTTTCCCCCCTTAAAAAAGGAATTTATTGAGGCTCATCTATGTCTTCTAGAGCGAGATCTTGAGGCACAGGGAGAAGCCATCTATAATGAATAATTAATACTTAATACTGTACTTAAGAAATAAATAAAAAAATTTAAGTTTGGAAAAAAAATTCATAAAACAAGATATTTACCTTTAAGACAGAATCTGGATGTAAGAGGCAGCTTTCCTTGTTACCAGATGACCAGGGAGGTTGTTAACAGCAAAACCGCTCAAATGCAAAACTTATTTTTTGGCACGATATCCCTTTAAGCGCGAAATTAATGCGCGCATGCGCAGAGTGCCCACCGGACACCGCCGGTACTGCACTTGCTCTGGAAACCGAGCACAGAAGAGCCCAGGATCGGAAGAAGAAACGTCTGCACTCTGTGACTCACACCAATGATTATACAGCTCAGGTAAGAATATACAAGAGATCCTAAGCATAATATGATTCAAAATTAAAACTTACCCTGGCTTCTCCAAAATACTCTTCCTTCCGATCAGGGGGGTTTTGATGTTTTAGAAGGGGAATTTTTAAAGCTACAGCTGACCCCACATCAAATATATATATATATATATATATATATATATAAACATATATATATATATATATATATATATATATATATATATATATATATATATATATAATTTCTCCCACACTATGGTACAGATAATAATCTGTACCTAACTCAGTTAGTTCTGCCTGTGCATGTGCAGGCTGTTTACTGAGTTCTTCAGATGAAGAGAGGCTGAACTTCATCTGGAGGCCCATGGTACACATGGGAAGGTGGCCCCCCAAAACATTTTTTATCCTGTTTGTCCTGAAAGGACAGGAAAAAAGACTGTGGGTTGGAAGGAGGAGGGACCTTTTATACCCCAGTCGGGTACAGATTAATAGATTTTTCCTGTCCTGTACCTGATTGGGCGGAGCTAACCCATAAGTGATGCTGCCATGATTAGCCAGGAAATGTAAGTTACTTAGCCTGTCAATATAATGACAGGAATGAATAAGTAGATAACTCCATAAATTCCCACGGTATTAGGGAGTTATCTACTAAAAGGCTGAAAGACCTAAATTGGTCTTTCAGCCAAATTTACTAATACTAAGTAAAAATTCGAATTAGTCCATTTTTGCCCCTACTCGCTATACTGCGAGTAGGGGCATGTCTATTAAACAGTGAGCAGCCACCCTCACGAGACGCAGACCTATTGCCCCCCCTGCCCCCACCCCTGAGCAGCGGTTGGGGGCCCTAATGTAAAATAATCGGGGGGTCCCTCCCTTATTAGTATTTTGGGCCCCCACCTGCCGCTCAGGGGTGGGGGCCAGGACATTAGGCCCCCCTTCTTATAATTTAGGGCCCCCACCCACCGCTCAGGGTGACATTAGGTCCCCCCCCCTTATTTTACTGTAGGGCCCCCACCCGCCGCTCAGGGGTGGGGGCCGGGGGGGCAATAGAGGCTGGATTAACCCATAGGTAAACATAGTTTCTCTGAAACTGCTATGTTTAGTGCAAAAAGGGTTAAACCTAAATGGACCTGGCACCCAGACCACTTCATAAAGCTGAAGTGGTCTGGGTGCCTATAGTGGTCCTTTAACCCCTTAAGGACACATGATGTGTGACATGTCATGATTCCCTTTTATTCCAGAAGCTTGGTCCTTAAGGGGTTAAACATGTTGGTACCTGGTAAACTCTCTCTATCTGCATACATGTTTATAAACGTATATCATGCTGACAGCAGACTTGCATATTTCTAACTTACAAAGGGCAGTCACAGCTGTTTCAGACAATTCACTTACCAATAGCTTTGGAAAGAGCAACCCCAAACTGCAAAAACAAATGCAATGTAAAAAAATAAACCCAGCAGCTTCCTGCTGTTCAGTGCCACATGGCAGAACCAGCACTGCCATCTAGAGGGTGATCTGAAATACTACAATGAGACAGCTCTTAATAAGTATGATACATGAGCAGATTAAAAGGTCAGATTCTCACTAAAGGGGACACTCCATAACCCCAAAGCATGTGAGCATACTAAAGGCTTTATGTGTGAAGAATGTTTCCTAATTTTTTTATTTTACAAAAACTGCAAATTACCATGGAAATGAACCGTGTTACAGCGCCATGGCTGTTTGTCAGTCACACAACTAGTCCTGTTACTTCTTGGTATGTTAAGCTTAGTGGAGCTTTACTCAAGAGGCAGCAATTGCTCAGAACACTTGCACTGCAAAGACGTTATCGTTGAGCTGCATTTGGGACGTCAGCAGTTTGACAGCCACAGAAATTATGGTCTGGGAGTAGAAGGTTGCAGACAAGAGATCTGCAGCTTTTCCAAGTTGTTTTCAGATATAACCCCAATAAACAAATGCATAATTAAATGCATACATGTTGTTGGGATACTAAGCATTGATTTTTAGTTATTTTTGTATCTGCACATTGGGTTGTTTTTTAAAGGGTCAATCTGGGTTTAATTGTTCCATTCATTTTAACCTGCGGGATTTGTAATGGATTTACAGAAACACTTCAGGCATTACATTTTTGGCTGTTGGTAAGTATATTGCCTGCCCCTGATATTTAAAAAAATAAACCTCCTTTACTGTTGATAATGAGCTCTTTTCAATTGGTATGAGCCTATTAGGGTCTCTTACTTCCACGATAGGCCTAGTGAAATTGGTATGTATCAAAACATGTGCCCCTGATAGTAACCCTCAGAAACGCCTGCTGATCTGTTGGTCTCATGAATCCTAGCTGCAGCATGGGAGAAAGAGGGAGCATCTGGAGACATGAAGAAGAGGCACAGGTAGCTTACACCCCAACATTTCAAATGGACAGAGAGGGACTCTTTCATTTTAGGGGTTTGGGTGTGGGTGTGACTGCTCTGAGAAATTTTAGGTGACTAATAATGTAACTAAAATGAAAGTTAGAACAAGAACATTATATCGTTATAATTTCTTAAGACATTTATTTTAAGGACCTTTAAGGACGGAGGCAACTATTCAACTACTGAATTTTGCTAATAATGTTTACACATCAACTGCAACTAAATAAAAAGAACTCGAAATAGATTCTCATATTATTTATTATTACCTTCTGAGATCGGTGCTGGGTAGTTGGTAAAGCCCAGTGCCGATCACTGTTGGAAGGAGGGCATGCAATGAGACTCTTTTAGGTTATTTTAGATCCTGGGGGTCTCCCTCTTTTTTTAAAAACAAACTGAGAATTTGTGATTTACTTGACTTTAAAAGGGCTATATGTGGGGGCGGAGTTTGACTCTCCTAGAAAATGGCCGCTTAACTTCGAGGCTCCGATGCCATCGAGCTGCATTTATAAGCTAAAATCAGCCTAATCCTGATTGTTCCGCTGCTCAACCTGTCCCCTTTCTTACTGTACCCTGTAGCATCTCTAGAGCTGCTCACAAGATGGGAGGTGGCTGTAAAATTTAACAAACGGCCAAGGCGCCTATCTTGCACAACCGAACAGATAAGGCCCAAACGCCTACACGTGGCGTGACACACTCAGACTCTGACTGACTTGGAAGGCAGCAGTGCAATGCAGGAGGAGAACCCAGATGCTTCTCTTACCAGACGACATATGAGGGCATTTATCTGCAAATTTAAGCAAATGTGGCATGTGAACTCCACAAGCACTTACAACCCCTCTATAATTACCAAAACTCTGAACGATTGAATATGCACTGACATGTGGACATTCTCTCCCCCTTGCCTACATTAAACTACTGGAACGAACAGCATATACCAACGACATGCTCCTCACACTTACGAACCCATTCAGGACACTATCTCTCAAAGATGATTACGCAGCTCTCTCAATATCAATTTGACCAAATCAGAACTCCTGCCTATTGCTTTTGAGGCGCGCTAAATACAAGCTATTCGAGAGTCCTTACTCCTAAAAATTACACTGACAAAAATAACCTACCTTGGCATTACTCTGTCATCGGATTTGACTGACCTTTATGCACTGAATTATATTCCAATGCACTAGACTGCCCATGGCAACCTACAGCATTGGGAACTCTTGGGTATCTCCTGGCTGGAAAGAGTTACGACCATTAAAATGAATATATTGCTACAATTCCTATATCTTTTCCATTCACTCCCAAAACCAATCAGGATTATTATTTTTAAACAATTGCAAACAGCGATAAATAAATTTGTATGGTGTGTGACCCTGAAAACAGAGATCCATGATTTACATAACCAAAACCCATGGCAGCATGGGACTCCACCACTTTATTCACTATTTTCACGCAACAGAGTTGGCCCAGGTGCAATAGTGGCATGCACCACCAGAATGTAAACGGTGGGTAACTTTTGAACATAACGTCCTAGGTTGGGAACATCCCTCCCAACACATGTGGATCCTGAGAATGCGAAGGGCATTACCCCTATCTACTTCCCTCGCCGCAACTCACTCCCTTGACCTCTGGGTTAAATTGAAGCTCAAGTTCAAACTCACATCGGTTTTGTCGCCATTGACACCCATTCTTCGCTACATACTCTTCCTGCCCGGACTAGTGGCAAGCCACTTTCATAATTATGGTGCTTCTGCATCCTATTGATCCTATTGAATATCATCCTCGTCTCTAAGAGAGACAAGATAAGCACTGCAGACTTCTTCCACTATATTCAACTACGTGACTTGGCAGCAATGCCCGCGGTAAAAATGGCAGACATGGCACCGCCCACACCATTTGAAAGGCAAAGCATGGACTCCCCTATTTGCAAAGACTAAATCTCAACCTTCTATCACTGACTACACATACATCTCAAATACACCTGCCATATATCACAGCATGGGAGAACAACCTGGGTAAACCAACTGCCTGGGCAGACATTTTGAAGGTGATAGGGAGCAGGCTTACAATATGCTTTTTCACTAGTATCTATTACCCCAAAGACTGCACAGAATGGATCAAGTTTGAAATGAACACAGTTGGAAACGAGACCATCTTGTTCCTCCACTGCTGGACATGTCCAAAACTACTGCAATTCTGGACGGATGTCAAATCACTTCTAGAACTAGCCCTGGGCAAATCAAACCTATTTGATCCATGGGCTCGGCTACTCTTGAAGCCCATTGACACAGCCACTAGACAGGAAAGCAGATTAGCAGCACGGATAGCGTTGGCTGCGTGCAGAACCGTTGGGGAACTTACCACTCTGACCGCTGACTGACCGCTCAGATCCATCATATACCAAAAGGTTTTCCACAAAATCTGGGAACCCTGGATCAATAGTTTACTTTACCACCACTGCGTTACTCACCAAACCCACCATTCAAATATTATGCCAAACCAGATCTTTGGGAGGGGTTTGGGAGACTCCCCTGGACTTTCTGCTTTTCTAAATATTCCTATTTACTCTTTCTTGGTTACTCCACCATCCAAACACAACCACAAAACATCCCCTACAGGTTTTGTACATAGTTCTTTACCCTTATTCCACTCTCAGTCACATTAATTCTGACGCCCTGTCGTACGGTGCCCTAAACTTTAATCCATGCAAGCCTGCCCTCTGGACTAAGGCACAACCGACACAGATCAAGTGTACCATACCACTCCCTCCTTACGATGACTACTTCGCTTTTCCTGCCCCTATTCATTGTTAATTCTAGTTTCCCCCTCCTATTACCTCTCCCTCATTATAAAGCCTTCTTCAGCATGACACAAAAGACCTGACCCTTGGGGATGTCACTAGACAAGGCATAGACAACCTTCAACACTTGGACTACACCTCCCATGACTACACCTCTTATGATGCCTTGCCAGTACTATGGGTGTAAGAGCATTTTGGGGGATATAGTTCATAACATCTGGAGTGCCGAAGGTTGCCTACCCCTGCACTAGACCCTTAGAGTCATGTGCACAGTCTGACCGATCTGTGACCTATTTAAACACTGTTGTTATGCTGTTGAACACTTTCATATATATCCCACGCACACTTAAATAAAATTGTGACATGTATACTAAAAATTTAATTAACGCAGGGCATATCTGCTGTCCGCACAATAATACCATGGTACGGCACTGTATATATTTTTTTTCTGTAATTTCCTCACATGAAAATTAAACATATATAAAGAATGTTAAAAAAAAGGTCTCTATGCAGCACTCGTTTTAAATATGGCTCCAGCTGACACAAGTAAGCACCACATATTGATAACTGGGTCTCCATGGTGTGAGCAGGGATTTAATCCTACAGAAAATGTGAATGTATACAACAGAACAGTGGGACTAAGTGTGGTAGCTAGAACGCCACAAACCACCTGAGTGGAAACCCCTCACACCACTCAAAGCAACACAAATAGATACGTACAATAATAGGTAGGTCACATTTCTGAATATGTCTGAAAAAGATATATACAAAACACAAAATAGTGTAATAAAGTCTATGTAAATAAATAGTAGAGAACTTGAGTGAAGTACTCACAAGCCTAGAGCCAAATATATGTGGCTCTCACTGATGTCGCCTTGGGACTTTTTTCAAGGATGTCCCTCTCCTATTACCACGTGGCTGGATAGCTGTTCCCACTTGACTTGGCAGAATTCCCAAGAAGATCCCACTTGACTTGACAGAATTCTCAAAAAGATTCAATATGGGATAGTTAAACAAAATTATTTATTCGCAAAAATTGTTAAAAATATAATAATTAAAACAATCAATAAAAAAAATTCCTTAAAAATGAATAAAATAAATAGACAAAAATCTATAGCTATATTCCTTTTTAATACAAGTCCTGCCAATTGGCTTCTGCAGAGTCCGAGACGCGTTTCGCCCCTACCAGGGGCTTTTTCAATCGGTATATTTTCTTTCTTGTAATGCCGGCGTTTTTATGTGGTGATTCGCCGGTTTACTTCTGGGTTCCTGCCAGTCCTGATTTGGAACGCATCGTGCGTTCCAAATTATTTCCGGATTCTGGCGGTCTTCCATTTGGAATGCAGCGTGTTCCATCTCGTCGAAATCCATCTCCCAAATACTTCCGGGTTCCGGTGTCCTTCTATTTGGAACGCAACTTGTGTTCCACTTCATCCTGGTGTCAAAGTCCATCATTGGAACGCACACTAAAATAGTTGTGCGTTCCTTTATAAACCTGGCTTGGACCTAAGAAAACTTATTGTGGCTGATATATAAAATTATATCAATACTTCTAAAACACATATTTTATCATATATACATGAATATTCTGATTAAATTATCATTATTTCCAGAACCTATATTTCATTATATATACATGTTAAATTATCATTATTTCCAAAACACATATGTCATCTTATATACATGAATATTTTGATTAGATTAGCAAATGACTCATACATATATATGAACATTCGAAGGGGATTATAAATTTGTATTGTGATTATTTTTATATATGCCATATGTTTGATTTATGAAAGCCTCTCATGATATAATTCTGTAATACAATCTTATATTCCAGTTAATTGTAGAATCACCTTACTAGCGTTCATTTAAAGGGATAGTACCTCCAACCCTTATAGTGTAAGAGAATAAAATTACGACTTCACATATAATACGAAAACATGCAACATTTAAAAGAAATGGTAGACTTCGAAATCCAAATTTAACCCATGAGGTATAAGGGTATTAAAATTATATATAAATTTCATTTCTTCTATTCCTATTTTCTTGTTAAAATCACCTCCTCTCCAATCTTTTTTGACAATTTTTAACGGACAAAAAAATAAATGTTCAGGATTTTGGCTATGGTATCTCTTAAAATGGTTAGATACACTATGTGTCTCTAATCCATTTTTTTTATATATTACGTATGTGTTCTGAAATTCTTATATGCAGACATCTTATGGTCCTCCCTATATATAATAAATTGCAGGGGCATTTTAACACATAAATTACTCCCTTTGAAAAACAAGTCAATTGATCTCTGATGGTAAACTCCTTACTAATAAGTTCTTTCATATTGCTTAAATGTCTCTTCGAACTTTTGGTGTTCCTACATGCCAAACAAGTCCCACATCCATAAAAACCTTTATTTTGATTTAAAAAATGTGTACTAACTATAGGACCTTCACTACTACGGACCAAGGTTTTTTTAAGGTTGGCTGCGCCTCTATAAATTATATTGGGTCAAATGGGTAAAATGTTTTTTAAAATAGGGTCTTCTTGTAAAATGTGCCAATATTTTTTTTATAGCTTTATTTATTCCTTTATGGTTACCATTAAAATTACAAATAAAAGGGATTTCTTAAGAATATGTTTGCTGGGTACTTTTTGGTTTATAAGTTAATAATTTCGTTCTTGCTGTTCTTTTTACGTCTTCCATAGCTTTCTCCAACTCTTTTACCTCATAGCCTTTTTCTTTAAATTGTTCCTTTATTCTCCCTGCCTGTATCATATAATCTTCCTCGTTGGTACAATTACGTCTAATTCTAAGGAACTGCCCTTTCGGTGCATTATTCAGCCATGGTCTGTGGTGGCAACTAGATTTCTCAATATATCCGTTTGCATCTACCTCTTTGAAGAAGTTCTTTGTTTTAATCTGTGCGTCTTGTATAAAGATCTGAAGGTCTAGAAATTGGATTTCCTTCTGACTTTGGGATGTTGTTAGTGAAACTCCCCATTCATTATCATTTAAACAAAGTTTAAAACCTTCTAAAAGCTCTATAGGACCATCCCAGATTAAAAAAATATCATCGATATATCGATGGTAGGATACCAAATTCGCCACCCAAGGATGGGAGGAAAAAATAAAATGTTCCTCCCAATATGACATAAATAGATTAGCATAACTGGGTGCGAATTTGGTGCCCATAGCTGTACCTCTAATTTGAAGATAAAAAGTATCATGGTACCAAAAAAAATTATTGTTTAGAATGGGAGGGATTCCTTCTAAAATAAATTATATTTGTTCTGTTCTAAAATTGGCCTTAGTTAAAAAGTATTCAACCGCTTTTATCCCTATGTCGTGTGGGATAATGCTATATAGTGATGTCACGTCACTCGTCACTAAACTATAACTATCTTTCCATTGTATCAAATCCAAAATTTGTAAAATATGGATGGTATCTTTAAGATGTGCCCATGTTTTTACAACTATGGGTTGCATTAATATATCGATATATTCGGAAATTCGTGAAGATATTGAATTGATCCCTGAAATAATAGGACGTCCTGGTGGATTAAGTGGATTTTTATGTACTTTTGGTAAATAGTAAAAGACTGGTATTTTAGGATGGGCTGCTTGTAAATATTTGCCTTCCTTTTCTGTAAGGATATTAGTTTCTAATCCTTTTCTTATAAAATTTCCAACCCCTTCAAGTCAAGTGGGAACAGCTATCCAACCACGTGGTAATAGGAGAGGGACATCCTTGAAAAAAGTCCCAAGGCGACATCAGTGAGAGCCACGTATATTTGGCTCTAGGCTTGTGAGTACTTCACTTAAATTCTCTACTATTTATTTACATAGACTTTATTACACTATTTTGTGTTTTGTATATATCTTTTTCAGACATATTCAGAAGTGTGACCTACCTATTATTGTAGGGCTTTAATCCTGCTCATATCAATATTGCAGTACGTTCCATGTCATACTAACAGCGTTATAGACAACTATTTTTATGATGGCATAGATTGTCTCAATGTTGAAAAGGGGTTAGTGACACTGCTATGAATTCAGACACACCAAGAATACTGTGCTCCTACAAAAGAGGCACACAGACAAAAAGGACAGATGGATTTGGCACCACAATGGGGTTGGGTGTGTCATGGCTGTGTGTCAGTCACTGTGTATTTCACATGTGGGTGGGTATCTTACATTGTCCAAGCATGTTCAGTGTTTCTTAAACAGGCGTATGCACATTACATTAGACTGTGCTCCCAGAAAAAAGATAACTTGATAAAATAACAGTAAAAAACTAGAAAAGCTACAATATCTGGGGAAATTGTGTGAAGTGTTCTTGCCTCCACCAGTAGTCTACAACTGGAGTGGGCAGAGTAACTGTTATCATTTATATAGCACATTTAATTGCAACGTTGTTGCACAGTTACATTAAACCATACATTTATATAAACATTAGCAGGTGTTCAAAAGGCCCTGTCTATGACATCACTTGCTGCTGCAGCCTGACACAGGTCAGAGTATTTTGGCGGTTGCCAACTTCAAACGGTCATATTTTAAAAACTATAATCCTACAGCGAAGAGCTTTCTATTGTGAGAATCACAAGACCCAGACCTACGTTTTGATGCATAGTATGTCTCTGACGTATTAAAAATGAAGGCACAGTCGCAGTTTAGAAATTGCACTTCAAATTTGAGCTTTGTAGAGTGAAGTTTCAATGAATGTCAATGGACGGCATTAGTAGCAAACAAATGATTATATTGTGAAAACTATCAGGACTATGGCTTAGCCGTTGACATGTTTAGTGGCAGCAGGGATAGCTGAACGTTTTGATATAAGATTTGTGTAGGTGGGCCTGGAAATGAGGGAGTGGCGGCAGTTTAGAAATCATGTCCTGATTTTTCAGCTTTTGCCAGCTCCCACTCAAGCTTTGCCATTCATTCCTATGGGACAAATTTCGCCACAAGAACGACGATATTCCGTGAACCATTCGGCGAAACGTTCCACAAAGTAATAGCAATCCGATCGTAAACAATCTGCATGTTTTGGTAAATTTTTGTCTATGTAGTGTAAAAACTGTGGGAGGAGTTAGGGTGGCAAATTTTGCTATAATAATAATAATAATATATATGTGAGATAACATTAAGTGGTCTTGCTATGCAAGAACACTTAATAAACTTCAGTTAAAAATACTTATATAAAAAATTAGCTGCAGAAAACAAGTGCATACAGAGATAATCCATATTTTTCCTTCAGAAACAACACAGGCAAACCCCAACATTGGAAACATGTACATAAATACCTAATCAGGCAATAGGGAGAAACATTTGTTAGATGTGTTCACGCATACTTAGCTCACACCTTTTGCATGTCTAAGGTAACTTAATGTACTAGCAGGAGGCGCCCACCTGGATATTTCCACTGTCTTGGGCCTCAGCGCTGGGCGAGTGGATCTTGAGCCGCCCCCCTCAGCGCTGGTCCGGTCCTCCAGGTGCCCGAAAGTGGGGGCGCCGAGAGGAGCCCTGTCACAGGAAGTGGTCCTTCTTCAGCATTGCAGAGCAGGCACCAGCTTACCTTGATGGCAGGTGCCTTTTGCCGAGAAATGCCAGAGAAGAGGGGGACAGAAGGCAGGAGGCTGTATTGTGGGCGGCGAGGGAGGCTGTTCTCTCAGCTTCTCACCCCTCCCTCGCGCGCCCTTTGTGATGCTGGAATATAACGTCATTCCGTACCCAGCATACTAAAAAACGCGCTGGAGGAGTGAGACGCTGCCCCACACTGGACCCCAGGGAGGCTGAATTTGCCTCAAAAATACAATTGTGTGAGTCTGTGTGTCAGTGAGTGTGTGTTAGACTGTCAGTGAGTGTATCTGTTTGTGTGTGTGTGTGTGTGTGTGTGTGTATGTCTGTCTGTGAGTGAGTCTGTGTGTCAGTGAGTGAGTGTATGTGTGTCTGTCAGTGTGATGTATGGGCTGTTGGGCTGTGTATGAGTGTGTGAGTGTGTAAGTGTATGCATTGTGATGTATGGGCATTGGGCAGTTGGGCTGCTGTTTGCTGTGAATGATGCACTTCCTTTCGTTTGGTTCTTTACTTCCTGTTCCTGTTGGCAGTTGGTGGAATGTTCGAGGGATTTGAAATGGCGGCTGCAGAAATCCTGTGTAACAAGGCTGCAATATGAAGATGCTGTTATATATGTATTAATGAAGTGAGTACTGCGTTATACAGGAATTATTGACTGATTTGTACAAAACATAACAGTGGCGACGAGGCTGTAGAACCCAAACTGACATGGCAGCCATTGGCACTATAAAGGACTTTGATCCTGACTCAGATTTATGGGCCTCTTTGTTGAAAGGCTTGAACAATATTTCACAGCTAATGATATTCCTGACAATAAACAGGTCGCTGTTTTCCTAACAGTTATAGGAGCCAGAATGTATGATACGCTAAGGAGCCTCTTACACCCAGAGAAACCTGCCAGCAAGCCATTGGCAAGGCTGATTACTCTGTTAACTGACCATTTCCAACCAAAACCACTAGAGATAGCAGAGAGATTTAAATTCTATAAAAGAAGACAAGAGCCTGGTGAATCAGTTTCAGCATATGCTATCGCATTATGGAGACTCTCCAGCCCCTGTTGTTTTGGGGACTACCTACCCAAGTGCGAGACCAGTTTGTAATGGGCATTGCAAGTGATACAGTGCTAAGGAGACTGCTTACAGAAGAAGATTTAACATTTAAAAAGGCAATGAACATAGCAAGCATTATACATTGCTCAAAAAAATAAAGGGAACACAAAAATAACACATCCTAGATCTGAATGAATTAAATATTCTTCTGAAATACTTTGTTCTTTACATAGTTGAATGTGCTGACAACAAAATCACACAAAAATAAAAAAAATGGAATTCAAATTTTTCAACCCATGAAGGTCTGGATTTGGAGTCACACTCAAAATTAAAGTGGAAAAACACACTACAGTCTGATCCAACTTTGATGTAATGTCCTTAAAACAAGTCAATATGAGGCACAGTAGTGTGTGTGGCCTCCACGTGCCTGTATGACCTCCCTACAACGCCTGTGCATGCTCCTGATGAGGTGGCGGATGGTCTCCTGAGGGATCTCCTCCCAGGCCTGGACTAAAGCATCTGCCAACTCCTGGACAGTCTGTGGTGCAACGTGACGTTGGTGGATGGAGCGAAACATGATGTCCCAGATGTGCTCAATTGGATTCAGGTCTGGGGAACGGGCAGGCCAGTCCATAGCATCAATGCCTTCATCTTGCAGGAACTGCTGACACACTCCAGCCACATGAGGTCTAGCATTGTCTTGCATTAGGAGGAACCCAGGGCCAACCGCACCAGCATATGGTCTCACAAGGGGTCTGTGTGTATGAATGCATGTATTAGGCAGTATGCGTGTATGGATGCAGGTAGTAAGCAGTGTGTGTTCATGGATGTACGCATTAAGCAGTATGTGTGTATTAGGCAGACCTAACTGGAAACCATATTGCAAAATTTATGCCAAAATAGCTGATCTAGAAGAATTCACCAATTCGGCTACAGTCACAGTCCAGCTGTTTTTGCCTAAACTTTGCAATTTGGTTTTCAATTCACTGCAATTCAGAGTTTAGTGAATGAACCTCTGTGAGATTGTATTTGCTTTCATTAGGGGGCGGCAAAATGGATCTTTGTCTGGGGTGGCACAAATCCTTGCACCAGCTCTGTGTACCAGTGTGTCTCATTGTGAGTGAATGTATGTGTTTTACCCTGTGAGCTGTGTGTTAAAGTGCACAGTTGATAGTTGGTTTGTGTACGTATTTTGTGTCTGAGTGGAACTGTATAAAATTTTCTGTATTTGTTTCAGTATATGACTTTGAGTGTTTTACTGTGTGAGAGTTTGTGCGATTAAAAGACCTGTGCTGAGTAACAGGCTCCAGCCTACGCTGATAAGAAATTAAATCTGTCTGATTTTCATTTTCCTGGGCTGTCAAGAATATAATAAACAAGAGTAAAAATGTTCTGAGTTAGTTTTTTTTAACTTGTGTACTTTGAATTGCCAGGCTACCCAGTAAATGTAAAGTGCTACTCAGCAGTATGTGCAATTTACAAATGCATGAACATGGCAATTCCATTGGGCATTTGGCAGTAACTGATTGAGAGCACATTCATTTCAAATACCGCTGGGCAGCACCAGTGCAACAGAATGTAGTGGTGTTGCATAAACATGGCAATCTGTAAGCCCAGCTGAACAACACCTCCTTCACGCTGTCTCACCCCCAGCATTCCAAGCAGAACATTTACATTAAAGATTCATCACAGTATTCTACCATGCCAGAAAATAAATTACCCCATTCACACACACTGTGCACATGCGTGGTCCAGCATTCATTGCTTGGAATAGAGAAGCACTGGATACAATGCTTCTCTATCAGAAGAAACTGACTGGCATATTTGCAGAGCGTGCTGCGCATGAGAGCATCTGATTGGACCGTGGAACAGAAAAGTATGACGTAGTGTGACGAGGAAGAAGGTGTTGAATTGGGGAGAACTTGGATTGGCGCTGGATTCAATGTAAGATTTAGCTTTATTTTAGAGGTTTTTAGGCTACAAATAGGGGGGAAGGGGAACCAAGTGACAAGTGGCATAATAAACATAAAAAGGTGATTACAAACAAGTAGAAGTAACCCTTTCAAAATATTGACATAGGTTATCTAAGCAGAACGTCATCAATCAAAAAATTTAATTATGTGTACTATGTGATTTTGTTTATTCCCATGGTCCCTTTTCACTGTTACAAACATGATATGTAATTAGTCCTGGGAGTGTTAACCCATAAGTAACAACCACCCATATAAAGTGGCCAGGAAAGGCTGATTGTGGCTAATTATCCCAGTGATGACAAGCATTATAGGTATCCCGGGCTGAGTGTAGGGATCTGCTGAGCGGACATGTTGCTACTCTCACATTGCTCACACAGGAAGCACTGACCTGTATGTAGCTTTAACCTCCTCCTGCTGTAGGCCACGCCTCCTGCCAACACACACCAGTCACGTTCCACACAGCACTGACTGTGGGCGGATCCCGGAAGTGTCCTGTTGCGTGCTGATTGAATAGTCTTACAGGGACACGTTACAATCCGCCACACCCCCTCCCACCACTAGATGTCACAATCACACAGCAACGTCATCAAAGGAACGTCACAAGGCGCTGTGTGCGAGCAGGTAGGGGATTGTCTATCCTCCCGGGGGATAGAGACCGCCTGTATCATCCCAGTAGCCCATGCTGGGTCTGACATGGTGCTGCATGCAGGGCTCCTGCCTATTGACTTATTACACTAGTGGAGTTTTGGAAAGTTCCATGTTATTTCTGTTATTGTTACCTGTAAGAAGTGTTATTTCTTCATCCTGGGCTCCCTGTTGTGATCAGTGTCTGCCTTGCAATTGGAGACCTAGTGATTGAGTGAAATTATACTATTACTTTTTACTTGATGTGCATCTCGGTCTTAACCTCTTACTATTTTAACATTGCCTTAATGAAGTGGTCTGGGTGCCTGGTCCAGCTAGGTTTAACCTTTTTTTTTTTCTATAAACCTAGCAGTTTCATAGAAACTGCTATATTTATAATAGGGTTAATCCAGTCTCTAGTAGCTGTCTCATTGACAGCCGCTAGAGGCGCTTCCACGCTTCTCACTGTGATTTTTCCCAGTGAGAAGACGCAAGCGTCCATAGGATAGCATTGTGAATTGGTTCTTTAAATTCTATATCTCCGATTGGGCTCAGGTTTACCAAACAGTGTATTTTCTCAATATTTAATTTAAAAGCCAAATTGAAAAATGTTTGTCAAAATAGTAAATTTTGAAAATATTGTTTAGTTTTTAAGTAAATATGTTACCTAAAGGAAGTGTGCAGAAAAATGCTATATGGCTAAATACATCATTCAACAAAAAACAAAATAGGTGAAAAATACGTACATCTTGTTTGTGCGTTGTCACTTAAAGGGATACTACAGGCATCAAAACAACTACAGCTTATTGTAGTTCTAGTGCAGGGATAGGCAACCTTCGAGCTCCAGATGTTGTGGAATACGTCCCCCATAATGCTCTTACATGCACAATGCTGATAAAGCATCATGGGAGGTGTAGTCCAAAACATCTGGAGTGCTGAAGGTTGCCTATGCCTGTTTTAGTGAGTATAGCCTGTCCCTGCTGGATTTTTAATGTAAACACTACCTTTTCAGGAGGGGGGCTTCCTGGGGCAGTACTGCACAGCATGCAACACTGGCATTCATCATCTCCATGCTCTGCATGGAGGCGCTGAACATTTGAATGATTCAATGCAACTTTATGAGGAGATGCTGATTAGTGCAGCGTGGTGTTTTGGATTGGCTGAAATCATCAAATCTGATGATCTCAGCAAAGGAGGCGAGGCCAGATGTGAGGAGTCCCATGCGGCGCTTGAAAAAGGTGAGTAAATCTTCTATCTGACCTGAGGTAAGTGGTCCGACCACCTAAACGGTGGTTTTAGAACTATAGTGTCAGAATTACACATTTGTGTTCATGACACTATAGTGCCCCTTTAACTCGCTTTAGAAGTTTCTATTTCCTCCTCTATAAGTTTAACTTTAATCACACACAGAAGGCTACTGCAGGGCCTAGAAGGCTATTACCAGAGCAGGAGATAAGAACTTTTAAATTTAAGAGCAATAAAAGAAGTTTAAACATTAGATCTTTCTTTACTGGAAATGTTAAGGAAACTGCAAGTCACATTCAGGGAGATGTGACTAGGACTATATAAACAAAGTGATTTAGCTTGGAAACGGCAGAGAAACGAGCAGTGAGACTGCAGGGGCATGATCTATATACCAAAACTGCTTCATTAAGCTAAAGTTGTTTTGGTGCCTATAGCTGATTTAGATAATTCTACAACTTATAGTCACAGCATGGCTTCTTTGGCCTCAATTTTGGAATTCGGACTCAAATCGGTAAATGATGGTATATACCATGTTTTATTTTTTAATATAAGATGTATGTACTCATAACACATTTTGCCTGAATTTAGAAGAAAGAAATAAAAATACCAGTACATACTATAATTCCATTCAGTTTGTGTGTGTGTATACCATAAAAATCTTTTCCCGCATGAGGTCAGGAGCCACCCATTTCATGAATGGAGGGCAGCATTAATCTATATAGGTAAAAATGTAATATACTAATGATGATAATAGTGGTAACAGCACTAGACACAGGAAAGGAAACTTTCTTAATTTTGATCTTTTTGATTACTTATGTGGAATTGCCATATAGAAGGATAGCACAATAAGGAGCTCTATACTACACAGCTGACAGATCAGAATTAAGAAAAGCTCTTTTCCTCTCCCCATGTCCCTTCCTTTTCTCATTCAAGTCACATTTTCCCCATGTCCCTTTCTTTCCTTATGCATGTCAACTTTCTCCATGTGCCCTTCTCTCCCTATCAGTCTCTTCCTCCTCTCCCTATCAGTCTCTTCCTTTCTTTTCATTATTGAGTTTCATTGCTTTAACCCTTTTTAGCATGGTCTCCCTTAACTGCCACTCTCATTTCTGCTCACATACACATACAGACATTTATACAGAGACACGTACACAATCATACAGACACAATTACAATACACATACACACACCTATACTGGCACATAGTTATACATAAACACAAACACACTCATGCAGACACATAGTCATACAGAGACCTATACACACACTCATGCAGACATACATATAACACACTCATACAGACACATAAATTATACAAACATATACACACACTCATGCACACATTTAAATTAAGTAAGGGAAATTCCATGAACATCGGAAGGTAAGAGTGACACCTTACTTGCTGGGAGGTTGTTGGTCTTTGGTGCATAAGTTCAACACAACGCTTCCTTACGGCCTGCTCTGTACTCTATAGTGACATCACGCATAACTACAGTCCGAGTTGCCGGGGGCAGTGTGTAGAAATCGGATGTATGATGCGGCATGGCATCCCATAATTTGCAGCAATTCGCTGCTGGGCCAGCTAATCGCCCCACTGGGCCTGAACATGTACTTATATAGTGATAGTCGCTATATACATACACATGGAATATAGGATGCAAGCAGTTTAAAGAAAAAACAAAAAAACATTCAATTTTCTGAAAAAAAATAGAACATGATATTTTATATGCCCTTAAAGATATGTAGTTTTTACATCTATTAGACAGGAGCAATAGTGCAAATTAGTAAAGTCATCCCCAACCTCTAGTACACCAGACTGTGGCAAAAGCCTCTAAACCCCTCCCCCTCCCCCTCCCCCAATAAATATGGCAGCACTAACATGAGTAATACCCAAGCTAACCAGAGAAAGGGAGTAAGATACATAAACCATAAAACACAAAACCTCTTTACCAGAATCTGCATCTGCCGACGACTTTTAGGGATATTCACTAATCTGAATTTTTACTAACTGAAATTGCAAAACTGAGGCAAAATAGTTGATATAAAAAAAATTCTCCAATCCAACCATAGTCACAGGTTATTTTTGCCTCAATTCTGCCATTTTGATTTAAAGGACCACTAAAGGCACCCAGACCAGTTCCTCTCAATCAAGTGGTCTGTGTGCAGTGGCCTTGTAGTGTAAACCATGCAGTTTTATAGAAAGTGCAATGTTTCAATTGCAGGGTTAAAACATCTTTAGTGGCTCTCTTTCTGGCAGCCATTAGATGCACTTCCACGTAGAGCATCATTTGATTGGCACAGTTACTGCGCATGTACATGAGTCTCCCCATGTTTCTCAGCCAAGGAGGCAGAGCATCAGGCCAGACACTTGCATGATCTTGCCTTTCAAACCCTCACAGGCTCCAGGGGGTGTTAAATAGCTAGATTAAAACAATAGAAACCGTGTATTCCCATTGCCCTAGTACTCCTTTCATTTGTGAAAATTCCATGCTTGGTGAATAACCCTGCTTATAGGACCACTCTAGGCACCCAGACCACTTCAGCTTAATGAAGTGGTCTGGGTGCCAGGTCCAGCTAGGGTTAACCCATTTTTTAATAAACATAGCAGTTTCAGAGAAACTGCTATGTTTATTAATGGGTTAAGCCTTCCCCCTAATCCTCTAGTGGCTGTCTCATTGACAGCCACTAGAGGCGCTTGCGTGCTTCTCACTGTGATTTTCACATTGAGAGCACGCCAGCGTCCATAGGAAAGCATTATGAATGCTTTCCTATGTGACCGGCTGAATGCGCGCGCAGCCAGCCGACGGGGTGGAACGGAGGAGGATCGGAGGAGGAGAGCTCTCTGCCCAGCGCTGGAAAAAGGTAAGTTTTAACCCCTTTCCAGAGCCGGGCGGGAGGGGGTCCCTGAGGGTGGGGGCACCCTCAGGGCACTATAGTGCCAGGAAAACGAGTATGTTTTCCTGGCACTAAAGTGGTCCTTTATGTCCAATTTGAAGTGTTTGATAAATGTAGACAGTAACCATGTAGCTGCATGGCAAATGTTGTCAGGAGAAACTTGTGGTGCAGCTGAGTATGATACTAAAACTACCCTTGTAGAATGAGCTCCTAACCCCGCTGGGACAGGGACTATTTTTTTTTTTTATTATTTTTTTTTAATTTGTAGGCCAGTGCTGTGGATATCCATCTGAGAGTGGTTGTAGATAACATTCTATTTTTAAAACTTTATTTTCATATTTTATATCATTCAAATATACAAAAGAATATCCATTGACATAAGATCACATTTGTACATAATACATACTATTTTATAAAGTTTGATCATTATGTATCCTTAGAACACCATATATAATCATACGACCTAGACATAAAAAAATACTGCATTGAATGCTCCAGGGGAAAATAGAGGGAGAATCTCTTTTGTGTGTGTCTATATCTCTCACTCTCTCTCTCAATAAATTGCTTCTCTACTGACCTGTTATTTGGTGAGTGATATCAGATCATTCTTATGTCATCCCATTGGAAGGATGGACAGAGAAGGAAGTCTCTAACCAGCTGGTCTGTTGAGATAGATGGAGAAACATTTGACTATGTCTAGCTCCTTGTGATTCTCTTCCATTGGATAGAAAGCTGAAAGGATAATGTCCTGGTTGACGTGATGGGTTGAAATTGCCTTAAAGAAGGCTTTACACAGGATGGAGGAAGGGCAGTGACATGGAGGGGATTGCGCCTAAAAGGCTTATACGAGCTTTTTTTTAAGAAAGCTGGACTGTGCCTGCATTAGTATCTAATTGAGATTTCACAAGAGGATACAACAAGCTATTCTTGAAATTAATGAGCCAGCCATGATTCTAAATGTTTCTCTTTAGATCTGCTTTAGATAAGGCCAGAAAGAGGATATCTTCAAGTTAATGAAAGATGGGTAATCTCTGCAGTCTGATTTGTGCGTTTAAAGGGAAGCTGTCACTAATTACACCTTTGAATAAAACATTGGAAGTCATGTATAACTTGTGTTCACCATTTTCTTTTTTTAATTTCTTTTTGTTTGGATCCATTGTCTTTTTTTCTTTCAAATTTATATATATATAAATGTTTAGAAAATTACATTGTAATCCAATTCAGACAAGATTAAGCTAGGGCAAACATTTCAATTGAAAAGAAGAAATAGAAACATTGTTTCTTGTCTCCTCTTCAATGTATGATTTCACTATATACAAAGGACAGAGCATGAAACAATGATTAACATGGACCTAAGATGGAGGTGCACATTTGCAGTAGGTGTGGATTTTTCATTTAAATTTTATTTTTCACACCACACAAAATAAATGTGATAAATAAAGATAAAATGGAAAAATAAAATGGTTATCACTCTAGCCAAAGCAGAATGTCAGAACCTTTAAGGATATAGGGCAATATGAATGTGGAACTACACAATTCTCAGATTGTCCTAAACCATCAAATCTAGAGAAAACACAGCTATCTTTACAAGACTAAATATCCTATCTTGAATCTTTGTTAATATGGAAGTGTTAAAGATGCACTTTAAAGGGACATGTATCACTTTGATACAACTGTCTCACTCAAAATCATTTGCATTGAATAAGACAGTTGCCTTGCCACAGGCTGAAAAAAAGTAGGTACATATGATTTTCTTTTTTTCATGTTTACCTGCTACTTCTTTATTATGCCCACTCCAGAATAGATGTAACCAATCAGTGTCCTATATCTGCATTGGGCATGCCCGGCAGATTTACACATGTACAGTTAGAAGATATCTTCAACATGCAATATCCTGACAGAGGAAGAAGAGAGGGAGTCTGATCCTGACCACATGCAACTCTACATCTGTATGTAGTGCAGAAGTGGCATGTGATTTCTTTGATACAGCTTTGAGAAATCTGTTATCACCCACACCCAAAGATATTTCATCTGATATTTGCACCACCTAAAGGGGAAAAGTTTTGTCAGATCTTCATTCTCCCCCTATGGTACTGTTATATGTAATACCTCACACTTCGTAGAATTCAACTTGAGGTCGGAGAGGAAGCAATATGTTTTGAAATTCGGCCATCAAATTCGACAAAGTTATGCATGGTTGTTCAATAAAGAACATATCATCAGCATATGCCGATGTTTTGTGTTTAGCTCCATCATGCCAGAAACCCATTTGTAACGGAGCTCCTTGTACTCCGACTGAGTACCCTCCGTTGACGGATGCTCCTAGCGCTTCCTGAGTACTCCAAGCGCTGCAGCAGACACCACAACCACCGCAGACCCCGCAACCGCCGTATCTTGACTGGAGTCTCGCCGTCTTCCTTCCACCCTGGATCAGCTTCTGTCCTCCAGGACTGTGTGGGAAAGAACTCTTCCTTCCACCCTGTATGAACCTCCAGCATCCAGGACTGTGTGGTGAAGACCCCTCCTCCAAGGAGAGCGTGTCAGGAACAAGCTCTTAAAAGAGCTAAGTGACTCAAGCTCAGGGGAGCATGCAGAGCATAGCAATCCCCAGTGTGATTATAACAGCTCCCTCCAATAACGAGACAAGGCTACGTTTAGAGGGATCAAGAAGAACTGTCAAAACCTTTATTTCCCTTGGGACCAGCCAATAGGGTCACCACAATAACATTGTTGTGAAACCTCAATGAAATCACAAACAGTCAAACCATATCAAGCAACACACAGTGACTTATCACAACACAATGGCACATTTTTAACGGGGTGGGGGGAGACAATATTTAACAGTAAATATCTCACCTGCCTGCAGAATTAGCAATATGCAAATCTACCCGAATATGCAAATGAACCAGTCAATTCCTCTGTAGGCAGAATGGTGACATGAGTCACTAGAGAGTCTGGGTGAAAGGCTCCTCCCTCCATGATGGAGTTCAGAGCTGCCATTATATGGGGCAGCAGGAGGTTCTGAAATTTTTTAGTACAAGAGTGTGAACCCATCAGAACGGGATGCCCTTCCATTTTTTGCTTCTTTGACTATCTCCTACTCCAGGATTCCCACTGCATACATATCTACTAGACAGCCACTAGAGGGCACTTCCGTGTCCATAGCACAAGAAACCTGTGCTAGAGCATTGCTGGACGTCCTCACGCTGTGTGAGGACCTCCCGCGCCTGTCAATTCCCCATAGGAAAGCATTGAAAAGCATTTTCAATGCTTTCCTATGGAGAGCTCTAGCCGCGCATGCGCATTAGGTTTCCTCAGCCGACGGGTGGGATCAATCTCGCCCACCTGCTGACGTAATCACTGGGAGGAGCGGCGGCGAGAAGAAACCACCGCCGAGGTTTCAGCTACTGGGGGATGGGTGGTGGGAGGGAGAGGGGACCTGCAGTGCCAGGAAAACGGATTGTTTTCCTGCCACTGTAGTTTCCCTTTACGATCTCTCCCGAGAATTAGAATGCCTTCAACAAAGTTGGTTAGTTTACAGAGAACTTCTAAAAAGGAAATTAGTTTGTTCTGTATTAGGGGCGTATACGGTGGCGAATATATCTGATCTGCCACTCTATCATTGACAAATATCAGCCATTGGTATCTCTGATCGTTTTTGTATGTTGAAAATTGAAGTTGAATTCCCATCAAGACTCAATTGAAAGGTTCCAAAGTTTGCCTTCCTCTTAGAAAAAAACCAAATACAAAAATAAAAGTCCTGCGCTCACTCCCGTCACCCCTGGGCGGCAGCAATGACTTCAGTACACATCAGCTAATACATATAGTAAAAACCAAAGAAAAAAGTTACCTGCGCTCTCTCCTTAATCCCTATGTATATTTAAACAAATGGAGGTCAGTTAGTTATGGCCATTGGAGGGAATGCCCGCCAGCCAACATCAAGGCAGACCCCCTGGACGGGGTCCTACTCTGACCCTTTTCCTTGCTTCCTTGAGCTTCTGGCAAAACTATATCTCAGAGAAAGAGAGGGATATTTTTTAAATACACCCCTATATACTTGTTAATCCTTAATAGGGAACACATGGGATGGGCGGCAGCATTGTAACCTAGCTGTGTTATACGAAAAGTGAATACAAATACAAAAAGAAAAGTCCTGCGCTCTCTGATCGTTTTTGTATGTTGAAAATTGAAGTTGAATTCCCATCAAGACTGAATTGAAAGGTTCCAAAGTTTGCCTTCCTCTTACAAAAAAAAAAGACAATCCAGATATCCTAGAGAGATTCTCGATGAGATTAACATTTTAGAAGGCCTACAGATTACCTCAGGTGGCTACAATTCCAAAGAAACTTCATAAAATTTTAAAAGACTGGTCTTCCATCCTGGCAATCGTTTTCTTCTGGCCAAATTACAGCTGGTTCTCTTCCCTACTCCATCTAGTCCATAGTGACAGAGCCATGGGAGCTTTCTGTAGCACAATAGATGTTGGAAAACAAGAACGTACCAGAACCCTTTATGTAAATAGAAACACTTTCAAACTAAGGGCATGGAAGTTGCAAGGGTTGATCATTTTGGGGAAAGGTATTAAAGAAAATGTTGTTGACAAGAAAATCTAGCTTAAAAATATACTTGCGTGTCTGGAATAAATTTCTGGCATGGCGTCGTCAGAAATTTTTTGACTCCTTCAGTCCTCTTAATCTAGGAATTCTAGAATTTCTTCAAGCAGATTGCAATTTAGGTATCTTTCCTTCCACTCTGAAAGTCCAAATCTCTGCACTTTATTTTTTCTCTTGCCCAGGATTTTGCCTCTAAAGCATTTATTAGAAGATTTTGAAAGGTTACATGCCAACTTCGTCCTCCAGAGCATTCTCATATTCCAGTTTAGGATTTTCTCTGGTATTGAATGTGTTATGCGCTGGACCATTTCAACCTCTGGAAGAATGTTCATTAACCCGTTAAGGACACATGACATGTGTGACCTGTCAAGATTCCCCTTTATTCCAGAAGTTCAGTCCTTAAGGGGTTAAAACACATTTTTAGTTGCTATAACTTCAGCTAAAAGGGTTAGTGAAATTCAAGCCCTTTCTCCACCAAGACAAGGTTGCTCTAATTCCAAGGATGTCTTTGTACAAAAGTTTTGAATCAAGCAATTTTATTGCCAACTTTCTATCAGAATCCTACTTCATCCACAGAATCTCGTTTTTCATTGTTAGGTTGTAAAGAAACCATTGTCCATTTATCTGGCGTAATTCAGATTATTTTAATTAATTACAAAGGGCATTCTAATGTTAAAGGATCTAGATGGCTATTCAGCTGATTTATTCTACCCAAGGTGCTATTCTCCCCTCCCCAAAGTTAGTGCTCATTCTATTAGAGCTATATCCAGAGGATATCTTCAAGGCTGCCACCTGGTCCTCTTTTCATATTTTCATTAAACACTACAGGTTAGACATCTTGGCCTCAGGGGAAGCGTCATAGGTGGCGTAAGGTGTTGCAAGTAGACTCATCTTAAATTCCCACTCTTCAGGGAGTTTTTTGCTTTCTCCCTCATGTACACGGGGGAAAACCTGAAATCTTACATTAAATTATTTTTTTCCTTAGTATCAGCAGCAGTACGAATATGTCCTCCCTTCTTGAATACATTTTAATACATCTGCATTATAATTGGTTGCAGTGTATTTTTTACAGGTATTTATAGCCAAAAGGTGAAGGGACCACTAAGATTTTTTTTTTTTTTTTATAATTCTTTATTTTTGTAGTGCATACAGTTGGAACAATAATGCTTGTGGTACCCCACCGGCAGTCCACTCGCTAATTTCAACAACAATAGATACAGTGGGGAGTGATTGGACAGTGCACATTTTGAATATGGTATAGACTGACAAAGTACATTTCACAAGCTTAGGTAGTTCGAGACTAGGCTAGTAATGACGCGTGAAGAGCAGAGTTTCAACGTTAATGAACAGGTTAATTAGGCATGTTTAGCTAGTGGGCGCAGTGAGTGTGAGATATGAGCTGTCCATGCTTAGTATGTATCATAAGTGATGTTCAGGTGTAAGTCTGTTTATATGCAGGTATATATGTGTACACCTGGGCTTGCTTTCCTAACATGTTACACAGGTGACTAAGTGAACACAATGAGTTAAGTGCTTGTCATACAATAGCATGGGTAGACAGAACAGTGCTAGGGGATAAGTCTGGCCAACAGAGCTAATTAGTCAAGGTGGTTGCTAGCTAGGAGTGGTTATCGGGACACAGAGCTATTAACACCTCTGTGTTCTGTAATCGTGGAAAGAGGGTAGCACTGACATTGAGAATAACAAGAGTCTTTACATTGCTGGAGATGATCTTGCTGTGTGTTAGCAGGAGCCGCTTTATCCAGTTGTCACCCAGTACCACCGATGGGCTGCAGCAGGGCGTTCAGCATTAGTGGGACCCCGAGATTTTCCGGTCCATGGACCTGTGAACCTCCCCACTGCACTCTGTCATGTCTCCTTGTGTGGTGAGTGCTGTCTAGGCGAGTTCTGCTGCCGGCACTTCCATGAGAGTGTGACTTGATCCTGCTTGCAGTGTCCATGAGCTTTACTGCCCTGTAGTAGACTGGTATGATAATAGTGGGTGCTTTTCTCTTTGACTGCGTTGTTTTCCTCATTTTTGAGCAGGCGTCATCTTGATCTCTCTGGCAGCTCGCGCACATGGCCGGCGCTCGGCGGCCATCTTGTGTACTGTCGCCCGGGTGATGTTCCCTGCTAGGGTGGTTGATTGGGCCAAGGTTGGTGTGCTGGTTGGTACCTCTGCAGACCGGGATGACCCCCCCGGTCCGGGGGGGGGGCGGACGCGAACCGACGGCCAGGAGACCCAGGAAAGCGGCCGTCCCTTCCTGGCTCAAGCCCCAACGAACTCCGAGCCCGGCCGGGTTACTGTCGGTGCCGGACCGGGACCCATGCGGCATCCCCGCTTTCCCCAGTGACTGGGGGTCCTTGTGGACATCTGTGGGACCCTCCGGTCGCGGTTATCCTCCAATTTGCTCAGGTTTTTGGGCCTTGGAGCGGGAGCTCAGACAGAACGCGTCTGATCCCGTCGGCGGCCAGACCCCGCCCCCGGGACCACTAAGATTTTAAATTTTATAGTAGGCTACTTGTCCCATTCAGTCTGAACATTCCTCACATACTGTCAATGATACCAAGAAAAAACTATTTACAGTAAGTAAAATGTCTGTTTTGTTTGATCTTCAGCCACCCTATATATAACCAATTATGACTGCAAAATGTTGTAATTTAGCACCAACCAAAGACCACTTATGTTTACAAAACATTTCGAATAACCAGGTTTTTAAAAATGCAATTAAAAAAAAAAATAGTGGAAATTGATATGTTTATTTCCTAAACAGCATATTGTGGAAAATTGACAAGCGAATTGCAAATTTAAGGGTCAAAGTATTGTAATAACTCCAACTTTACTTTTTTTACTCACCTTTGCTCAATTGGCTTAACATTTGCAATATCACCATTTCTGCACAGTTCATGGTATAGTGAATAACCCAGTTATATAACACCCCTTGTCATGTCCATTTTCTAAACAGAATGGAAGCAGTGTTGAAATATTCATCTCGTCATCCCAAACCCGCTGGCCTCAGCCTTCAGTATGGCACAGCTGGATTTCGAACCAAAGCGGAACATCTGGACCATGTTATGTATCGCATGGGTCTGCTAGCAGTGTTGAGGTCAAAGAAGACCAAGTCTGTTATTGGAGTCATGGTCACTGCATCTCATAACCCAGAGGTAAAGCAGTTTACAGCTGTATCAATTCATTATCCATTCAATCCGCAGACCATGACATTTGATTATTTATTTATTTTTATTATTTTTTTTTTGTCTGTTCAGGAAGACAATGGTGTAAAACTTGTGGATCCTTTGGGAGAGATGTTGGTACAGGCATGGGAAGTGTATGCCACAAACCTGGCCAATGCAGAGCAGCAGGAATTACAGACGGTGATGACTTTCATAATCCAGCAGGAGGATATAAAGATGGACCAAAAGGCTTCTGTAGCTATTGGGAGAGATACAAGGTAGGCAGAACTATGTTCTCTTTACGCATTTGTCATTGTACATCCAGGAAATATGTTTTTATTTGAAATTTTAGAATCTGCTTATTTCCTGACCAATCTCTCACCCCATTCTCACAGCTGAAATTGTACATTGCGTCACTGCAGAGTAATTTCTTAAAGGATCACTATAGTGTCAGGAAAACAAAGCATTTTTCCTGACACTATAGTACCCTGCACCTCAGAGTCCCCCTCCCGTGGCACTGAAGGGGCCGTGGCGCCTCCTCCCTGTCCAACATCAATGGAGCCGAATGCGCATGTACGGCAAGTGCCGCGCGTGCATTCAAAGTGTCCATAGGAAAGCATTTCTCAATGCTCTTCTCAATGGATGCGAATTTCGCATCCAGCGTTGCAGATGCGCCTCTAGTGGCTGTCTTCCGGATTAACCTTAAATATAAACATAGTTTCTCTGAAACTGCTATGTTTGCATCTGAAGGGTTAAAACCTGAGGGACCTGGCACCCAGACCACTTCATTGAGCTGAAGTGGTCAGGGTGACTACAGTGTCCCTTTAACTGTATCTGACTTTTATTGGGTTTGTGGTCCATCACGAGTGAACTCATTCCGGATCCTATTAAGCTGTGTCCTTCTTAGACCTTGCATAGTAGAACTTTGGGCTGTTCCACTAACAGGAAATTCTTATTAAAAGGTAATTTTGGACTAGACTAGTCCCTAGTTTCTGTTGTCTATATTTGATATGCAGGATATGCAACAATTTGCTGTTCTTTGGCAAAGTTGCTTGATTAATGTATAGAAAACTATAATATTCATCACTGGCAAGTGGCTAATTTCCTCAGTACATATTGGATATATTCAACAAATACAAACTTTGTGATGGTGGTGTTATATCACGAGTTGTTAGGCTTTGTTTCAAAAGGAGCAAATTTACAGCAAAATATTAACTGCTTTAGTCTTTTCTTGAAATGTACAAAAAGAGTAACCAAGTGGGCTACTTCTTGTTTAAGTTCTGATGCAAGGCAGTCCCCTTCCTCTGCTTCCCTGCTCACCGTTGCTTATTGTGACGAACTGAACCTCATCACGGATGCTTGGAGACCCGATCAGGGCTATCGGGGGGTGTAAATTTTGTGGGGATTTTGTGTATTTAAAGGCGTTTTTGAGGTTTTGTAAAAATTTATGTTTTCTGTGCCTGGCGATAATTGTTTAATACAGTGGCTGACTCCATTATCTCCCAGGCATAAGGGAGGGATTGACCTATTTTGTATGGGAGTGTCCTGGACTTGAAAGCCTGTAATCGTATATATGTTTTTACTGTAGTCTACTCTCAGGTCCATGGGGGAGTGCCCCTTGCCTGGTGACCCGCATAAAAGGCCAATTGTGGCTGCCATTAAAGAGATACGTTTTCCCCATCATGAAGTCTAGGCTAATGTTTGGGGTATTGGAGAGCTATATTCACTCTGGGGATTGCTATAATAACTATACTCCCTTGGATCACAACAATTGCTCTTGTAAAAGCAGCCTGCTTCACTCTCTGGACTAGGAGCTGTCTACTCATTGGATTCGGGATCCTGGTCTTAGGTCAAGGGTGGGTGGAGGACAGCAAAACCCCAACCAAGCTGCGGTGGTTTGTGGGGTTTATGGTGGTTATGGTGTCCCAGTGCGGTGCTTATGGTGCTCGACAGTAATAGGAAGCAGAGATTGACGGAGGTACCCAGTCGGGGTGCCAGGCGGTCCGTCACACTTATCATTTGGAGTTTTATTTAGGAGTAAACTCAACTTCGTAAAGACCAAAGGGTGGAATAATTCCATTATAACAAATAAGCCTTTAAAACTCCTATATCAAAGTGTAATCCCCTATTAGTTTATGGGTGGCAGGGCTGTATAGATCTGCAAACACAGCATAACGGCAAAGAGTCTATGGAATCTAAGTGTGGTGACGGCATGAGATATTATTGATCCTTAAGTAGTTAAGAAAACATAATGACAGGTAATTTAACTTCATTATTTTCAAAGAACCAGTATTAGAAAAAGAGAACAATCAGATCAGTTAAGGTGAAGGTAAATTTGCTAAAATGCTAAAAACAAAATGTGGATTTGGGTACAAGCCTACAAGGTAGGGTTTTAGATCAATACTTTCCCCCAAAACTTTAATGGGGGGGCCATGTTGATTACTGGAAATGTATGAAAATGTGTAGTGAATGAGCTGACATGAGACAATAAATGGCCCTGCATTGAATGGCAAGTCTTTATGTAGGACTCCATGTCATGTTCTGATTGCTCTCTTCATCATCTGTGTTGAAATAAACAATGGGGAAAAGAGTCAGTGCAACCACAACCTGAATAACTATCGGTTTTCTTTGGTTAATAAGTGATTGGGTACCCAACATGTTCGCTGATCATTGCTTGTGAATCTAATTGGCTGCAGTCATAGTGGATTTTACCTAGATGTTCAGCAGTTGTATTAACTGAACTCTCTGCATTGTAATGGGCAGAGAACCATTGACTACAAGAAAACAAATCAAAATGTACAGCAGCACTCTTTGTTCTTTCTTTCATTTGTGTTTTTTTTTTTTTAATCATTTTTTTGTCAATTGTGCCAGAATGCTTAGGCCACATTGGTGCTGGTCAAGGAAAAGAGATCCAGAGGTACTCGGTGGAAATGTGAAAAAAAAATACTTGTGGTGTATTCATGTATTTTTTTTTTAATATTTTTTATGAGAAAAATATATGCAGTTATCTGATGTGATATAGCCTGATTGGGAAAAAAATGTGTTCACTTTGGCATTCAGATTTATAAATGTGTGTGTAACCTGGCATGGGGTATACATTGTATGGAATTGTGTTTTTCTCTTCTTACTTTCCTTTTTCTGCTTAAATTTTTAGGCCAAGCAGTGAAAGTCTGTCCCAAGCGGTGATTGATGGAGTAACTGCCCTGGACTCCAAATATCATGGTATGCATATTCATTTGTAACCTCAGTGCAAACCAACTGTGCCTTCCTTCAGGATAATTTTACCTCAGTCAGTCCTTACATTGGCTTCCTGTATCCTATAGGAGTCAATTCAAAGTGCTAACCCATACCTATAAAGCACTGAACAATTCTAGCCCCTCTTATATCTCTTCACAGATCCATAAGTATGTCCCTTCTCGGTCTCTCCGCTCTGCCCATGACCACCTCCTGTCCGTTGTTTGCTCCCGTACGGCCAACTCATGCTTGCAGGACTTCTCGCGGGGAGCCTTCCTTCCTATGGAATAGCCTGCCTACTGCCATCAGACTCTCCCCTAGTCTTCAGTCATTTAAAAAGTGCCTTAAAACCATCTCTTTAGGAAAGCTTATGGCCTCCAAAAGTAACCTCTTCCTCACATACCTTTCTCTTGCTCTCTCCTAAAGGGCAGCACTCTACTCTCTCCTCCAGCTCTGCCTCACTCCCAACCTATTTGATTATGATTTCCTGTCCTAATGTGTTTTATAGCCCACCTCCTATAGACTGTAAATTAGTTTGGGCAGGGTCCTCTTCAATCTATTGTTCCTGTAAGTTTTCTTGTAATTGTCCTATTTATAGTTAAATCCACCTTCTCATAATATTGTAAAGCACCGCGGAATCTGTTGGCGCTATATAATTGGCAATAATAAAAAAAATGTAGGCATGAATTAAGATGGAATGTGTCATTATCATTCTTTGTAGCTCTATTGTGCAATTTCTCTTTCATTACTATATTTTTTAGACTATGGTCTGGTGACCACACCACAGCTTCACTATGTTATCTGCTGCCGGAATACAAACGGGGAATACGGAGAACCAACGATAGATGGGTACTACAAAAAATTGTCTCGGGCATTTAATGAGTTGGTCAAACAGGTAACAAGGTGTTCATAATATAATTGTTTTGTTTTTGGTTTTTTAATTACTCCTATTAAACAACAAGACAAGTAACGGTTAACTGTGTTACAAATATGAGTAAAATACAAACAAAGCAATAACCACATACTGACATCTGATATCTGCATTTGGTCTTGAAGCCTAAATAATCTCAATACCTCAATATATGTGTACGTGCCTATGTATATATGTGTCTGTGTGCATGTGTGTTATGTATATTTTAATAAAAAATGCACAAATAACCCATAGGGAGGGTTTTTATGCACTTCTGTCATTCTTTTCAACATTGTTTGAAGAATTAAAGGGACTCTTTACCTCCATGATCACTTCTGCTTTTAGAAGGGGTCATGGAGGAAGAAGTTTGTATCTGCAATTCCTCAGCGTCAAACACTGCACATACAGAACCATCAGCACTTTTGTGCTTGGTGCTTGTTGCACAACAGGCACGTGACTTGGTTCCGGACTGCCTTATATCACGTCTGCGCAAAAATCCTTAAATGGCTCCTTTGATTATTAGCTCACAGTAATAAGTGTAGCCGAGTAACGATATGTCACTAAGACTGCTGCGCGCGCGCGTGTGTGTGTGTGTGTGTGTGTGTGTATATATATATATATATATATATATATATATATATATATATATATATATATATATATATATATATATATATATATATATATATATATATGAAAAAGAGTAATCCAGGATGCACTCACAGGTCTTCATGCTGGTTAAATGGTGCTTTATTAATGAAGAAAGTACATACAGAAATCGATCGTTTTGACCCTGCCGGGTCTTTTTCAAGATTCTTGAAAAAGACCCGGCAGGGTCGAAACGTCGATCAATTTCTGTATGTACTTTCGTCATTAATAAAGCACCATTTAACCAGCATGAAGACCTGTGAGTGCATCCTGGATTACTCTTTTTCCTATATTTTGGACGCATTTGGATTTGCACCCAGACAAGATTTATTGTTATTATCTGCATAAGGAGAGTGCCAAGCTGTCATTTTCAATATATATATTTATATATATATATATATATATATATATATATATATATATATATATATATATATATATATATATATATATATATATATATATATATTTTGAAAAGTATCCTACTGTAACTAGTGAAAAGATGCATAGGCATGTGCTTACGGCAGGCTGTAGATTGCACATCTAGAAAATTGTAGATCCTAGCTGTGAGCCAGCTAAAGTAACTTAAAGGGACACTATAGTCACCTAAACAACTTTTAGCTTAATGAAGCAGTTTTGGTGTATAGAACATGCCCCTGCAGCCTCACTGTTCAATGCTCTGCCATTTAGGAGTTAAATCCTTTTGTTTATGAACCCACACCTCCCTGCATGTGACTTGCACAGCCTTCCATAAACACTTCCAGCAAAGAGAGCCCTATTTAGGCTTTTTTTTTTTTAAATGCAAGTTCTGTTTAATTAAGATTATCCCTTGCTATGTTAAAAAGCTTGCTAGACCCTGCAAGAGCCTCCTGTATGTGATTAAAGTTCAATTTTGAGATTGAGATACAATTATTTAAGGTAAATTACATCTGTTTGAAAGTGAAACCAGTTTTTCTTTCCATGCAGGCTCTGTCAATCATAGCCAGGGGAGGTGTGGCTAGGGCTGCATAAACAGAAACAAAGTGATTTAACTCCTAAATGACAGTGAATTGAGCAGTGAAATTGCAGGGGAATGATATATACACTAAAACTGCTTTATTTAGCTAAAGTAATTTAGGTGACTATAGTGTTCCTTTAATTACTTACATAAGGTAAAAATAAAACCAGTATATGAACTCTGGTAAACATGCCTGATAGAGTGAGATAGAAAAAGCTGGTTAAATCAACTGGTTGGATCGTTTGAATGAAAGTGATAAGTGTAACCGAGTAACGATATGTGACAAAGACTTCTGCACAAATTGGTGAGTATAGGGTCACTGGGGCGGGGCCGGACCACCATGCTGAACGGTCACCCTCAAGAGCAGCTCCTGCAATCTAATATATTATCAGCTTATAAACACTGATTAAATACCCACCCAATGACTGGCAGCTGTGGTGAAGGCACTCTGGTACCGAGGCGAGGCTTGCCAAAGCGTTCTAGTCCCTTGGAGGGGAGTTCCTTGTCACCCCAGATGAAGATTACCCGGGCGGTGAGTGGGGTGGACGGCCGCTGCCCCGCTATCCTGCCTACCAGTTCCTTGCCAAAAACACGAGGTGGAACTGGCCCTGTTCCTCCCACCCCTTGGACCGGTGGGGGTGATCCCAGTCCAAGGGGGGACTGGGATCACCCTGTGCCTCCTGTGATTGTGAAGACACCTGCACCCCAGGCTGCAGCGGTGTTGACCCAAGGCCCAGAGACCGCGTTCAAAATGGCGCAGACCACTAAGCTACATGTGCCAAAGCGAGAACTGCCTCAACACTAGCGAATTGCCGACTGACAAGAAAACTGTGGATGTCTGCTCAGAAGACTCTACACATCCACCCAGCCCGATACCTACTACACAGACTCCACCTCAAAATCGGGGCTCCAGCCATAGGCCAAACAAGATAGCAGCGGAAAAGCCAGAGACGAATCAAGCCGACGCATGCAGCACTGACAGGATCAACAGATGGCACGGTTTATAGAAACATAGAATGTGACGGCAGATAAGAACCGTTCGGCCCATCTAGTCTGCCCAATTTTCTAAATACTTTCATTAGTCCCTAGCCTTATCTTATAGTTAGGATAGCCTTCTGCCTATCCTACACATGCTTAAACTCCTTTACTTAAACTCCTTTACTGTGTTAACCTCTACCACTTCAGCTGGAAAGCTATTCCATGCATCCACTACCCTCTCAGTAAAGTAATACTTCCTGATATTATTTTTAAACCTTTGTCCCTCTAATTTAAGACTTATGTCCTCTTGTTGTGGTAGTTTTTCTTCTTTTAAATATAGTCTCCTCCTTTACTGTGTTGATTCCCTTTATATATTTAAATGTTTCTATCATATACCTACCCGAGATTTTGGCTCCCAGTATGAGACACCGCTCCAACATCCCGGCTTTGCCTGCAATACCTCCCTGATTGCGAAGAGGCCACAACACTTTGGTCGACTGCCTGCAGAGGGGAGGCTGACCCAGAGGATCACCAAGACCATTCAGAGCTGCGACCTGTCCGCTGTGAGCACCGGCTAAGCCGCAAGTTGAACATTGCCATTTTGACACCTGCCTAGCACACCACCACTGCTTCGCACCTCACTCCGCAGCTTTCAAGCATCTGCCCCGATCTGTCACTCCAAATAAGCAGCTCTAATGCCACAAGATCATTGACTGTCAGCTTGATGGCACGGGGGTACCATGCGGTGGTAAATTCTATGGATATATACCTAACTGTGTAACGCGTCTACTTATTTTGATTTTTAATTTCTCCACTGGGTTTGCATTATTATCTTGTTTTACACCTCTTTAATAGCCTCTATTCAGTCAGAAAGATAAGCATGTTTCTCCAGTAGCATCCCCATGTCTAGGAGATTCATTTAGCAAGCCTCAAAGTAGAGATGTGTAATGTATGATATTCCTCTGTCTCTGCATGGAAACTTTGCAACTACAGATAGTCTAGTCATGTTGAAATACCTTGTTGTTTCTCATACTTTAAAAAAAAAATTTAAAAAAATGGTGCAGTGTAAGGATGCCAAGCAGCAATGTACTCTGTGTACCTTTAAGAATGCTTCTTATAGTGTTGCTTACATGTGCTGTTGTGGCTATGTTAGCATTTTTTTGTATACACATGCACTACAGAAATAAAGAATTAAAAGAAGAAAAAAAAAAAGAGTATAGGGTCACCCAAAACTACCCTCTCATCACTGCTATAAAGTAAAAGAATGGTTTGGTCCGCGCAGGGCCTTCATCACAACCCAAGAATGTCCAGCCAGCTGGGGGGGAAAAGCTAATAGACGAAAAATCAAACCAGTTCCTTCTAAAATTAATCTTTTTCTCACTTTGCACATCACTTTGTTTCATCCTAGTTCATATATCTTACCTTTTTTTGATTTTCAGGTTTGCAATTTCAATTACTTTGCAAAACTGTTGTTCATTAGTTGGCCTCCACCTGCTTTTCCCTTCTGATCTTTACCCTTATTACCACTGAGAGTGCTTAAGAATCATCTAAAGCCATCTTAATATACTCTTTACTGGTACAGAAATTGGCCTACGTCCAGGAAAACCCAGTCGAATAGTTAAAATTACACATTTGCACCATCTTTATTTTTCTATTGATGGTGAAATTCTGTTACTCGTGTATTCGTTCGGTGATAAAAATATTGAGATTTTTTTACATTATGTTTTAGGTTGCTGTCTGTGGGAATGGACGCTTATACTTGAATGTGGATGGTGCAAATGGTATTGGTGCTTTAAAGCTAAAGGAAATGGAACAGCATCTAAATTCAGTGCTTTCACTTAAACTTTATAATGAAGGCTGCAAAGGGAAACTCAACTGTGAATGTGGAGCAGATTATGTCAAAGTACAACAGAAACCTCCACAGGGTAAGGAGGCCGCTGCCTTAGAGTCAGGACTGGCTTTACAGTAAGTTTATCTCATTACTCTCCTTCCTGTCTCGTTCTAGGTATTGAAGTGAAACCCCTTGATCGTTGCTGTTCTTTTGATGGAGATGCTGATCGAATTGTTTATTTCTACAAAGACCATGGTGGAGTGTTTCACCTACTTGATGGAGATAAAATTGCCACCTTAATAAGCACTTTCATCAAAGAACTGTTAGTGAAGGTAAAGGCTACTTTAAACCCATATCCTATGTGTTCATTGTGAAGACTATAGGAGCATTTTATTTAGCTTTGTTTGCTGTATCAACTGTGTATGTACAGTAGAGTGGATCAGTCCTTATTTTCGGAGGTTCCTTTTATTGACACATTCAGCTTGGTGTTGATGTTCCTTTGCAGATTGCTAACGGACATGCCGGTGTGTCTCTATTGGCCCACACTCACTGGGGCAGTGTCTCCAATGTTCTTGCTGGTACCACTTGTTTCCATTGTGATTGTTGCACTTTTAGACCACTTTATAGAAAAGAACATCTTGATGATCACCCCCTTTGGTTTTTGTTTGAAGCTTAGTCTTTTGAAACATTGCTGAATTCAGTCTGCTCTCTAAAGTCTTTACAGCTGATTAACAACACAACCAAGAATAAATTCATTTGAACACCCAAGAAACACAGTCCAGTTTTATTAAAATACAGAACAAAAAGAGATATGCACTAAAATATATATCACAAACCTTAAATTTAATCCCTAACTTTTATTTTTATTTACGCAGGTTGGCTTGAGTTTACAAATGGCAGTTGTGCAAACTGCCTATGCAAATGGTAGTGCCACACGTTATTTGGAAGATGTTATGAAGGTATCTTATTTTGGACTTATCTGGTTTTGTTAACGCATTTGGGGATTCTGTTTGCTTCTTTATCTATGTGGATCCCAAATCCAGTGACCCTTAGATATGTTTGTATCAAGATCTAAAATCCATGGATATAGTGACGTGATAATTCGCTATTTGTATTGTAAAGATTTGTGATACTTGCTTAAATAATTTAAAAACTGGTGATTTGTATCGTTATTTTAAAAATGAGTATATCAATGTGATATAATGTGTAGGAATATTTCCTAATTTTTATTGGCACTTATATAAAACAAGTATCAGGGGGGTGGGGCCTGACAGCCAACCAAGATGGCTGCATGTTGCTTGAGCTCTTAAGTGAAAACCAGAATTGTCACGTTTATACTGATATTGCTGCTGGTTTTCTGACCAAGGTAAGTCTCAGGTGAATTTGGGTCAGCTCTCCAGTGCTGTATCTTACTGCAGGATGTGGCTGTGTGAATGTAATAGGCTGATCTCCAACCTTAATTTCTATAGCAGAGTTGTTTTGTCTAATTTAAATATGTCTCTCCAAACACATTGGGCAGCAGTTTAGACTTTTTTTTTTCTTTTTTTGTGGTCTCAGAGTGGCACATTTAAGCTTACGGATTCATTTTATTCTTGTGTGTTCACAAATGAGTCATTATACTCTACTTCACTAGTCATTGGTGCCAATTTCATGCTTTGTTTTCATGTAGTTACTTGTTTGGTACCATTGCATGTCTCATGTATGTGCTACACTCCTTAACCGACCTATAATGCTAGTTTCATACCAGACCGTTTTCGTCTTATCTAACCTAAGCTTGAAGCCTGTGTCTGGATATCTGATAGGCATTTGTTTTTTTTTCACTTTCTTTTTGATTTCCTAAAAATGTGCTAGTACATGCCATGCCACAGCAATATGCCAACATGGGTCTTATTGAAAGCTTGCTTTGCTGTTGTGGCTTTGCAAGCCTACGTGTACTCTATTGCATGAAAGATATAAAGATTGACAAAAAAAACAAAAAACTTTTTTATCAAATCTTATGTAAAAGATTGTGTTCCGTCTTAAACTTCCTACAATAATGTGCTGTGTTTGTTGTATGTTTTGTAATATGTATATAGATGTCTCTGTGTAGCTGGGAGGATGATTTGTGAGCAGTACAGTGATGGATAGCAGCCATCATTAGCATCCGTTATGAGGTTTCCTATGTTCTATTCAGAGAATGGTTATATGCTGACTTTTTACTACACCTGAAGATAGACGCAGGATACCAGGACATTTCGCCCTGTTGGATTGTTTTAAAGAGTGATTTATTGAGTCACATCTGTCTCGTGCAAAACTGCAATTTGAAAAGATCTAAATCTTGTTACATCTCCTGTTCTTTTAAAACAGGTCCCTGTGTACTGTGCAAAGACTGGTGTAAAACACTTGCATCATAAAGCCCAAGAGTTTGATATTGGAGTCTATTTCGAGGCTAACGGACATGGAACAGTAAGCATGATTGTATTAATATGTTTACATAGTAAATATGGGGAAGGACGAGTGATGGATTAGTTCCTTGAGACTTCTCAGTAAAATAAATTCCCATATAGATGGTGCAATTAATTGAAAGAGAGATATTTTGTATAGGTAAGATTGTCAGGAATGTGACTTCTACAAAAATGAAGGTAACCAAGTTTTAAGGAGTGATGGTACATGAAAGTGGTATCGCACCATTCTATATTACTCTGTAAATGTATGTTTCTCTTTGTGAAAACTCGCTCCACAGGCATTCTCTGCTGCCATTATGACATTTAGAAGCGGTAGAATGTTTAACTAAAACATTGACTATATAGTGTCTACTTACTATGAAAGCAGTCTCTCTGCAGCTATTTGATTCTCTTATAACCAGCAGACAGTAAGACGAAGCTTGTTGTCCATTCCTACTCTCCATTGATCTACTTTTGATATAGTTAGCCATGCCAACTGCCTCAAGAGATGGGACCTTTCATAAATATGTGTCCCGGAGCTGTATTTATATATAACTTCATTTCACAGGTTCTGTTTAGCAAAACAGCAGAAGATCAGATCAGACAGCTGGCTAGTGAGGAGACCACTGATGACAAAAAGAAAGCCGCTCAAACACTACAGAACACTATTGATTTGATTAACCAGGTAAACCATATTTTATACAGTCTTGTGTCTCCTTTCTTTTATGTTTGTTTGTTTGTGCAAGCAATTATCTAAGGATTCTATATGTTGATGAATTGCAATTAGTACATATTGTATTTGTGTGCAATAAAATCTATATTTAAAGGGTTACTGCAACCACCATAACCACTTCAGTGATTTAAAGTGGTCATGGTGGAAAAAGTATATCTGTGCAGTGTTTCTACTTTAAACGCTGCACTTACAGTGTTATTGGTACTCGTATGCTGGGTGCTAGTTACACACCTGGGAAACACAGACTGAGGTGAAGGGTGGGGGATGTGAGGGGCCGGGGTGACTATAGGCTTCTTCATAACTGGGAGTCACTATGCATTGGTGTTCCAAATGTTCTGCTTGGCAAGGGAATTTAAGTTATTGTTTTTATATCGTTTTATTCATGTCTATAAAATAAGAGGCTCAACAACCCGATTCAAATGTGCCCACTATGCTATTCCTGCCACTTTGAACAAATAAAGAATAAAAAAAAAAAAAAATAATCCGTGTGCAAAGCACACCGGCAAAGGTTGTATTAAGCTTTCCTTTGCAGTCAGTCCCTGCAAGAGGAAGTGTTTTTCTCTCTTCTCTTCCTCCCTTAGTTGTGCCCTACCTGCTTCAAAATAAAATAATTTTTTTTTTTTTTTTTATGAATTCTCCATCCCAGTCTCCCTCGCCACCCCCTTTCTCCCTCTTCTCGACAGATCAGATTGCATACATGTACTCTGATACTGCGAAATGGTTCAATCACCATGAAAATCCTGTGACTGGACCTTGCAAGGTTCTGGTTGACGTCAGGAAGGGGAGTGGAAGGTTGGAGCTTTGCCCAGCGCTGGATATTTTTTGCAGGTTTAAACTCAATGGAGGGGGATCCGACTGAGTTAAAAGTGCTTATTAGGGCATTTTAAATAGGAAAAGGTTGCCTTGCAAGAAGTGGATGGAGTGCTGGAGTTGATGTTGCTTCTTTTAGAATGGTTTCACATCTTACCTATGGTATGCCAGATGTGTTTATCTGTCTCGGTTACTCCATCTCTGTTTCCCTGAAGCTTTATGCCCGGCAGTGCAAGGCTTAGCTCATTGGCTGAGAGTGGTCAACTGATGCCCACAGCCAGTAAGCTAGCCCTACAGAGCAGAGCTCAGCTCAGGAGAGCTAATGGCAGAAGCTTTTGACTCTCAGAGGAAGGTGAGGAGTAGCTCCTGGCAGAGCCCAGGTAAGAAGTCAAACCATCCTAAAATGGAGACAGAGGATTAGAAATAAGATAAAGAATGCTGCAGAACATTTATTTTACATTTTTACAAAACATATACAAAAATGCAGCAAAATATTTTAGCTGCAAGGAACTGATAAAATGTGAGGACTGCAGTGATAAACGTGATTTGCCTAACTTTACATACATCTTAGGCCTCCTAGCACAGTTCACCATATAGTACTGTTTTTTGGGGGGTTTTTTTTGTATGTGATTATTTTTTATTGAGTTTGTACAATTTTAATTTGAAGTGCAGTCATTGTAGTGCTTTAAATGAAAGCAGTACTTGTTTTCCCCTGGATCTCTCTGTTGTCTTTCACACTGCCCATTACCGGTTACCTCTCTCCATGTTATATCCATTAGGTATCAAAGATGCAGCTTGTGTGGCTCACTTCATATTTCTCAAATCAGGGGAGTGTTGGCATCTATTTTGCTGGGCACAAAGTACAGATTAATGGCCTTTCTTTCTGCATGAAACTCTCAGCTTTCATAGAGAATGATCCTCCTCACATGACACATGCAGTACATGAGCTTGACAGATGGAGGCTGCTGGAGTTGTGAATTGTGATGTCATATATTGCTGCTGCTTCCATCAGTATGACCTGTTCAGCATGACAGAGGATTCACGGAGATCTGTGATGGGTGCCTTGAGTGCAGTCTCATCTCATCCCAAGGCTACTTGCAAACACCTCCACACGATAAATACTTATCAATAATCGCACATCCTCATTGGCTCCAGATTCTACCATCCACTTGGAAACACTTCATATTTATAGGATTGGATTTATCTGCAGTTTTTTCAGTCTATATTCCTACAGCGCTTCCAAAATGTGGATATATCTCTTTATTTCTTTCTGGGCACAGAGAAGAGGCTTTAACAATTTTGTAATGCCAAAACTTGACACCCAATACAAGTGTTAATGTGTTTAGGTATTTAATCATGCACCTTTCTGAATAAGCTCAGCAGACTGCCTTCCAACATGTATTAATGTTATGTGAAAAATGATAAATTATAACTCCGTTTAATCTATATTATCTGATTTTATAGACTGTTGGAGATGCAATTTCTGACATGTTGGTAATTGAAGCTATCCTAAGTCTCAAAGGTTTGACTGTGCAAAAATGGGATGAAATATATACTGACCTTCCAAATCGCCAGCTTAAAGTGAAGGTTAGTGAAATATCTGCCAAACACTTCAATAGTACACGTCTAGTCACAATTCAGATTTTTAAATGACCGAATTCTATTAAACCATTAATGCAGTTAATGTTTGAATTTACAGTGATAAATAATTTGGTCGCTGATCATTATACTGTCTTTTCCCCAAAACCGACATTGGAATAATCCCAAAAGTAAAACCATAATTTGTGAAACCTACTGCAATTAAACAGAAAGCTTAATATGTGCAAATATAAGATCGGTGAATCAAAATGTTATAACCAAGAAAGAAGTATATGTTAAAGTTTCCATGTAAAAGAATGATGTCTAAGCATGAAAGAAGGAAAATATTTGGGCCAATCGCTCTTCTGCAGAGCAACCATAAAAAAATCTGTCCTAGGGCGCACATGATAATTTGATTCTAACCAATCACTGATGAAACATTGTGCTTCACATTACACATGTGGACTTTTCATGGCATAGGGCACGAATTAGGTCATCACTACTTGATCTGACATATTTTTCAAGGACTGTGGAGTTGGTACACACAAGATTTGGCTCTGACTCCCGACTCCTCAATTTTTCCCTTTGGCTCATTTTATATATAATAATAATAATAAAAAAATCTTTATGGGATGTAGGGATGTGTACATGCTAAAATAGGATAAATTATGTATATTTTGTAGATAGTAGCAACTATAAAGGCAACAAAAATGAATAAGAATGCAACACTTGTGTGCAAATATATAACAAGGCATCAGTTAGTAACATATTAAGTTTATATAAAGTATAGTATGCTACATCTATATAGCATCTGTATTTGTGCTGGAGTTGAGAGTGAGAGAAAAGAAATATCTGGAGCTGTTAGTAGTTGGCAGACGTAGCCTGTAGAGCTGCAGGCAAAAAGAAATCTACAAGGTTAAAAATAAAACAAATTAGACGGTAAAATAAGAAATTAAATATAGATGCCTTAGGTAACTGGTCCATCAGTTAAAAGCTACCTAAACTTATATAACCTCTCACATTTTTGGGGTCCACATGAAGTCGGAATGGGTTCCTTTTTTACTGACTCCAGTAACTTTAAATTGCTTTCTAGTCCACAGCCCTGCATTTCTCTCTTCTGTTAGTAGATTACTGAATTTGTTGCTTTGATCACTTTTTAAGGCATATCTATTCTGCTTGAGAATAATGATGCACTTAAACTGTTTTATTGCAGTGATTGGCTTACCCTTTTGTTTCTGTACTATCCTTCCTTCTTAAAGTATGTGAAAAACTGGCGTGGTATCTTCTGTCAACTTTTTTCATTTACAAATGAGAAAATCATTAAGAATTTGTATGTTTTTTTTGTTTTTTTTGCTCTTTTTTTTTCTCTTGTGCCTTCTAGGTCGCAGATAGAAAGGTAATTGAAACTACTGATGCAGAGAGGCGTACTGTGAGACCACCAGGGTTACAAGAGAAGATTGACAACCTTGTTAATAAGTACAATTTGTCAAGAGCATTTGTGAGACCTTCAGGAACAGAGGATGTAGTCCGTGTATATGCCGAAGCAGACACCCAGGTGAGCATTTACACAACATAATTCAACATTGGGTTGCATGATGTGATAGTAATCTATGCATTAAAGGGACGAGCTTTGAGTCTTTTTTTTTTCCGTATTATATAGTAATGGAAGTTATAAAAATACAAGAGTGCACGGGAGACAACTATTTAAATAAAATATATATGGGAGTGGTATTAAAATTAATCATGCACTGGTGTTGCTATGTTTTTGTTGCTGGCTCCATACCCAGGGCCTGCGCATCCTATAGGCTCTGAAACGCGCGTTGAGTTAGACTTTTTTTAATCAGGTTAGGTTTAATGTATGTATGTATGTATGTATGTGTGTGTGTCTTTATGAGTCAGTGTGTATGTGTGTATGCATGGGTGTGTATATGTATAAGTCTGTGTGTATCCGTCTGCATGGATCAGTGTGAGCGTGTGTGTGTATAGGTCAGTGTATGCAAGTCTGCATGAGTGGGTGGAACGAATGGGGCGGCAAAAATTATTTCGCCTACGGCGAAACAAATCCTTGCACTGGCCCTGTCCATACATGTACTAAGAAAACTTCCAGTAGAACTATATTAATACTGTTTTCACTTTATAGGACAATGCAGATGCTCTGGCTCACGAAGTGAGTTTAGCAGTGTTTCACCTTGCAGGAGGCGTCGGAGATGTTCCAAAGCCTTTAAGATGAGGAATAACCGCTGCAGTGTATAACCTATTTTTAGGATCTTCTTTCTCAGAGACTCTTTCTACAAAAACAAATATAGTAGAAGTTTTTTTTCTCTTTAACTGGAATAATGTTGCTCTTGAGATTTTGGGTAAAAAAATAAAAATATAGACCTCATTTATTACAAAATGTAGTCATTATAAATATTTAATAAAATAACATTTCAAATTATTGGTGAAAATCCCTTTAAGGGAAATGTGCTTGGTGAGTTCACAAGTGAAATGCAATAGGCTGTGTAAATGTCAAATACATGGGTTAGTCAGTGAACATTGTCATATTACATGTGCCAGAATATTAGTTAAACTGTATAAATCTGACTTGATCTTTCATTTTTATAGATTTGTTTTTTCATGCAATGCTTCTGTACTGTACAGTGATGCATAGTATAAAAACAATCAGAAAAAAAAATGCAAAGTCAAACACTATATGATAGTCACTCTGTTCTTACTCCAGTAAATATGGCACTTGGATACAATATAATTTAATATTCCAATGCAGGAGTGCCATATCAAGGGTCCATACTAATGATTCTACTAGCAGCCCTGATGTCCTCCCCATGTACCATATAAAATTGCTGGTGAATTTTAGATACTGTGGCAGGACTCTTGACAATAAACTTCAAATACAAGCCTCAGAATAAATTAGTATTGCTGTTTATTTGCACTTTCCACAGGGTGGAATGCTGTGCTTCACGGAAATAAATAAAACAAAAAGAAAATAAATCCTACTCCAACTTGGAGACTTACTAAACAATAGTATTCCTAACTATCCACCTGGGCAGCTAATCCAGTTCCCAGTTTTAAACAGTTTAACCCCTTAAGGACGGCGTGCGTGCTATGCCGTACTTGGGGACCGGGCTCTAAACGTCGGCGGGTGGCAAGGTACGTCCCCGCCGTCCGTGGGACTTACCGGCTCGCTGGCGATCACGATGAGGGGACTTGCCTGGCATCTCAGGCAGTCCCCCTGCGTCTGATCCGGCCATCCTGGGCCATGTGATTGCGAGGACCTCGCGATCACATGGACGGAATAGCCGTCAATAGTGCTGCCAGCAGGGGGAGTGCCTAGAATGACAGGTAGTCCCCCTGCTGCCTGAAATAAAGTTCAATAAAGGTTAAAAACAGTGTAAAATAAAATATATACTTAGATTGAGTGTATTTTAATAATAAATATATATATATAGTATCAAAATACACGTAGAATATTAATTAAATATATAATATAAAAGTGTTAAAAATGAATCAAAATAATTGTGTAATTTCGTTCTACGTGTATTTTGATATAGATATCAAAATACACTTAAAATGAAATATGTATCTATATACATAAATATATATCAAATGTATCAGATTGCGTACATGTACTCTGATACTGCGAAATGGTTCAATCACATGCTTCTCTATGAAAATCCTGTGACTGGACCCTGCAAGGTTCTGGTTGACGTCAAATTATATATTAATTCTACGTATATATTTATGTAATTTTTTGCATAATTAGGTCATTTTATTAAATAAAATTTGCGGGACCTGCCTAACAACCCAGGAAGAAAGTCCAGGGAATTTAATTTGCTAGCACTATATTTAACCCTGTAAATTTCCAAAACACCATAAAACCTGTACATGGTGGGTACTGTTTTACTCGGGAGAATTCGCTGAACACAAATATTAGTGTTTCAAAACAGTAAAATGTATTACAACGATATCTTCAATAAAAATGAATTTTGTTTTTTACACACAAATGGCACTTACACTGACAATATTGTTGTGATACGTTTTTATGTTTTTGAAACGATATTTGTGTTCAGTGAAGTCTCCTGAGTATAACGTACAGGTTTTATGTTTTCAAAAGTTAGAGAGTCAAATATAAGGCTTCTGTTTTGTTTTTTTCCCATTGAAATTCGCCAGATTGGTTATGTTGCCTTTGAGACCATATGGTAGCCTAGGAATGAGAATTACCCCCATGATGGCATACCATTTGCAAAAGTAGACAACCCAAGGTATTGCAAGTGTGGTATGTCCAGTCTTTTTTTTAGTAGCCACTCAATCACAAACATCTGTGATGAAATGCCTTAGCATAAATAACTCAAATGTGCAATAGTAACAAGTAATTGCCTCATCAGTTAAAGTGGCTCTATTACATCAAACAACATATCCCATATTGATTCTTCTTTTCTTCCTGTCTTTCAATCTGTTCTTCTTAGCACTTCTATTTATCTTAAAATACATAAGCTTAAGTAGAGACTACTTTGCCTTACGCATTTTACTCCACTTAACAAATGGTGTAGCTTAAGGCAAATTCCAAATAAGAAAAGAAATTACTATAGAAGACTGAAAGAGTAGAGGGTAAATTACCATTCCTCTAAAAGTCCCCCCGGTATATCCACAGCAATGGGAACGACTGACAGGGCCAGAAGAAATAAATTAAAATACTTAGTATATCTTAATTTATGTTTAAGTAAAATTTAATAAATAGTGAAACACAAATTCAAACGTGCTGGTGATATTTAAAAAGAAAAGACTTGATGCAGCTTATATGAAATCTCCTGATATATCGAAGTCGCTGTTATTCAATAGTAATAAAGGAATTAACTTGTACAGTCAAAATATTTTGGTCAAAGAAGTCGTCAGTTGGAGGACATTTTGTTGAGACTTAAATGACTAATAGTAAACAGCACTCTATCTAAGTATTAGGAGATTCTAAATGCAAAGCAAAGAAAACAGGAGAAGAAAACCTGAATATGTTTAGCTCATAGTTAATAGTTGCTTATAAAAGGTATATATGTATATGAATGCTCCAGTATAGACACCTATGGTATACCCAATATATAGTGACAATGTATATGTGCCTCAATACTAAAGCATACAATAAACCCAAATTGAAAACCTAAAGCCACAGGTCCTCAAAATATATTGCTCAAAGGCAACTTGAAGGCAGGCTAAAAGCTTAATATATTGTCTTGATTGGTTCAAATCTATTTAACTCTCAGGTGGAACATAGATCTGAAGAGAAACAGCAATTAAATTTGTTCCTCGGAAGGCATAAAAAGTAGTAATAAATACAAAAAATAATAATGTAACTGCCAAACCCAGAAAGGTTGTCTAGATGGATATTAAGAGCAATAATTCCCAAATTCCATCAGTCTACCTATATTAATACTGAACACACCTGAGCTATCTTAGAAAATGTAAATCCTTATCTAAGAGGCTGCTGCTAGCGGTTACATTAATCCTGAAGCTAAGCAAATCTTCTAAAGTAATTTACTGCATAGTAGAAGAAACGAAGGCTACATCAAACCTAACCTGATAAAAAAAACAAAAAAAAAACGTCTAACTCGACGCGCACTTCGGCACACTAAGGCGCCTTAGTGCGCCGAAACGCGCGTCGAGTTAGACTTTTTTTTTTTTTAATCAGGTTAGGTTTAATGCAGCCTTCGTTTCTTCCACTATGCAGTTTTGCTAGGCACTTCGGATGCAGAGTGTGAAGAAAACCCCTGTTTTATGGACTTAGTTTGACTATTTTATTCTCCCCCCCCCCTCCTTAGAACACCAGCTAAAAACCCTTATTAACTGTCATATTTTCAAACTCTGTCTGACCCTGTTTAACTGTCATTTTGTTTTCCTCTGTGTTTTGCTGCATGAGTGCTGTTGCTTTTGTGTGCTCATTAAACAGACCTGATTGATCCTTTCTTGAAGCCTTGGCTCATGCTTGGGGGATGGGATAAGTCTGCAGTGCTGATGGTGTCGGTTGGAGTGCTTGGAGTCCTTGGCAAGCACTAGGAGCATCGATTGGCGGAGGTACTCGGTCGGAATGCCAGCGGGTCCGTCACACCAAACAAACCTAATTTCATTATATGAAGAAGTTAGTAGAAATATAGATTGGTTGTTGCAGTGGATGCAATCAGCTTAGATTTTGCTAAGGCATTTGATATGGTTCCACACAAAAAGTTACTTTTAAAACCGTTAAAATGTCACGTAGAACTAAAAAAATTTAAAATAAAATCTTATTTTCTCCCATTTTTTTTTTTTATATTTTATTCATATTAAATTAAGTTCCATAGCTAAATATTTGATGTTAAATGAAAGCCCTGTTTCCCCTGAATAAACTGATATATAATAAGTGTGGGTGCACATAATATGCCAGGTTTTGTTTACATTTTGATCACAACTTGTACATTTGGCTCAGTCCTTAAGGGGTTAAAGAAAGAATGCAAAGCGTAAAAGTAAATAAACATTTTTAAATTGACAAAAGTGGTAAGTGGAGTACTTCAGGGTTCTCTCTTGGGTCCACTTCTCTTGAATCCCTTTATAAATCTTGAAATGAATTATGAAATCCATGTCAGTATTTGCAATGACACAAAACTAGGTAAGATAATACACTATTAACATGATAGAACTGCTCTACGGAGGGATTTGGATAAATTGGGTGACTGGGTAGGTAAATGGCAGATAAGATTGAATACAGATAATTGCAAAGTCAATTTTGGAAAAGGGAACCCATTAAGCCACTTATATATTAAATGTAAAGAAATGTAAATGACATAACTGTATGCAATGCAGTCTGCCATTGCAAAAGCTAGTAAGGTGCTTTGGTGTGTAAATAGGGATATTGATTAATGTGATCAAAATATAGGACACCACCTTGAATATGCAGTGTAATTTTGCACGCTAGTTTTAAAGAAAGCTATTGCAAAACTAGAAAACGTGCAGATATGAGCTACAAAATGAATAAGGGGGTGGTGGAACAGGCATGAAAAAAGGCTGAAAAACAATTTGTTTTCTTTAGAGAAAATGTGTCTAAGAGGATCTGACAGCACTATACAAATATATACAGAGGCAGTACAAACTGCCATGTGCTAACCTGTTCATTAGCAGGAATATACAAAAAGTTAGGTTATCCATTGAGACTGGAAGAAAGGAGTTTTCACTTACAGCAGAGGAAAAAGTTATTTGCAGTAAGAACCAGAAAATATATTGAATCCCCTACTCGAAGAGGTTGTCTAGGAGAAATCATATTGCCATTATGGAGTCAAGTAGGAACTTTACCATTTTTTGTGGCATAATTGACCATCACTTTAATTTGTTTTGTTTTTCTCTTTTAGATCATCAGTTAAAGATGTGTTTGAAAGATTGAACCTGATGGATTGGAGTTTTTTTTTCAATTTAGATAAATACATAACAGGTAAAAATAGCACAATTAAAATAGGCTAGTTTAATATAGAGAACTATACGTGTGAGTGACATTCAGCCATTCTTGAATCTACTGAGAGAAATATACACGTAAACCACGTATGCACTAGGTTCTAGTATACTGGGTCTAAAACATAAATATGCACAAGGCAGAAAATAATGTGAATTGTCAGATAAAGGGAGCAGAAATATTACTCCATTAACTTATGCATTTGATAAAAAAATAGTTTTGACCTCATGATAATGAAATTTCAGCGAGGAGGTAAAATAAAGCTAAACCCTCACAGGGTTACTCACCGAGGTAATAATTATTTGTAATTTAAGGTAAATTTAAAATTCAAGGCCAAAATAGCAGAACTGTTAACATTTTAGCTACTGCAGCCTTAAATTTGATATTCACTTTGAATTCCTACTCACTTTAGTAAAGAACTTTGTAAGGGTTTAGCATTATTTTACCTCTTTTCTGAGATGTCTATATCAGGTTTAATACAATTGGGTTACAAATGAATGTATGACTTAATGGTGAAGCACTTCTGCTCCCTTTGTCTGACAACTTGCACTATTTTCTACCCGGAGTATAATTTATGTTCAGTATGTTAAGTTCACTAGAACCCAGTAGATCTATGTTTTACTTATATTTTTTTTTACTTTATTGAATAACCCTGTCACATACTTATAAAATTACTCTAACACTTGTCTCAGAGACATGTTTCTCCTATGCCTTTACTTGAAATAGGAAAACTCAGGGTAAGAAGCAGTAATAGAGGCAGAAGAACTGCTGCAGGACTTGCACTGTATACAAATAGTGATAGAAAAGTGACAGTGCAACTTGCTTACACTGGAACTTCCTCATATACTCCATACATCATCGTCTCCTCAAAGAGAGCGTTTATTCCTTTCCTTGGGCGCTGTTTAGTGATTATTCTAGGCAAGAGAGGCCTTAACTTTCCCTGACTGGGCCTGATCAAAAAAGGAGTCTGAAAAAACAAACAAAAAAAAACCCTAAATAATTAAATTGTGGCCTACTAAATCAGACTTCCTCCTAACTGCTGTGATTGCTTGATAGGGTGTGGGCAATACTGGTTACACTAATTTCCTTTTAACTTTGCTAAAATGGGAGGAGTTATCCATTAGTTAATGCTGCATAGTTTGAGAAACAATATTTTTTTATTGATTTCTGATAGTTTTATAAAAAGAAATGGTGCAGTCTGTTGAAACATGTTTTATGAATGTTTGATGAACGGAAATAAAGCTCCAATGGATCTTATATTTTAAAATTGGGTAGAAAAATTGCTGAGCCAGTGGCTGATTTGATTATGTGGTTATTCACCCTTGTGAGTATTCCCTTCCTTGGTATGAGCATTTCACACAGATACAACTTTTCTTGACATCAATCTATGTAGCAGATAAAATTGTTCTCTGATATTCATTCTAAGATTGTTATTAACAATAAGGTGAAAGATGGTCAAATAATTAAAGGCTGACAAAAAGGGGGAAAGAAATCAACTCTATTTTCCTTTTTCAGATTAACAGCTGACAACAACATGGGACAGATAATTTAAGCTTCACATTCATTAAGAGACATTTAAGCATTATTTATGATACATCCAGAGTTCTTGTTTTATTTACAGATAAAAATACTTAAATTAAATACAGTCAATCCAGATGTAAAATATGTCTGTTACAGTACAAAGTAGAAAAAAAATCCCTATACAACTGATCGGTATATGTGTTAAATAAGGAGTGAATAGTGGCATTATCCCTTTAAGTTGGTCAACTTTTTAAAACCCCTTCAAGGAAATCTCTTTCCAGCATTTCTTCAATTTTCTGCCGTGCTTTGCTGGAAAACACTTTCTGATTCTCCAATTTGATGTCCTTGTTAGGTAATGAGTTTGGGTATAATATTGGGCTTCCCACATCCCCAACACATCTACTGGTGACCTTGCTGTTGAAGACGTGACTCAGTACATTAAAAAAAGGCAGGAGTTGCTCCATGCTACGAATGGTTGGGATGGTAAGCAAGAGATGTCCTGGGTCCCAGTCTAGAGTTTTACACGAAGTGTCCTCTTCTGGGTTTTTCTATATTAAGAAAAGATACAAATGCCACACTATTTATTATGCAAGATTATTGCTGGAAATATATGTATAAAGAACTAATAGTATACAAGAAAATTGCATATTATTAGTTATTTATACATATATTTCCAGCACACAGTGAAGCTTGACATTTGGTTTTGTATAAGACTGCAGCTTTCTGGTTTTCTTTTTAAAATTCTTTATTTTGGTTGTGCATATAGGAAAGCGTACAAACAAGCTTACTATGCCACAGCAGCATGAGCAAGCACAACAATTCACGTTTGAAGCATTAAGGGACATACTAGCATCATGCACATTTTTATATTTATATGAGATAAGTGATAGTCAGTGCAAACATTAAAAAACTAAACTATGCTTGGTGCTCTGACAGGTTTATACCAAGACAATAATGCAAAATAAACAACAGTAGCTGTACATCTTAGCTAGAAAGGTTTCCCTGGACCTGTCATGAGGGAAGGGAGAGAACAAAAAATGAGGCGTCTGACAGAAGACTAGCAGACTTTGTTAGACTGAGAGACAATAGGAGGAAGGGCAGAGCTTTCTGGTTTGTGTTTCTGAAATATCACTGAAGCAGAAATGCTTAATGGTGTCTTACTGTCCCTCTAAAAGATGCAGGGGACACATTAGCACAAAATGGAGCAAAAAAACACAAACGTTTCTCTGCATTGTTTGGAGCAAAAGAAGGTTAAGTAGGGCTTTATACAGTGTATTTTTGTTTGTATTCCTCAGCCATTGAAGTAAGGAGTTATTCTGGAAAACACATTTAAAAAGATTACTATAGTCACCATAATCCATAAATCTCATTGAAGTGGTTATGTCGCCAGCTCCATTTCCGAACGGTTTAACACTTATGATTTAGCACTGAATGTTTCCACACTTGCCTGAGCAGCAATGGGAGGCAGTAATTGATCAGTGCTGCCTATCGCTGGTATGGGTTTGTATGGCTAATGTTATACTGTGCCATAGCTCAAGTGAGGGTAGACTGCAGACACCTAAGGATCCTCAGTGTTAAAACCAATTGAAAAAACAATGAACTTTGGGACAAGCCAGGGGACTCCAGGCACTATAACACCACTTCAAGAAGATGCACAGATTTGTATTGGTAAATGGATGCAGTTTAATTTGACTTAGAATTGTTTATTTAGTATGTTGTTTACTATGCATTTTTTTGGGTATTTTTCACCCCAGATCAAGTATAATAAAATAATATCTTTAATAAAACCAAATTATTTACCTTTGCTCTTTTCCTCAGTAATTTTGCAAGTCGCACCACATATGGTTTGAATTCCCTCTGATGCGTGCCTTGCCTTCGAACCTCTAGGCCTGAATCATCAGATGCTTCTGGGATAAATGCCCAGCGGTACCTTACAATGAGAAAACCATGCACTTTGAGAAGATGAAATTATATTTAATATTTTAATTGTACTGCCGCAAACACTGTCCTAGGATACCTTTTTTTAAGTCAGGTACTCTATTATGTTGATTGACCAACTTTTGCACATCCAGGAATATTGTTGACCGTATGTTACAATATGTATATATCCTTTTAACAATATACTGTATTATGCAACAGTGCTTGTAGGTCCACATAGTTGAATTCTCTCACCATGGAGCAAGTTGGACAAATCAGTTTATTATAAAAAGATCACCATCAGCAGCAGAAACAGAAAATACATAGCTCTTAGCTGCCTGACAGGTTTCAACAAAGATTTATTCCCAGCCTTACACTAAGATGAGGTGCTGGAATATATACAGGGTTATTAACTAAAGTCCAAACAGCTATATTATATATAAGGAAACTACATGCTGCGGTATGAAGCCATTTGAACTGCAATATCAGGACACTATTTAACAATGGCCAGATTTTGCAGAGCAGGCTCTAAACATGCCCAAATTTGGTCTGAATTTCAGCAGGTAACCAGTGAGCAAATACTGTCCCCACTAGTGATGTCCTGAACGGTTCGCCAAGGACTCATCATTGAGTAAACTTTGACCCTGTACCTCACAGTCAGCAGACACATTCCAGCCAATCAGCAGCAGACCCTCCCTCCCAGACCCTCCCACCTCCTGGACAGCTCACTAAGAATGCAGCTTCACAATGAATGTAAAATGGATGCTGTCCAGGAGGTGGGAGGGATGGTCTGCTGCTGATTGGCTGGAATGTGTCTGCTGACTGTAAGGTACAGGGTCAAAGTTTACACAATGATGAGTCTGCAGCGAACCGTTCAGGACATCACTAGTCCACACTCATGGTCAGCAAGTTGTAGCTATTTATTAAAATGAACAGGGGATTCCATGAAAAATATCCTCTAGCTGAGACTGTGCTTGACATCTGTGTTGTATTTTACATTCACAATAAAAAAAAGGAACAGGTGATGGGGGAAAAAAAACAAACAAACATACGTGGGAAGCAAAAAGCAAGTGAACGATAATTTGCAAATGTTCGGGATTATAGTGTTCAAAAGAGAAATGCACCAATTTTAAACTTGATATGATCGCGTCTGACCAAATGACACAGATTCAGTCAGATCGACCAAATTGCCACCAGAATTTTCATTAGTAAATCATGTTTCTGGTTGAAATTTAGTGAAATACCCTAATAATAGGTGATATGGATGTAACAACCAAACCATAAAAAACCCTGCCCCCCTAACAGAGCACGTGTTGTTCTGCTTGTTTTGCAGTTATGATAAAGTAACAAAATTTGGTGAAGCCAACCACCAACTATTCTTATATTTAATACCAGTCATAAACAAAGTTATTATTTAGCAAACAATATCTAAAACTTGTAGTTTCAATCCTACTGTATGGTGGTGATAAAACGGTAATCCAGAACACGTATAATCTTACATTTGAAACTGAGGAAGGTTCTCGGAAGGCAATGCTAGAGCCAAGTCTAGAAATTTGCAAGCAGACAGGTAGAGGTTTAGCCAGCGCTGGCTGTTGTACGATGTGGAGAAACCATTGCCCCCACTGTATGTTGTCTCCAAGCCAGCCACAGATGGTGCCGATATCCTGTAAAAGAACAGGGAATATTATTTATGTTCCAAAATCTGCGTATGAGCTTCAGTCATACCTCATATCAGAGCACTGGACACCAAGTACATATCATTATGCTAAATTTAATAATTATACTATAAAATGGTATCATGTATCAGAGAATCCAAGAGTTCCCTAAGAACTCTGTAAAGTGAACCTGATGGAAATGAACAGCTCTACTTTCAAAGTAGGATCCTGTTAAAATGACACAATTTGGATGGGGATGGCAATTAGAACTGTTATCCCTGATATGTTTAGCAAATTGACGATATGAATACAAAATACAAGATTATATCTGTGATGCGCGCGCGCGCGCACACACACACACACACACACACACACACACTTATTTTTTTCAAGATCTTGAATTTAAAGGTCTTAAATAGATAGCAGTTTGTGCATTAGCAATATTATTTTACTAACTGATATATAACATATAGAGTGTAAGTGTAATCATGTAGGAGTGCCCTTAATAAGTCCAGGTCACCATGGTGACCTAAAAATTAGATCTGGTGTCCAAAATGTATTTTTCTGTTGTCAGGAGAGATCAAAAGAATGTCATTATTCTCTCTTTTTGTGTTATTAGTGCTGTCTGTGATCATCCTAGATTCACATATGAATTTGCACATGATTCACATGGTACACACATACAAAAAGGTCATTTCAGAGAATGGTAAAGTCATGTTCCCTAATATTTCTCACCGTGTAATATCTTCATCAGCAGTGAGCTCCTGTTCCATCAGCAAAAACACTTGTACCTGAGAAAAAAAAATTAAAAACGTTGTCCTAACCATTACATGGCTGACTATAACTGTTGACAAAGCACCATGGTAGATACAAAAAATACCTTTCAAATGCAAAGGTTTCAGTGTAAAATAAAATCTGAGTTGGCCTTAACTTTAACCATGTTTAAACTGACTGTAAGTTCTCAAAATATCATTGTAATTTTTTTTACATTATTTTATTTGTCAGTTTTTACAGATTTGTGGATTTGGATTTCCATTTAAATCAAACTTGTGAATTTGCATAAACCTTTAGAATATAAACCTGCCACATTTTCTTTCAATGTGTCTTTATTTACTTGAATGTTTTGTTTCACTGTTGTACAGCGCTGTGGGTTGTATTGCTTGATTAGAAAAAAAAAAAATGTCTTTCTGCCTTTAAAATAAATCTTTCCATTTACAATTTGAAGGAACAGTGGATGTTTATTGTGTGTAGAATGGCGAGCGTGCTATATACTTTAAAGGGATTCTATAGTGCCAGGAAAACAAAGCCGTTTTCCTGGCACTGTAGAATCCTACAGTGACCCCCCCCCTCCCTTGTGCCCTCTTCTGCGTGGCTGAAGGGCATTAAAACCCCTTCAGTCACTTACCTTACTTCAGAAAAATAATAGGGGTCCAGGCACTCCTTGGTTCAAGACAGGCAATATACTGAGAACCACAACAGCAACGTTTCGACCCCAAAAAGTCTTTGTCAAGGTCGAAACGTTGCTGTTGTGGTTCTCAATAAAGTGCCTGTCTTGAACTGGACCCCTATTATTTTACTAATGTTTGGAAATCTGGTGTTTGATTCCGGCTCAGCAAGCACCCTGGCTCAGATTTGTGGGAGTGAGTGCAGTTCCACATATACTATTAAAACGTATCTGACTTCAGCACCGATGTCTACGGCGCTGGGTCGGGCTCCGCCCATGCTCCTCCCCTGTCGACATAAGCCCGCAGGGGAGACCTAATGCGCATGCACGGCAATGGCCTCGTAGTATCTCCCCTAATGCAGGGGGGTGGGGAAAAATGCTGGAGGTCCTCAAGCATAGCGTGAGGACATCCAGCGTCAGATAACAGACCACAGGAGTCCCTCTAGTGGCTGTCTGGTAGAAAGCCACTAGAGGAGGAGTTAACCCTCAGAGGTAATTATTGCAGTTTCTCAGAAACTGCAGTAATTACCACTGTAGGGTTAAAGGACATGGGACATTGCACCCAGACCACTTCAATAAGCTGATGTGGTCTGGGTGCCTACAGTATCCCTTTAAGGTAAACATATAGAGGGCAGTTGTCTAAAACCAGACTAATATAATGCACCACTTTCAAGCACTGTGGAACCACTGAGAAAATATGGGACCAAAAATGTGGATTTCTACCCAGTCGAAGTTAAGCACTTATCAAAGATCAAAAAGTTTCTTTGAGCACAGAATTTTAAAGGAAAATGTCAAGAAAATGTATATTTCTCCAAAAATCATACAAATAATAATTGTTTATTATTTTTTATTCGAAGGCGAAAAAAAAGACTATGAAAATGCCAAGTGACCTTCAGAGAAAAACAAATTGAGAATCATCTGTAGCTATTAGTGTAAATATAATACACAGATTTAGAGTAATGTTTATGATAAATTAAGTGCTGTAAAAATGTACAAAAAAATGAGAAATAAAACAATCTGTCATAACTAAAGCAGACCTGTCACCCTATTTATGAGCATTCCTAAATATAAACAACTCTTTATGAATTGCTCATGCTGACTGTGTTAGATTTTCAATGAAACCTTTTAGTCCAAAAATATCAGACAAACTAGGAGCATAGGCCATTAATTTTTTCATATACCACAGGGAATCAGACACAATTGCCTATCGCGTGGTTTCATGGGATCCTCCATAGACTCTGTGTTCTACTCTCGCATATGTGCAAGAGTACAGCACTGATGTGGGCTCCTGGCATATAAAGCAGAAGGAGCTAAAGAACAAAGGGTAGGTGCTTGTAAGGGACAGGTTCGGGTATGCATAACTTACATCAGTAGGGCCACCACACTCTAAGCAGCAAAGTTACCATCGGTGGCTTTTGCTAAATGTGCAAAGACCCACAAGAAGCAATAGAGTCGCTTTAAAATTATTGATTGCACAAAACACAAATATAATACAATCAATGGCATAAATTAAAATGAGCAATCTTAACCCCAACAACTCTCTTGTCCTTCAACAACCAAAGTAAAATGCAGGCTACTATCGATCCTGAAATTACTGGGCATTCAGACGGTGTGATGGCACACTCTACTACTTGTGCTCAAACTATGGAAAGCTATATCATCATCACTAACACATATACATTCTCAGCTCTCTCCCTGCAGTGATACAATTACCAGCAGAACAAGCAAATTACATATGGAAGAAGAAAACTACATAAATTACTATTAGACCAGTTAAAGAATATAATATTTCTGTTACGCGTTTCCTTTTAAAATGATTATGTATCTCAATATGTATGGTACAGAAACACAAACAACAAACCAGCTCAGTGATCATGGTGGGCCACAGGGAAGTGAGGTGCTGAGGAGACATTCTTAGAAGCAATAATCGAAAAAACAGGAACACTTGAGAGTGTAAAGTGGGCACCTGTGGCAAACGTAGGCTCTCCACTAATCGCTCTGCATGAAAAAGGAAACACTTATATTTAGAAATTCAGTCTATGTTGCAGTATAGCACCATATGATTTATAATAGACTCCCATAATATAAAAAACAAAATAACAATAGAGGTTCTCTGAAGCTCTTGCTAATTTAGGACTCCATGGTTAGAGGGATAAAAATTGGACAGTGGCCATATAACATAACATTGCTTAAAGTCTTTAATAAGACACACATATTTATACATACTAAGTCTGGCAACATTGTATGCCATTTTAGTCACTTGTTGGCTGCCCTATTCACAAACATCTAATAACAGAATATTTACCCAGTTAATGCTGTCATATTGCTAGGGTCATTGGTTGTGAGACATGATCAGGGTAAACCACTGTCATAAGTTCTGCTAAGCTAAAATATACATGTATCCAAACAACAAAGTAAAATTGTGCTTTATACCACAATGTTGGCCATGTAAAGCAAGTCTGGATCTCATCACTCGGAAAATAATTGAGTCTGCTATATGTACAAGCAATAAACCACTCACTCCTGCATGTATGGCAACTCTAAGATTTTAAGGTAGCAGTATAGACCCCCCTACACGTATAGGTAATGACCTTGAATATCTGGTAGAAACTTCTGGTATTGGTCAATCTCACTGCTGAATATGGCGAAGGCCAGTCTCTTGAGAAGCATGGCTCGCTGCTCCAGCTCCGCATCACGGTTAGTAAACAGATTGAGAGAACTACTCTGTGCCACAGCTACTCGTGCTGAAACAAATAATGAAACAGACATCACCCCTTGCAATCTACTAAAAAAAAAAAAAAAAAACAAGTGCACAAAATAAGAACTGCTGGCCTCTCTATACATTAGCTTAATTAGAAGCTCTCAACAATGCAGGCTACTTCCATAATATTTGCAGGATTTATACCGTTTGCGAGAAGTAATGTCATGTGTTTAAGCTATATTATATATAAGGAATATCTAGCAGCGGAACTCTATAACTATATATGCAACAGGCATCCAAAATATCAGCCATTCTGGAGTGTTTTTATTTTTTTATTAAAGTGTTGCTACTGGGCTTATATATTAATGCATTTCTCCAAGAGCTGTGTATTTAACCCTTATTTTATATCTCTTTCCATTTACCTCTGTATACTCACCCCTTATTGTAGTGTGGATTTATTCAACAAGTTCCTTAATTGCTATTTACATATATATATACTTTTCACGCATCACTTTTTTATTAAAGTGTGGTAGAGCACACATTTCTGTTTGATTGTAACAGCAAATTAAAAAAACATTTCTATTCTCTTCCGAAGTCATCAAGTGTGATCTCTTCCTACACACCATATTGCATTAAGCAGGTAAGAAACATCAATAGAAAACACCAGGACTTACTCATCAGATCCCGAAACGTGGTTTTGTCATGTGTCATGAGATGATCCATAATAGATCTCCAGCTAAGTAAAGAAATAAAAGTGTGAGCAGAGTGCAGCCAGTAAAAGATAAAAAGGCAGCTCTGTGAAACTCTAAAATACCAGTTAACCCCTTAGTGACTGATGTTCACACTGGGCTCACGTGAGTCAGTTAGTTCAGTATTATTCGTTACCCTACCTGTGCTCAGGTTTGGATCATTAATGGTAAGCTATACCCCAGCTCTCCAAACTCATTCTACCCAATAGCATATGAATAAAATATTAAATGGTATTAGAGATAATGTCCCTTTTAAATATGGGCTTTGGCAGTACTTGTAGAAAATATTAGACAATAATTTTAAGGTATGTATGATATTTCAATATCTTCAAAATGTAAATCATTTATGGGTACTTAAAGGGACACTCTGGGCACCATAACAACTGCCTTTCAATAAAGCTGTTATGGAGCCAGTAGACCCTTGGAAGCACTCTTACCCCTCCATCGCTGGTCTCCATCATCCCCAGTCGGCATCCGGCTTCTGAATTTTCACTTACAGGAAGTGCAAAGTGTCACCGGGCAGAGGCGCCACTGATTGGCCAGCTGAGTGGCTGGTTTAACGAATGGGGAGTCACTGACTGGCAGAGAGTGTCTGCTGACTGCTCTCAGCCAATCAGCATTGCCCCTGCACGACGGCACTCTCCACGATTCCTGTAAGTAAAAATTCAGAATGGGGGAGGAGGGGAGATAGTGGACATTGCTGCTGGCAGCAACTTATGTGTTACACCATTCAAGAATGGTGCCTGGAGTTTTCCCTTAGGGCCATTAAAGCAAACAAGCACCTTTTACCATATTCTATGCAACTCATTGTAAAATTAAGAGACGAGTCTTACTGACTAACACAGGAGGCATCCATCTGAAAGAAGTTGTGATCCATAAACAGGTCAAATGCTTCCTTCTTCCACGTCCGCCGTGTATACTGGTAGCCACTGAGACTGCTCAGTAACTGCACACAGGCACGGTAGCTAGGTGCATTATGGGCACTGCAACAATAAAAGCATAGTGGGAACAGTATTATACTTCTCAAATTGATATGTACAGATACACCAGCAATGTAGCAAATATACTGCACGCTGCATATTAGGGAAAATTATTTATTTTAGAAACAACACAGTAGAGAGAAAATGCGCATTTCATGTGTTTGAATTAGACCTAGAACACATTTCTGTATGTCAGTATGTAAATTACACTAAACAAAAGTTTGGTGACACACTCAAAACAGTGACGGGTATAGTATAGAGGAATCATATTAAAATTACCTGTGGTTACGAAGATAGGGGACTACATAGTGCATAATATTCACCAATAAAGGAATAACTCTCTCCTTCTCATCACTGTAGAACACCATGTCCAACAAATGGGCCAGAACCTGAACAGCAACAAAAGAAATCCCTAAGCTATTAATTCACAAGAATGGTATCACGTTTATGGATTATTGCTAATAGAATTATCCTCCACTTCCCACTGATTAAAAAAATAACATCAGTACTGGATGTCATTTCATTGAAACATTTGTTCAAATTCAGTGTAATACCTCTACATGTGAAGGCTCTATGACACATTTGTTTGTGTTAAGTTACCAGCCAGGCCAAGTGCACTTATTACCACTCTACCGTCCACCTGTACAACCACAGTAAACTGGGGTTATTTTATATTGCAAACATCTGAAAATTAATAATAGAACCTCTGCTCTATAATATGCGTAGGGCTCATAAATGCATTGGATTTTAAGATTAGAGAAGTATTTAAAAGTAAAAAATTGCCCTTTTTCACATAGCCTCTGATTTTGTTTTCTAGAAAAGATCTCAAATATAAATGCTTGTCAATGACCTTATACAATAAGTACTACCCATTGCACCATTTAACTCATTCACATTAGATAAACAAAAATATTTCAGAGTAAAAAGAACATTCTGATAAAGTCAGAAACAGGTGCTTTAGAAATACATCAATTTTTCCAGCCACTCCTGTCATAGCAGACAAAACACTGTAACTTTCTTACCTCGGCAAGCAGTGTCAAGGCATGCACACTGTAAACTGAAGGAGTAATATTGGAGATTTCCATGGCTGGAGCTAGCATAATATCTACAAAATTAAGGACATGGCACTTTGTTAATGGACCATACATAAGAGTATGTGTATTTGATGACTGTGAAAAACAAATCCATTTACAAATCCATTTAAACAAATCCATTTACACAAGTGATTAAATCAAGGCATAAGGTACCTTCAACATTAGACTCTTGTGTTTGCCCATCTACAGTTAATTTGGGGGACGGTTTGACTTCTAGATTTCTCCTTAACCATGTAGTCTGTTCCAAGGATGAACCTGCAACTGCACCGATGGAATCAACTATCTTATGAGTGACATCCTAAAATTATGAAAGGAACAAGCAAGACAACATTATTTCACACACATATAATGTTATCAAATGACAAACCTTGACAAAAAGTTTATATACATGGCTGGTTAGTATCTAGCCCTGGCCATGGTATTCAAACACTTTTATTATATGCTAACAAACTTTAACGAGAGTAATATTTTTATTATCCAGAAAGATGGCACGCCGTAATACATTGTTAATATCTCATATTTCTGAAATGGGAGAAATATGAGATAAAGAGCAAACTAGACTATTGAATTAAGGACTATTTAAAATAAATGTTACACACTGTAAAAAAACAACAAAAACCACACGTAGGAGTGGGATTATTATCTTCACAACCTCCTCACCACCAAACCAAAAAGAGAAAAAGAGTATTCATAAAACACCACGCTACACAAATCCTAAATTATCTAAACATAAATAGCATCCAATAAAAATATGATACACTTTCTTTCCCAGGATATAGCCGATAAAATATAAACAGTCCAGGGTTCTGTGCAGCAATTCCTGCTTTTAGCATCCTCCACTTAGCTATCATTAGGAAATTTGTGTATATTTCTATGTGAAAAAAAGCTCAACCAGGATAACCCTTTATAGTGTAGTACTTATTGTATAAGGCATAAAACAATTAAACCTGCCCCCCTCCCCCCCATCCCTTCCCCCAAGGAGGGTACTCACGAACAAGGTGCCTTCACACAAGCACTGATAAGATTGGATGCAAACACAAATATACTAAATTGATAATCCTATGAACTAAAAAGCTGCTAAATCTAAGTCTTTATTTAATCCGCATTGTATAAGGCACACAAATTTGAAATATCCTATGTACTTCTCTCTGTCTTAAAATTCTTCACTTTCTCTTAGGATAGGTGCTATTGTTTCTAACCCTTTTACCATAAGTCACCATGGTTCTACCCCATGTGAAACATGAAAGATTAGCACAGTCACAAAGTTGTAACTTTGGGAACCTTATCGGATGCCGTACCTTCGGTACATGGTGCAACTGAAAGTGGTGGTGTGCACAGCGGTATTTTTTAAATTAAAAGGAAGACAGCAGAGAGGACTCGGAGATTCTGCATTAAAATAGACTTATGGGTTTATACGTGAACTTATCAGATCCATGTGAAGGTACCTTGTCTGATTTCCCTACTTTGTTTATTTACAATAAATACTACATTATAAGGGTTATCCTGTTACGCTTTTTTGCGAGATAGAAATATACACAAATGTTACACACTACTTGCATTTATTTTTGGGGAAAGAGCTTGGCAGTGAGAGAGAGAAAAAAAAACGGTGGTGGTGGGAACTATAATGTGATCAATTAACATTTTTCTAGTTGTGCCATTGTTGGGGATTAATTCTCTGTATGCCTTTAACACCTCTACCTATGAAGCAGGCATTATAACAGTACATAAATAATTTCATAGAATCATTAAAATAGTCGATTTTTTTGTTTGTTTTTTTTTTTTTTAAATCTTCGCGTCTTTCACATGTATCCAGACAGAAATGGGGCATATTGGTCTCTGTAAATTACATATGCCTATATAATGGTTCTAAAATATCCATCTTAAAGAAATACTTGTGGGTGTAAAATTGTGGCCAAATCCCTATGAAAGTCTCAATAATTCAGTGAGCCATGACTGCAAGAAAGCAATTACTATTATTAGCAACATTTTCATAGTAATGATACCATAGCATTCCTTTACATTTCCAGCAAAGGATACAAACCTGCTCCACAAATTTATATATCCTTACCTGGAGATCCCTCTGGTCCTTCTTGTTTTCCAAAGTAGGGTTGTTCATGATAAATTCATTGAGAACACTAGAAAAGACAGTGAGTGGAAAATCAAATCAGACTATATAGATAAAGTGTCATGGCGTAAATAATTTCTTTGTTAGTGCAAGATGATGAAAACATTGGCTGATTATTTAGTAGCCAACATGCATAAGCAGCTTTAGCTATTTTACAAGTGTGGCAACATTTAACGGTCATATAAAATCCATGTATCACTCTGATCTGCCAGTAGAGTAGACTGAAAAGCCTATGAATTGAGGGCATTAAGGAGTGGTAGTTAAGTTTAAATATGCTGGTAGCCAGTTCACTGCATAATGTCAAGTGATGCCAATAAGGGTGAAATAGAAAACAACAGACATATAAAATCTGCTTAATCTCTAATTAAGGGATATTCAACTATTGTCAGTAAGTTGTTAGGGATTTAAATCTGTTTCTTACAGGGTAATTCACTCAAGTGGGAATTACCGGAAAATCAAAGTGTATTTAGGCTAAAACACTCAATTTAGAAAAATCTTTAAATTCAATTCTGTGTTCAGTTTGGCTATTTTGGCATTCGATTTGAAATTCACTTTGAATTCCCAGCAATTCTTGCTTTAATGAATAACCATGTTAGTCCATGCATTTAACCCATTAAGGACCGAGATTGGCATTTTTACATTGCCGACCGGTGACGGTCCTGAACCGTCCTAACGGTCAGAGGTACTTACCGGATCGCCGTCATTCCCCCGGCGGCGCTCCCGGTGTGGGAAGACTGCCTGCAGCCCAGACAGTCTCCCCATGGCATATTAGGACCCCTGTGGCCATGTGATCGCTCAACAGAGCAATCACATGGTCGCAATAGGTGTCCATGTGTCTGCCTGCAGGGGGACTGTCTGTGCTGACAGGCAGTCTCCCTGCTAGGTTAAAATAAAAATAAAGTAATTGATAATTTAAAAAAAATAAATATATATATATATATATATATATATATATTATATTTATATAATATATGTCTATATATCATATATAAATATATATATATATATATATATATATATAATGTCATACTAAGTGTATTTTTATATTAATATGTACATATAATATAAAAATACACTTATAATTAAATTACACATGTATATATAATATATATAATAACTATATATATATATTGTATATATATATTATTATAAAATACAAATAATAAGTAATTTAAATAAAACATGTAAAAATAATAAAAAATGTAAAAAAAAATTATATATCTATATGAAAATTTATTCTAACTGTATTTTGATAGTAATATATATATATTTATATCAAAATACACTTAGAATGAAATTGTATATCTATGTATATATAAATAAAAATAATACGAAATATACATATGTCCATATACAAAATTACATAAATAATTATATAAATATACACGTAGACTTCAAATATATAAATATGCATATATATTTAAATTCTACGTGCGTATTTATGTAATATTTTTACATAATTAAGTAATTTTATTGATTGCAATTTTGAGGGACCTGCCTGCCAACCCAGGCCGAAAGAGTATTTAATTTGCTAGCACTGTATTTTACCCTGTAACTTCTACGACACCCTAAAACCAGTACATGGGGGGTACTGTTTTAATCGGGAGACTTCGCTGAACACAAATATTAGTGATTCAAAACAGTAAAACATATCACAGCGATGATATTGTCAGTGAAAGTTACTTTTTTGCATTTTTCACACACAAACAGCACTTTTACTGATGATATAATTGTTGTGATACGTTTTCCAGTTTTTAAACACTAATATTTGTGTTCAGCGATGTCTCCCGAGTAAAACAGTACCCCCCATGTACAGGTTTTATAGCATTTTTGAAAGTTACAAGGTCAAATATATGGGTCAAATATTTTTACATTGAAAATGGCCAGGTTGGTTACGTTGCCTTTGAGAGCGTATGGTAGCCCAGGAATGAGAATTACCCCCATGATGGCATACCATTTGCAAAAGAAGACAACCCAAGGTATTGCAAATGGGGTATGTCCAGTCTTTTTTAGTAACCACTTAGTCACAAACACTGGCCAAAATTAGCGTTCAATTTATTTTTTTATTTTTTTCACACACAAACAAATATGAATGCTAACTTTGGCCAGTGTTTTCGACTAACTGGCTACTAGTTGCCTACTTTAAAAAAAAATATGTATATGTGGGGTGTTGTTCAGAGATTTATGACAGATAATAGTGTTACAATGTAACTATTGATACATTTTAAAAATGTATGTTTTGAAACCGCAATATCCTACTTGTACCTATAGCCCTATAACTTGCAACAACAAAAAAAAGCAAAAACGCACGTAAACACTGGGTATTTTTAAACTCAGGACAAAATTTTGAATCTATTTAGCAGTTTTTTTCATTCATTTTTGTAGACGAGTAAAAGATTTTTCAAGTAAAAGTCAAAAAACATGTATTTTTTTCAATTTTCCATCATATATACATATTTTTTTAAATTAAATTACATGAGATTATATAAATAATGGTATGTAAAGAAAGCCCCTTTTGTCCTGAAAAAAACAATATATAATTTGTATGGGAACAGTAAATGAGAGAGCGGAAAATTACACCTAAACACAAACACCACAAAAGTGTAAAAATATGCCTGGTCGCAAATGTACAACATCGCAAAAACAGTCCGGTCCTTAAGGGGTTAAACATCCCAGGATTCCTGGCAATGGAATAAAGATGTTGTTTATATTTTACCTAAAACATCAAAACATTCTAAATAATGTATATACATGATACAATAATCTGAAACTACGGGCTATGTATAATTAGAGAAAGATCATAGACAAGTTACCCAGTTATTCATTAAAATGCTCCATCAACCCAGCGCTTTTCAGGATTACAGTTCCCTCTCTAGCTGCATATTAAATGTACGAGTGTTAACCTTAAAGTGACGTCGCACTTGGAATATAAAGAATTTATATTAATACATTTTGTCTAATGTAATGTGCACATTTGTTATGGCTAAGTGTATATATTTTTTTTTTTTTTTTTTAATATTGTTACTCCAAGATATTGGATCCTGGCAGAACAATATCATTTATATAATTTATTTGTTCAGTATTTTGAGAAAATAGATTTGAAGTGCCACCTGAGTGCAATATTTCTGCCTGAAGATGATATGTAATTTACAGATCATCTGTCAATCAAAGGAGCTGGAGATCAACCACTGCAAGACAACTTTGTTCTAGCTTAAAATTACATTTTCATGTAATAAAGAAACAGAAAAAGAGATTCCTCACTTAAGTTCCATACTTCAAGAATATGAGCTCTCACTATATGAAAAAAACAAAGCATTTTAATACCCTAGTAATAAGAACTGTCCTGGTGCTGGAAGATTGAGCTGGTTTGAGTCTTTCAGAAGGACAAGTAGTGATCCCCAGCTATCTACGAGATTGGACACCGGAACCCTGCCAAAGATAATAACGAATTAGAACAGACAAGCACAACAATCCTAAGAGAAATCATTCAAAATTAACAAGGCAAGATTTGAATTCCTTTATTTCTTTAAGGAACAATTTGGTTTTATGATTTAATTAGAGAAAATGAATAAAGCTACATTTCTAAAATATTGAAATAAACAATTATTTTTATGACTATTTAGTTTACACAAGTGTACATAGACTAATCTGTTCGATGGAGAACCCACGTTCCGGGTAATGGATTATAAGAACCTATGTAGCACTGTGCGAGCATAATCGAGGTGATAAAGTTTAAGAAACACTGAGTTTGTGAAAAATGCATTTTATATCTAAACTAGAATCTCGCTTATAGGAAATTAATTGCGTAGTTGAATTCCTGTTTCAAGTTGAATCAATAAAATAATGTCATATTATTTTCTGCAAAGATAGAAATTGCTGGACTCTTGTCTTTTTCCACACTTTCTTAAAAAAAAGGAAGCGGACATTGGAAACTTAAACTCCATCTGAAATAAAGGCAGCTGGGTGTCCTGTTTTAGGTTGCTAAAGGGTTACTACAACCAAAATACTTTTTTTTAATAAAATAATTTTTGGTTAGCATGATTCTTACTTAGGTGTACCCATCTCCCCCAAAAACAAAAATACTGTCCAAAGCCAACCTATCCTCCTAACCAGAGGAATTGTTCTACATTTGTCCAAGAAGCATCATGCTACCATTTGACTAAGCAATATAGGAAAAATTATATTTTACAATATTTGGTGTGAGATATATGATTTAAAACAAAAGTGATTTCTGGATCTGGTGATCTGTTATAATCACACCTCAGTATTTATGGGAAAAGAGGTAAAGATGAAGAATGGAACTACATAGCAATCTGTTTAAAGTTATACTTACCTCTGAACATACGCATAAAAGAACTGTAACATGCAGACTTCAAGGGAAAGGTGCTTCTAAAATGTAACACAAAACAAATGCTTTTCAGTTGCAAAAAAATATAACACATTATATGCCATTTTAACAGTTCTGCACCACTTTTAATTTCACACTTTGATAAATCCCCCTCCCTGGTTACATCTCTGCTAATGAAAGTGTTGGCAAGTCTACAACATTTTCACACACCAGACAATTAACTGACAGATATTCTTATATTAAAAGAAATCGATTGTATTTACCTAAACTATGTATTGAAAAGACTGCAAATACATTGAGAATAAAAAAATACATTAAACAGCATACCTTGTCCTTGGCTATGGCCGGTGGCTGCTTCAATACCTCTTTCACAGTCTGTATGACCGTTTCTGTCCTCATCACGCTAATAGAGCGAACTAATTCTACCAGCAAAAGCTGCTCGTCACTGGCTGCTGGGATAACCTGTATAAAAAATGTTTTTATAAATAAAGATGAACAGGAGTCTCAGTGGATAGGGTGCCCACTACCAATTTATTATACAATTACCTGGGTTGAAATTTACAACTAGCACAAACACAAGGCCCCTGGTAACAAACGTATGCTTGACAGTTTCAGTGGAGGACATTTGGAACAATTTGGTAGTGGGGAGGAGTAAAGGTTTGGCCATATTCTATAAAAGACCTTGCAAGAAACACTTTACTGCCATCACAGTTTTAATTAATGAATCCAGCAAAGCAGCCACGTACATTGCTCTGGCTGCTGGTTTGGTAGAAGTCTTAACGTGATGGATGGAAAGTAACTCCATATTACCAGTTTTCTATTATGGACATTAAGAACTTTTGTTAGAGAAATGTTAGGCGCAGAGGTTTCTAAAGTTCTACTTCTCAGATAAGTCTTCAAGAACGAGGTTTCATCAATCTTTTCAGTGGGACACAATTTATAGTCTCTAGATTTTGCATTATTGGTGGTCACTAAGGACTAACTTGAGAGGCTGTATTGTAGGGCTTGTATGTGAGAATTCACTAACTCCTGCCATTGTGTTTTAGTCACAGTGCTACCACAATGCAAGATATCAAGATTATTGTGAGCAAGGTGAAAGCATTATCTTTCACATCATCATTTCACATACTATGAAAATTATATTACTGTATTTGCGGGTCTATACAACGGATAAATAGCTATTTGCCTCTGTGCTAAGGTCTGATGGATATATAAATGTGATGACGTTTACCTTTGTGCGTGCAGAGTGTTTGCTACTTCTTCTCTCATTCCATACAAACGCAATAGCTGCCATAAAATGGACGCCATGGTTCATGGAGATAGGGCCCAGGAGCTCCAAAATCTGCTGTCTTAAGTTCTATAAAAGATAAAAAGAAAAAAACAAAACAACTACTTTTAAATCTGTTTACTAACAAACACAGTGTAAATGAACAGACATGTTAAGAAGTCAAACAAATACATAAGACAATAGAAATATCCAATGCAGACTATAAATTATTTTCTTTTTAGAAATCCATCGCTGTTCCCTGGAGTTTTTTTAAACTCCATCTGAAACATAAGGAAACACCAATATCTATATAATTTTGGCAGTATGATTGACAGCTCTTATGGGTCTATCATGACAAATTATTACAGTTAAAAAATCTAGTAGCTTAAAAGTACTATAGCATCTAACCTTTGTTGATCCAAGGTTTATTGTAGTAACAGAAGCAGCAGCAGCAGTGAAGTTTTTTTCTGAAGAGTCAGCTTGATGCAGGACACTCCAGAGAAGGGTGACAGAGGACATTATCAAATGTAGTATTGACAGGATTCCTGTACGGGCTTCAAGTAAGTGCTTCTGATCTATGTTTACCATAAGCTGTCAGAGAAACCCAAATAAAATTACAGAAATATGTGTTACATCCAACAAAAAAATCTTATATTATGGTTTTAAATCAGCAAGGCTCAACAGTCAATGAGACAATAGCGGAGTTTGGCAAATTTCCAGCAGCAGGTTTTTTTGGGTTTTTTTTTTATAAGGGGGGGTGAGGGACAGACCTGCTTTTAACATATATGTAAAAATGTAAATGTTAATTTGCCCTAACAAAGCTGACCTGGAGAATTTTTACAAATCGGCTATTTTGTCACTTTGAATTACCCATTGTCAGTATATTTATGCTGGCAGACATTTTGTGTTAAGACAGAAATTTAAAGTGTATATTGTAACTTTTGTATCACAATGCAAAGACAGACACAATTTTTTTTCTCTCTCTAAAAAACGCCTGAGCTAAGGAATGCGACTAATGTAAACATTGGCAGAGATAAGACATGATGTCTACAGGGGGGGGGGGTTGAATACTACAACCCTGAGACAAATAAATATTTTATTTATATATATATATATATAAATCTAAACTAGAATCTCACTTATAGGAAATTAATTGCGTAGTTGAATTCCTGTTTCAAGTTGAATCAATAAAATAATGTCATATTATTTTCTGCAAAGATAGAAATTGCTGGACTCTTGTCTTTTTCCACACTTTCTTAAAAAAAAGGAAGCGGACATTGGAAACTTAAACTCCATCTGAAATAAAGGCAGCTGGGTGTCCTGTTAGTGATTTACTAACAATCCACATACATCCAACTATAATTATATTAATCATATATAAATAGTACTATGTTAATAATATAGAATATTCATGGATAATATCAATGAAGAAATGTCATATTATTTACTAATGTTAGTGGAATATGTGTAATGTGTGCTACACACAGCTTCACACAAGAATCCAGGCACAGGGTTACCAATGACAGGTAACACTAAGTAATTAATTTTATTTAAAAAATCTTACAAAGTTCCATAGTAAGGAAGGGTGAAATTAAGGCTACAGGTGTCAAAAATTCTAATTTTAGGACACCAAAACCAGACAGTAAGTCTGGAAAAACAAAAGAAAAGCCTTTGAAGAGTGACATGTCTTTGACGAATAGGTAATCATAAAGATAACCAAGATGACTTCAAACGCATCGCGAAATTCAGTTAACCCATTATACAAAAAGGTAAATGGTAATTGCGTCATCTACTGACCAAAATCTAGATGATAGTCTGTAGAGAAGACACGCCCACCTTTCTCTATTGGTTACTATCAACTAGTGACGTATAGAGAAGTTCTCCTTTAAAAATTAAGGACAAAGGAGAGAGGGAGACTCTCACACTCACTCTGAGGATGGACTCCCATCTAACATCTAAGATCTGACATCTGGAGCCAAAGCTGGACACACCTAATTCTTTGTATCTTTTCCAACTAACACTTAACTTTGAAATTCTTTAAAATTCAGAACTCTGAAAACTTTTCTAAATTTCCCACAATTCTCACCATACTTGCATTCAAATTTCCTGGGATAGATCTACAAATCTGATAAAAACTCTACAACATAACTGGTAATTAAGCTGGTTTTATTTAAGTTAATTCAATTAATTTAAATTAATTGATTTTACTAAAAAGCAGAATATACTTGGATAAAAGCTGGTGATTCCAAAATTAAGGAGTGATGATTCATTTAATAAGATATAGAATCTGTAATTCCATTCCTGCAGGTGGACCAATGAACTCTATATCACTTTTAACTTTAAAAATAGGATACCAGGCAATTATCCAGATATATTAGCTTACGTAATTTAGAAATAGTGAATCTTAATTAAGAAAGTTAAAATTCGGGGGTGGAGCCAAGCCGTTGAACTGAATAGCTGCATGTTGGAACAGCTCGGCGCCAACAAGCCACTATAACGGAAAAAAAGGGCAAATATCCCTTTAAACACAAGCTCAAAACGAAACATCGGGAAGGCGAAGACACAATGGGTCGCAAGACCAAGAAACCTAAGCCAGACAAGCCCAGCACGAGCAAAAATATAGGGGACCTCTGGCGACAGGCCCAAAGAGCGGAGGAAGCAAAGATGGCCGCCTATGCAGGCCTCGCCTCCGACATATCGGATGATTTCTCGGATGGGGCAGCGGAGGAGCAGGGACTAACACTACCGGCCCCCAAGCCACCACCTGCACCACCAGACTCGGCCCCAGTCACAACAGCGATCCTGAAAAACCTGCTTGCGGGCCTACAACACACACTACAGGCCGACGTGGCCCAAATCCGACAAGACCTGAGAGGCCTGACAGGCCGTATGGCCACATTGGAACAGGACACCAACCAAAATGCGAAGCAAATATCACAGCTGCAACAAACAGTACGTGAGCTGACGCAGCAACAAGCAAAAACGTATCTGAGGCTCGCGGCGGCCGAAGATCACAGGAGAAGCCTAAACCTCAAAGTCAGGGGGATCGCTGAAAATACGGCAGAGGCAGAGCTACCTCACCTGGTACGCAGACTGCTCCAAGCGCTCCTATCGCCCAAACAAGCGAAAGCGGTGGAGATCAAGGGGATGTTTCGCCTACCCAAACCGGCTAAGGCCCCGGCGGATGCGCCACGAGACCTGATCATCCGGTTCCAGAGGAGCAAAGACAAAACCGCAGTCCTCAACGCGGTGCACAACCGCTCTCCATATTCCTTTGAAAGCATGGCGCTCTCTTTCTACGCAGACCTATCGGGGAACACACTTGCATGGCACCGCTGTCTCCAGCCCTTCACGGCCCTATTAAGAGCGAACAACCTGTATAGATAGAGATCACCACGCACACTGCAGGTACAATATGGAGACGCCACACACCCAGTCCACGACATACAGGGAGCAAAGGGACTGTTGCAGGTGTTGGGGCTCCCAGGGGACTCAATAACTAATGGTGGGTCAATTGCTACCACCCACACCTGGAACCCAGCTAATGCCCATCCATTTATTCCACGGGAAACCAGGAGGGAACCCAAGACACCAAACGCCACCTGAGACACCTCAGACAGCTGGCAAAGATACCCTGTCCTCTTACCCTATGGATTCGTTGCAGCCGACACCAGATATGGACACTGGGACTATCACACCACGCAGCCTCACAGAGTTGAATAAACCGGCAGGACTACCCTAAGCTCGAAGGAGCTAAAGAGTTTTGACTATTTTACGTTTTCCCTCCCGTTTAACTTTTCTTTCCACACTCAGCACAATACAAAGGGATGCCCCCACGTGAACAACCCACTCTTGAATTGACCGACAGACCGAGTCAACCATAGCCCTTCACACTCCCCCCACACCCTCAGGAGAACGTGAAAGCACAGTACACCTACCCACATAACGCCCAGGACAGACCAGATGGCTCTGAGCGTCAGACACACATATTCTCCTCGGCAGACCAACATGTTTAATGCTGCACAAGAGCAGCATATACTATGTAGATGTACCAGCATTATATCAGAGCTTAACCCATGTCGACGTAGGTACATCAAACACCGAGCTACCGACAGCATCATTTTGATTCACTCTAGCCATCCTACTATCATATTGTTAATACGAATACACACTCACTCAATCCCTGCACAAAATTCTGTTAACAGTCACGACCATCAAGACTACGCAGGGCTGTTATAAAAAAAATCTAAAGCTTAAACGTGAACAATATATCCCTAAACAAAATGTGCTCTTCTCTATCATGCAATGACAATGTCGAAATGTTATGTATATGTTGTTGTGACAAGGCAGTCTATTTTGTAATTCCCTGCACCAAAAAATAAAGAATTAAAAAAAATAAAAATAAGAAAGTTAAAATTCTGCAAATGTAAAATCTGGTTAGAATTATTCTTACTGAATGGACATAGGAATGGTCAATGATCTAGTATGAGAAATATTGTATTTGTAAAATTGCAATATAAAAGGATATCTTGCCTATGAGAATTGCAGCCAGCGGTGAAAGAGTTAATTCAGTGTGATTTGACTGTCAGCTAAAGTTTTTATTGCTTTATGCTGTGCTGCTGTGTTCTGTGTTAAGGAAGTTTTAGAAACCTGATGAAGTGTCCTGTCGTAAATCTTGTTGAAAACTGCATACATGTGGATGTAATGTTTGTAGATTGAACTATCTACAAATTATGTTAATTCACTGCTATATTGTATACTTACATTGTACCTAAATATTCACTGATTATTATCACGCATGTTACATATTATCATCATTATTATTGTCACAATAAATTTTATTTTTATAATTAAATTTGTGATTAATGTGTGAGATAAAATTCTCTAATGAAATGTACTCCGGGATCTATGAGAATTAAAAATAGTGGGTAATTCTCCGCTTTAAATCAATAATCGGGGAAACAGTGCCAAGATATCAATTTTGATTTAATAAAAATCAATGAATTTTTGATAAATTTTATGAAATTAGTATTTTTAATATTTTTCACACCATTATTCATACTTTACTGCTGAATAACCTTTTTTTGTTTTAAATCTTGCACATATTCTCTTTTTTATTAGTGTACAATTTACCACAACAAACAAAACAAAAGTATATTATACGGTTTTGAAAATCAATAAGATTATATTAGTCTTTAGAGTAAAACAATTTCACTCATTTAGGAAATGCATCAAATTGTAAATGAACTGCAATTGCTAAACAGAGGTTTGGGCATTAAACTGTGTGCATATTGCATCTCCAGAGAGATTTAAGTACAAATAATCATCTTTCTATAAATTTATTTAATAACCGAGAATGGCACGTCATGTGGTGCATCCTTTAGTGAAATCACAGCTTTAATTAGATGGGAATTCAGATTTATCACTTATTCACTGCATATTGTATGATGACATCGGGAAAATTATCAGAGGAGATTTAAGTAGAATGCAACACCCACAGAGTAAATGCTACAATTACAACCACAGTAATACATGACTAATTATCAATGTGACAAATGAACTGATATAATGGGCCAGATGATGAAAAGAACACAAAACAACTCTTGGTTGCCAATATCTAGCAATTATATTTGCTATTTTATTATAGTGGGAATATGCAGCACGCCAAGACCTTTCTATGACTTGGATACCCAGTTCAATTCGGTGTAAGTTTTCAATTTGATAACTGTAAAGACGTGGTTTTACAGATCATCTTATTTTTATAAAGTAAAGCCAACTTACATATCGTATAGACAATAATTCTGAAATAAAATGGCAATAAAATGGCAGGGGCAAGGATCAATAGATCATATTTTAGACTTTTGTTAGATGACAGTAACTAGTCTTCTTTGATGGTACAGCTCAACCATGGCTTGCATCACAATATGTTCTCAGTTATGATGATTTAACAAGTGTCCTTTGATGGCATTGCTCTCCCTGACCTGCTATTTAAAGGGACACTATAGTCACCAGAACAAGCACAGCTTAATGTAGTTGTTCTGGTGAGGATAATAGCCCCTTTCAGGCATTTTTACGTAAACACTGCCTTTTCAGAGAAAAGGCAGTGTTTACATTGCCTCTAGGGACATCTCCAAGTGGCCACTCCTCAGATGGCCACGGGAGGGGCTTCCTGGCTCAGGGATGCACAGTAGGCAGCCCTGACGCTCAGCGTCCCCACGCTCTGCATGGAGACGCTGAATTTGCCTCATAGAGATGCATTGATTCAATGCATCTCTATGAGGAGGTCCTGATTGGCCAAAACTGCATGTGGCCCTACCCCTGTGTCGATTTTAGCTAATCCAATGCTTTCCCTATGGGAAAGCATTGGATAGGCTAAAAATCGGCCATTTCGATTATGTCACAAAGGGGATGGAGCCAACCCCGGCGGACGTGCGCAGCCCTGGAAATAAGATGAGTTTTATACTTTTAAAGAGGGGCTAAGGGAGGGCAAGCCTATAGGGTCAGGAATACATGTTTGTAGAGAACTATTCTTTAGTTGCAAATTTCTTGCTTTTCACTGTTATTACAGTATAATTACTTTCCTTTGGTTACATTACTCTACTCTGACCAGCTTTTTCAATCCATATTCTGAAAGAAAGTTTAAAACCATTATTAAAATAAAGCTGAATGTTAAGGCATATCCACTTACTACCCATAACAAATAAAAAAACAAAATAAAAGAATGTTACAGGCAACTATAAGCATCAAACCACAGAACCCTGGGTGAGCTATTGGACTCTCTCTCTTTCAGGCCAGCGCAGGAGTGTGGAGGTTATACCTGGTGGTATTGAGATGAAGTATCCAGCAAGCAATAGTGAATTATTGTTGTAATGCCTTCTAACAGTGTTAGAATCATGTCCGGTGGGATAAAGGATGCCATCCATAGGGGCCTAGAATACAAAGCAAATTTATTATTATTTATAAACCAAATTAACGAATTGAACACACCAAAATAAATACCATTTAGGGAAATGACATACCTATTGTCAGATAATCCAGTTTCATATTTGTATTGCTGAATTAAGTTATCCAAATTTCGGCAAAGTTGTAATGTAACTGAAACAACAACTTTTTGAAGGACTTTCCCCATATAAGGCAAGGTAGATGTGATAAGGCCAATCCACTGAGGATGCATTTTACAAGTGTAATGCTGGTGCAAAGCTCTAATGACCGCACATAGGAACATTCCTTGGCATGTGATTGGCTGAGAGTGTAGATATTGGAGGGATGTCATTGGTTGCTGAGGGTTCATGTGTTCTAAGTCGGTGATGACAAAATCAAAACCTGCTTCACTGTCTTCAGGGACAGTCAATACACGGTGTTCCAGTACTATCAGACCCTGAAGAACTTTCAAGAGCTGAGACTGCAAGGTGCTTCCATTATCAAACTCATCCTCAGAAAAGTTAATGAGGCTATCTTCAGAAAAGCCTTCTTCTATGGCAACAATGTTCTTGTCTGCCACTCTTTCACTGTGCCATTTCTGTGCACTGAAAATTGATGACAGGAGACAGTGAAGAATCACTTTCTGAACTTTGCACTTTGATAACATATCCGATATGAAGCTAGCAAAGCCCTTAGCAGAACTTTCTATGACTTTTGCCAGCTCTGTAAAAAGTAGAGTGAGAATTTCAATACTCATCATTTGCATATTCCGATTGCCCATAAGATCTTGCTGTGTTACTTTAACATGAGTCGGATAGTGGCTTCTCATATAATACAGGCATAAAGATATAAGTATTTCAATATACATAGAACTACGGAAATTGTGGTTCGAGTCCAAGGGAATATTGCTATAAAAATCTTTCCCCATAACAGATATCCGATGCCGTGCCAAAAGATTCTGGAGCAAAGATAGCTGGGGAGTGTATGCGTTGCTAACGCTGGTGGTAGAGATGGCATTTACAAATACCGTGGGACTGGTTTTTAATATGGCTTTAATGGCTGAAAATGCATACAAAGTCCGAGAGGAGTCGTAAAGTTGTAGATACAAAAGCACATGCTGGTAAAGAGGGTGGATATTGATATGAGGAGATTTCGGATTGCCAGGAGAACCCACATCACTCTCAATTTCTGAAATTTCTCCTTCTCCACAACTGTACCAGTTCTCTAAATCTAACCCATCACTGAAGAAAACACTGGCCTGCTTTAACTTTTCATTCTGTGTTCTCTTCTTGTCCTCATCTTTTCTTCTTGTAATTTTAACTTTGGGCTTTGCTCCTGGTTGTTTGCTCACATCTTTGAAACCAGAGTCCTTTCCTGTCACTTTACCTTTGAAATGGAATTGAATGCTGCTGTGGCTTCTCTTTCTTGGCTGTGCTTCTGCTAAAGACAAGGTAAATTCTGCTGTGTTTTGCTGGCTAATGATTGAAGGAGATGAGAGGTTTCTCGATATTGCATTTGCTAGACTTTCAATGCCAGTTTCTGCAGACAAAGGCAAGAAGTTGGAAGGATCACGGACTAGATGACCATTCTCATTTTCAGGGATGACTTCTTCCTCACCATTTGCCTCATCCACCGAAGCGCTAAATATATTTATCTTGTTTGTCGAGTCCTCATGATAATTTGATTCAGTATCTTCTCCAAGTTCTCGAAGGACTTTCCATATCAAATCAGAAATTACTTGTTGGACTATCTCATCAGGAGAATCTTCTCTAGAGTCTTGGACATTATCTTGAGCCGTAAAGCTCTCTGCATCAACTTCGTAGTTAAGGCTATCTCCAGTTGAAGATTGAGAACAGCCAGAGTCTGAGCTCTGAAGAATCTCAATTTGTTGATCGGGTAGCTCAAAATCACAAACTCCCATTGGAATAGTTTCACTGCTGGTGCTCAAAAGGGAAAGCCGATCACTTAGAGGGTTAACTGTGAGGCTGAAGTTCTCCATATCATCTATTCCAACTTGTTTGCTTGCAGTCTGACTAGTACTTGCGTGGGTGCTTGGAAATGCTGCAAGAATAAATGAAATAAATAAATGAATAAATAAATAAAAAGCTACATTACCTTAATGTTTATAACATTTAACCCAGTTTCCAAGTTATGGGCATGATAACTGCCATATGCATAAGCATGTGTAGAATATTGCAAGACTTGCCAATATTTGACTATTAATTTTAGCCAGGTCTGAACCAGAGCAAGTGGTAATGATAATTCCAAATTTTATCTAAGAATTGCCAAATTCATGTCAAATTTGGTTGTGGATAAAAAGTATTTTTATTATCCTCTGGGCGCTGATACATGTAAGGTTTTAATGCAAAAGGTCTAAAACAAACACTACAATGATGTAACAATTGTTAGAGAAAAAAAAAAATCAATATATACCAAAATGTGCACTTTACTGGCTTTTTATAATGGAGTTAAAAGGTATACTCCAAGTAACAGAGCCACTACAGCCCACTGTAATAGTTATGGTGCCATGTGTACACTGACACCCTCCCAGGCAAAACAGTAAAACTGCTTGCAAGCGGTATGATAACTTACCCGGGGTCAGTGCCAGTTCTTCCTTTAGCTTCAGTGAGCTAAGTGCAGGGCCAGCTCATTGGCTGAAAGCATCAGCTGAGTGGTCTCATCTAATGAGGTAAGCACTGCATCAGGAGACTTGGCTTAGTGCTGCAGCTTGCAGCAACATAGGAGGAGGTGAATAGAGTCTGGCAGATCCCAGATATTTGTCAAACACTAGCGAACAGTTTGATAACTTTCCCTGGGAAGGTGCCAGGGCACTCCTGGAACCATAATCACTACAGCGTACTGTAGTCGCTATGTGATTGGAGTATTCCTTTAACTTCAACATCTAGAAAAAAAACAAGTAAACTGTAACCTGTAACAATGGATCATCAGTTAATTTGACTAAAGGAAATTAAAGGAAAAATGACACTTGCAAACAATTAATATCATATACATCTAAGAAAAGCAATAAATCTTCATAATTATAGGGGGGCGGGGCCTGACTGCCAAGACGAGCGGACGCTAATCAGAGCAGCTCCTGCTAACAGAGGCAAAGATTGCGTTATAACTGCCTCAAAACTACCCAAACTCGACAAATAAAGCTATCAAGCAAGCGGTGAAGTTAAGGGGCTTCTGAAGACACCAAACATGCAGATCTACCCGCGAGATTACCCTGACCGTACCATGAGGCCTGTAAGCATGACAGGCACGGGAGAGGCAGCCGCTCTCCCAACGCCACATGAGGCTGGACGGCTGACTACGGGCCCTTGTCCTCCCCCCATGGACCGGCGGGGGTTATCCCGGTCCCAGGAGGCCGCTCTCCTGTTCTGAGGCACCAACTCCAACGGCAAGTAACTAATCTTGACATGGCGGATTGCCCACAGGGGCCTTCGGCTGAAGCGCAGCAAAATACAGACAACAGAATCTACGCCATCTTTGCGGCTTTCTGGCTTCGGCTAGAGAGGAGAATGAGAGGCTCCCCCATGCTCACATAAGGGACCTCACCCGCAGAGGACCAAGAGGGTCTCCCAACCGGGCAGGTAATCACCAAAACCCAGACCCGACGGGATAAACCTCACAAGCCTCCTATATCTGAAGCTAAAGACCCTGCCGACCAGCAGGGAGCCCCAGTATCCGGGAAGAAAAGGATTATTAACCACTCTCAAGCCAGGGGCCACCAGAAAGCTCTGCAATCATTAACACCCACCTGCCCCCATAAACGAGGCAAAGTCGCGGTGGCAAGCCAGCACAAGAGGATGAAAATATACCTGAAGCGCAGACACAAGGCACACCGGAGCAACATAACCCAACAAGCCCACTCACCCCACCTGAAGATACCTGAGATCACAGGGCCAAGAAACGCTGCTCCGCAACAGCTCCAGACCCAACAGGCAGTCCGGCCCATCCACCGACAACTGGGCAAAGAGTCCCGCATGGCTCGGCTGGAAAACAGAAACCCTGGACATACACAGCGGGAACCAGCAGCATACAAAACCAGCCTGGGCATCCAGACCTGCTGGGGACGCTTTACTGCCCACCAAGACACTCCTGGCGCTTTCCAGATATGGGAATCGGGTGACGGATAACTCCTTTACTGGCATGGGCCTGATGACTGATATTTAAGCTTTATAAGTATTAGTCACCATTAGAGCGGATTTACACCAATATGCCATTGCAAGCCATGCTCTTATGCTATTTTGATCGACCTGTTATGTTTATTTTTTTTCCTTCTGCTTTTCCTTTATTACCTCTTAAGTTGCAGGGAGCGGTAGATAGGCAAACTCCTGGCTATAGCAGTAACCGCCATTTAGTAGACCTAGCTTTCCAGCTCATACATTAACGTACAAATCCTCATGCCTAAAATTGCCTCTCTCTCACATGTAGGTATAGATGCACAACCAAAACAATTACAATGTCCTTAGCCGCTGCGAATAGCTAGCCAGAGTGCAGGATAGAGGTAATAAATAGTATCAGTTAGAGACAAATGTGGTTAGCCTGACTGTCTCTTTAAGGTTCCCATAAAAACACCTTACTCAGCTGCTAGGCAAGAGTACCATGAAGCAAACTGCTTAACACTAGGAACATGCCCCCCCCCCAGCTGCGACTACCAAACCCTGTGCAAAATAATATTGCAGGCCCAGGCTGCCACCGGCCCGGGTCCTCCCTGGGGGCCTACTCCTGTTTCCCAACACTGTATACTTTCCCTATTAATCTATGACCTCCTCAACCATAGCTCTGCACGCCTTACCTAAATGTTAAAAGCAGGTCTTGTGATATAAACTACCTTTATGAACATGTCTTTCTTATAACATAAAGATATGCTGTCTGATATGCCATGAAAATGAATTGTTAGAACATTGCTTGCTTCAGCTGTTGTGGCAAAGTGAACCTATTTGTTACCCTCAGCATAATAAAATAAAGAATTAAAAAAAGAATAAAAAAAATCTTCATAATTATATAGTTATCTTAAAGCGCCCAAATTGTGTAGCTATTTACATACCATCACTGCTTGTTTTTAAAAACAACTTTCTTGTGTCTTCAAAATATCGAAGAGATTTACTCCAGTGTCTCTCAGCTTGCACTCGCTGTACAGACACTCGCTGAGTTTTTGGGTGGAAAAGTAGTAGAATGAGAGGTTCAAGAACTCTTGCAATATCATGTCTCTGTAAAACCTGATTTAACCAAGCTCGGCCAACTGATGAAGTTCCACCATCCATGCTATTTAGACTGTCAAGCATGATAAACAACGATCTGCAATACAAAACAGTGTATTTGGTGATTTAGCCAAAACACAGAAAGCTACTAAAACAGCAAATAGACTATTAATATCACATAGCCATAGACCATTTTGTCCCATAAAAGATGTGACCAGATACTCTTATCTGGTCACTTCTTTTAATGTTTTTGCTTGTTTATAAAGTAAAAAGTATTTCAAAATGTTTTCATTTAATTAAATGTATTATTGGCAGATTTTAACATTATTACCATCAAGCTCTAGAGGCGAGACAATTTATCATTTTGCTGTATAATTAGGGTTACATACCTGTCAAAAGTACGACCATAGGAAGAAGACTTGTTAATGTGAAGATCTCTGGTCAGATGCCAAAGAACTGCAAATCTCCCATGAGCCTCCATTCTTAATTTCTTCAACAAAATTATATGATTAGATATTTAGATGTATTAAACTTTTCAACAACAAAAACATTTCACAAGAGCACACATTTGTAATTTCAAACAGTTTCAGTCTTAGAATAAATTAATATAAATTCTGTGATTTGATCAATGTGGTATGATGTACTGTAGACATTTTTATACAATGTATTATGGATTCCAATGTACTGTTTGTTATGGAACATGTCAAACATTGAATCATGCAAAATAGTTTCTTTTCTCTGTATGGTTTTTTTACTTTGTATAACCATTAATTGGGTTTGCTTTGATTAACCTAAAATTTTAGACATCTTTATTAAATTGTCCTTTTTGGCCAAATACTAAATCATTTATCTTTGATTATAATCAGCAAGCCCCTCGCTATATTTAATTTTCTATTTTGTTTCAGTATATGCATGGTTATGTGGGGATTGGAAATAGGAGCTGTTAGCTCCACAGGCTGATTAATTGGCGATATAAAACTGGCGGAAATACAAATATGGGAACCAAATGGTTTTTCTTCTTTTTACCAAGTTTGACCGCTATACTCCCCTGTAATTTCCCAAGTGGTAATGATACATGTGACTAGACATGTGACTGCACGAAAATGTAATGACGTCATTGGACGTGAGTGGAAGTTTATGGACGTGCTGTTCTATTAGTCTATAAATGGAAGGTGCCCATCTCACCCAGCTGATTACACTTGGGCTTAATTGTTTTAAGATATATATATATATATTGTGGTAACTTGGATCAGTAAGTGAGAAGTCCCCCAGAGGAAGGCATAAGGGCCATCATTTCTCCTGCTCTAGGTTAGTATACCATATTATATGGGTTTAAGTATTTACTCTTAGCACTTTATTGTTATTCCTAAGTGGTTTGGGGATGATAGTTCTTATTTGCACTATGTTAAGCACTTCTTTCTTCTGTTAAATTGATTACTAAACTGCATGAATAAAAACTTTTTATATGCAAATCCTAGTGTGCCTTGGCTTCATTTACGGTTTTCTGTTTGTATGTGTATCCGGTGAGGGGACGAATTCTACCCTTAAGAGCATCCAGTACCCTTTAAAACCACACTACTAAATCACCCATTCCAGTTGAGCTTTTCCTGTAACCATATATCAGAATAAATTAATGGCATCATCATTATAACAGGGTAGGTAGAGGGTGCAGTGAGTAATCAATGATTGCCTAGCAGTGTAGGTCTATTTCCATATTTTCTTGCTGAATTTGGGAGCCGGAATGTAATCACTTGAAAAGTCTTTCCTAGTCAATGCTCTGAATGAGTGGAAAGTCAAGTATGATTGTATTGTATGAGCAGCTCCATCAACTTGGCTAGGGAGTTATAGAGCATGCTTGTATGACTTGGAGCACATACTGATATTTAAAGGGACACTATAGTCACCAGAACAACTAGAGCTTATTGCATTTGTTCTGATGAGTACAACAGTTCCCTTCAGGCATTTTGCTGCAAACACGGTCTTTTCAGAGAAAATGCAGTGTTTACATTACAGCCTAGTGATAACTTCACTGGCCACCCCTCAGATAGCTGTTAGAGAGCCTTCCTGGGGCATAGCTGCCTAAAATGCATCCAAACATTCAGTATATCCTCCCTCTGCATGCAGACACTGAACTTTCCTCATAGAGATTCATTGATTCAATTCATCTCTACGAGGAGATGCTGATTGGCCAGGGCTGTGTTTGAATCATGCTCTCTGTCAGTCTCAGCCAATCCTATGGGGAACCATTGTGATTAGATGAGGCTACCACTTCTGATGATGTCAGCAGACAGATTGTTTTTTTCTGAGGCAAACAGCATGCAGAGTTCCAGCTTCAGCCTTGAATACAGTAAGATTTTGCTATATTTATGGAGGCATGAGGGGCCCAGGGGGGCTAGATGGTGGTTTTAACACTATAGGGTCAGGAATACGTTTGTGTTCCTGACCCTATAGTGATCCTTTAAGCCCTTTCCTAGCTACGTGTATATAACTGGAGAAGTATAAGAGCCCATGAATTTGCTGTAAAAGAAAGACATTCAAACAATATTACCTATGCATGGAATTAAAGGGTTACTCCAACCACCATGAACACTTCAGCTTTTAGTGGCAGGGATAAGTTGAACCCTTTGGCACTTGTGATTTAGGCAGTCTGGAACTCTGTTCTGGGCTGCCTAATGTCAATTCTAAGCAAAGACGTAACAGGCTTCTCCCTTGCACCATGGAGAGAGAGAGAGAGAGAGGGGATGTGATGTCTCCATGGATTGGACCATGGAGACGGAGGATGTGATGTCTCCATGGATTGGACCATGGAGACGGAGGATGTGATGTCAGTTTGGCCATGGAATCCATTGAGCACTCAGTGCTGGATTCCAAGTAAGTTTACTGTTTTACTTTAGGTGTAGTGTGTTAACTTGAAAGGGATTGCTGGGCAATTTTGAAATTCCTTTAAAACATATCTGAGTATTTATTCGTAGTTTTCAATGTAGAAGTTAAAAGACAAAATATTTTTGTTACCTGGGTGAAGTTTCAGAATAACAAGAAAGAAGAAGGATCACTGTGTATAACCTGGTAAAAGAAGGGGATTACCTTGTCCTTGTGTGTGAGCTGCTGACTTATGACATCCTCACATGTACTGGACGAGGGGACCAGGTTATGCAGCTGGTAGAACAATTCCACACTTCTCTGATGATGCTGCGGGGTCTTTTCTCCCAACTGCTCCCAAAGTGTCATAGCCACATGCTTTTGTATGACCGGAAATAAAAAAAAACACAGATGAGCACATGAGAGTGGCTGCGTAGTCTGACCAGTGGAGTATTCTAAGAGAGGTTACTAATGGAAGTCTGTTGAATGGGTTTTAAAAGTGCTTCTAATTCATAATTAATATAGACTTAACACAATAATAATTATCTAAACTTAAAATGATCTGTCACCTAAACAGTGTTAAAAGTAATAATGCTCCATACATTTTGCTAGCATAGCAAAGGTTTAAGTCATAAGAAATTTTAGATTTGCTAACGCCACATTTGTGATAGCCTCACAAAGTGACACATGACGAAACCAACTGACTACTAAATTACAGATGATCTAATTCATTTGCAAAACACTGTAATGCTGTAAAGTTTGCATTTCTTTATATATATATATGTGAAAAAAAAATGTAAAGTGATTTGTCCATTTAAATGAATTGCAATGAAAGTAACAGCACAAAGTACATCAACTCAACAAAAGAAAATTAGCATTTAGGGAATAGAAGAACATATTGCTGCATCAGAGTTAGCACTAATGCCATTAATGTACATTGTATATAATATACTTGTTCTTTATGGCATTAAAAACATATTCCCTGCATACTACGAAGACAACTATGTGCAGATATGTGCCAAGTTTAAAACAAACATTACAGTATAAGAGAAAAGAAGAAGGAAAGTCTGTCCTACACAATGTAAATGCAAAAATGTAGATATAAGAGAAAGCAGTTAAAATTATATACTTTATTATCCAAAACAAAAAGGGAAGGGAAAGAGAGAGAGAAAAAAAGAAACCTACATACATAAATAAGAATTACCCGAAAGGGTAAATTCTTGGACAGTGATAGCCGATGCAACAGTGTATCAAAATAAATATCTGTGACTATGTAGTATAACTGTAGATTTGTTACATGAGACTCAGATGATATTTGGCAACAGTGTATCAACAGTACGTAAAAAGAATATTAAACAACAGTATACTCAAAGCCATCAATTCAGATTATTAACCTGTGTGGTCCACCAGACATTGAGACTATGAGAATAGTGTACCTGATGAGCCTCTAATCCAGGCGAAACGCGCGTCGGGTCTGACACCTCCCTGATCTTTTTCTATTAAATTTTGGTTCCTGAGGCATTAGTCTTGCCCTTTTTTGTCCCTGTCCCGGTTATCACATTCCTGGCTGACATTATTACACGGCCGGCATGGGACTCGTATAATTTAGACGGTTGATAGCAGTTTCAGGTGAATAAGAATCTGGATACCAATCAGGGTATCCACTTAACATGAGAAAACTTGTAGGACTGTGGCTTTGATACTTACCCGTCCTCCTCAGCTAAAACATCCGTCCCCGAGGCACCCTCTCTCTGTTTTCTTACCGGCTATTACATTCTCTGCCGGTACCATTAAATGACCTGCCCGGAACTTGTATAATTTAGACGGCAGTTTTTTCGCCTCAGTGAACTTGTATTGATTTACCGATCAGGGTATCTACCTAGTAGCAAACCTGTAGGGCCGTTGCTACTTGAATACTGTACATACAGTTACTCTACCTAATCTATTATATACATTTCTTTACTATACCAGGTGCCCACGAAGGCACCATTCTACCTATTCTTTTTCCTTCTGTCTATAGCTCTATCAACGTTACTGTGATTATACATACAGGGCTATATATTTTTATATACCCAGTTTTTCTGGTATTGATTGACATTAGAAGAACTAATAGTTTATTTTGTGTGCACTTTCATGTATTATTAACCCACTTACTACCAGCTCGATCGGCTTGTCTGTACATTTTGTGATTTTCTCACAAGATTACTAGCCCACTGGCTTGTCCGCATTTGGAATCCCAGTTTAGTGAGTAACCAAGTGAGATATACATATAGTCTAAATTCTCAGTCAATTTTCTGGTGACTCCCAGAGACTTACTCTGTGGGGGGTCACCTCATGGCATGATCACAGCATCTTATTGCCAGTATCTTTTTTGCCGCATATGTTTTATATTTAGTACTATATGTTGTAGTGAGCTTGCAGTTCAGCAACTAGAATTTTTTCCAATATCAATTCCACCTCTCGTTATAAATCCTGTCAGCCCTTAATTACACCTTGAGGACTGACTACGGGAGGCAGTGTATTGTAAGCCTCTTTGCTGGTACACTATTCTTGAATAGTCTCAATGTCTGGTGGACCACACAGGTTAATAATCTGAATTGATGGCTTTGAGTATACTGTTGTATAATATTCTTTTTACGTACTGTTGATACAACGTTGCCAAATATCATCTGACTCTTATGTAACAAATCTACAGTTATACTACATAGTCCCAGATATTTATTTTGATACACTGTTGCATCGGCTATCACTGTGCAAGAATTTACCCTTTCAGGTAATTCTTATTTATGTATGTAGGTTTCTTTTTTTCTCTCTCTCTTTCTCTTCCCTTTTTGTTTTGGATAATAAAGTATATAATTTTAACTGCTTTCTCTTATATCTACATTTTTGCATTTACATTGTGTAGGACAGACTTTCCTTCTTCTTTTCTCTTATATGGTTTATCCCATTAGGGTTACCCCTGGTCTGTCCTGTTGGACTATTTTCTGGCCAACTGGTTTTCATTCAAACATTACAGTACACACAAAGGGTTATTCACCAAAGTGGGAATCATCTTCAGATCCATTTTGAGTTTGCTTTTTTTGCCCAACATTAGAAATTCACATTGTATTCCCAACAATTCCTATAGTACTGAATATCCCTGATACTTCACATCAAGAAGGAAACATTGTCTGCAGTATTTTTGTAGCACTAATTTCATTTTAATAATTGGAACCTCGGATAAACAAAAAAAAAAAAAAAAAGAGAGAGAGAGAGAGAAAGAGAGAGAGATTAGACACATTTTAGACACATAAATTATCCTACCTTGAAGAAATCAGTTTTCTCAGCCATGAATCTCAAGTTTCCTTCAGTAAGTGGTGGTCGGATAACTACAGATACACGCCCTTGGTTGGGACTTAAAGGCTGAGAAGATTCCAAATTACCCGTGTTTTCAGCAGCAACCACTGCAACAGATTGTGTCAGGCCAACAAGGTCCATAACAAGTGAAATAGCCACGCTCTGGATGCTGAAGTCCATGGCTGAACTGCAGGCATTCATGAGTGTCTGAAGCCAGGTGGGTGGCTGCACTTGCTCACAGTCTAAGAAACAATCAACAAAACACTTATATAGGAAGTATTAATACTCCGATCACAATGTAAACATGCTGACTTAAAGGAACACTGTAATGGTTTTAATGGCAGGAGTTGCCAGGTACCCTCCCTTCTTGATCAATGTAAAATATATATTAACGAACAGCCAATGCACATACCAGATCTTCCCTACATCATCATTCAGTATTCTTGCACAAGATTGCAACAATAGTTTGGTTACTTGGCAAAACATTGCCTTTCGGAATTTCAGTTTACTACAATTTGGAGTTTAGAGAATAAAACCTTTCATATTTAAACTCTAAAGAGCATTCATGAAAATATCAGCGCATAATCAGGGCCCAATATATAAAATTTAAAAATATATATATTTACTTGATGCCTGCACTGGCTCATTTTGGAATAAAGCTCGTTATAATTAATACATTTATGAATTTCTCCTATGTTAAAGCAAACAAATTACCTATATCGGCCTTGTTGTTGTGGATCTCTGAGGCCTGGCTGCCTTCTGCAATGTAAACAGGGAAGCTAGAACATTCAAGAAACAGCTGGCAAGCAGCAATAAAGGCAGGTCGGTATTCATTTGGTGAGTGCTGCTTAATCACTTTTTTTCCCTTAGTGTTATCAGAAGTGGTATCTTCACATTTAGTGCTGTGTGCTTGACACTCATCAATGTCTTCCTTAAGTTCATTTGCAAGTGCATGGGATACTGAGCCTCTAGGTGAAATGTACAGAGTGATAAGTCTTGTCAAGAACTGCTGGAAATAATCTAAGCAGCATTGCATTGCTGTTTTTTGTGTGGCTTTAATACTGTGAGATGCTGCCCCCTGGGGGCTGGTAAAGGAAGGTTGTATAACAGTTTCTTCAGAGCCCACAGTAGATGCGGTTTCAGTTTCTGAAGAAGTGCTACCTAAGGGCAGTCCTGCTGCACCCTGACCCTCACTCAGCACTCTGTCAATGTCATCAGCTCCGTCAGCTTGGTACTGGACAAAATCTGTAAAGCCGCTCTCTGAAGATCGACTGCTTGGAGGGTTCTCTCCATCGTCAAAAACATCACCTGGATTTTCAGAGGTAACTGGGGAGAGCTAAGCACAAGGCAGAACAGGATATAAATATTTAAACTCTTCATAGACGTTTACCTTAATGCAAATAATTAAAACTGGCATGAAAAAACAATTAACATGGTTAAACATACTGCATTACTGATAGTACAACGGGACATGTTTGTGTTGTGTATATAACATTACCTTCCTGTCATCCCTTTCTTTGAAGAAGCCAATCTGTGCACCTGGAAAATGTACAGAGCCATCAGAACTGGCAGACAGAAGTGGGGGCTGAACCTTGCTGAGAATCTTGGAACAAAGCCGCAGAGAATCTACCAGTTCCTTCAAGTCCAGAGACTGCAGATGGCTTGTTAGAGCGGAGATCATTCTCAGGAGCAACTGGGGCAGATGTTCTGTCTGGATTTCTATGTATGTCTCCTAAACAAATGAAAAACACTGATAACCATCAGTAATTGTTACATTCACCCTTTCCTTTCTGTTCAGGACATAAAATACAAATTTGTATAGGCACTAATGTTAAGATAATGTTTATTACAAGTCCGAAGCCTACTAATCAATGTGCTACACAATTCGACTCGGACCTTGCTTATAAAAGTAGTGGCTTAAGCATATTGTAAGATACACTTGATTACACATTATATAATCAGAATGACATTGCTGGAAATGGAGCTAAAGTAAATACTAAATATACAGACAACTATGGGCATGATCAAGAAGTAACAGTAAAGCCAACAAACATTATTCTACATAAACAATACCAGGACTCCGTGAACGGGGAGATCTACATATCTATACTGGTTAGAGATCAAGGATTTACTTTCACATCAGAACAAGTACTCCCACTACTGTCCACCTAGCCAGCTTGTCGCAGTCACTTTACCAGCTCTTGATATCAGATATTTGACTTTATTTCCTGTAGGATATCCTTTTGCTGTGACACTGGGCACCATATGCATTGTAACTGCATGCAAAATACAAACATGCATATCTATCTATTGATTCAGTAATACATAAGCATATATGAGGCCTTGGATACAAAGATAGGTGGTATCTTTAAGATCATACAGTACCTGGCATATCACTCTCATACTTCTAGTAGGCTTTGAAAATGAAAGCAGAATATAAGAGTCGGAAAGGAATAGAAAAATTGACATATTTTAAGTAGCATGCATGAAAAAGACTGAGGAATTAGTAACATATTGTAGCAAACATTTACTATATATATATATGTATATAATGTGTATAAAAATAATATTAAACATGCATTGTGTATACTCAAATGGTGTTCTCATGAGGAACAACAAAATGGACAAAGTCCTTTTCTGTACCTTATACTTGTACGTTTCATTTGGCATTACACAGTTCTATGATAGTTATTTAGCTAGCTCTAAATAACTAAACCAATACTAATATAACAGAGAAACAAAATTATCAGTTGGCACATATTAAGGAACCCATTCTCATAGAACAATAAGCCAGAAATCTGGTACTATGTTTAAAGCTGAAGAAATCATTTAGAGCAGCTTTCACAAACAGCAACATGCTTTCTTCTTATAATATTTTATAATATTTGTATTTTTTGGGAGATCAAGACGACGGATTTAATTTTCAAGCCACTAGGCAACAGGTCGCAGTGTATTCATAGAAAAATTAATTGCCAAATGATTTGCAAAACGTAAGCATAAACAGCAAAACTGTAAACATTTCTCTCTCTTCATCAGAATGTTGCAATTCAGTTGTCAATTCATCAATTATTTGCTCCAGTGGGAACTTCTTTCAATTCAACTAGCTGGCTCTAAAGCTTTCAATTTGATTTTCAGCTGATGCAGTATCTGAACAGTTCAATTCGATGACTAAACCTTATATAACAGTCTTGGTGATCTGAAGTCAATAAGAGTGGCTTCTGCACCTGCTAAGTTATCTTTATAGAAATTAGCAGATCGTCAGTATTTTAAAGGACCACTAAAGGTACCCAGACAACTTAAGCCACTAAAATTGATCTAGGGCAAAGGAAAGAGTCCTTTATATTTCATTCCACATTAGTAATAGGTTTATCAATAGTCAAAAAAATTGCAGCTAAACAGTTATTGTCTGTAGGAGCAAAGGTGCCGCAGCACCACATACAAAAAGTTTGTCTGCCGTTGTTGTGACCTCACTCCCTGTTAACATTATCTTGAACAGACCTGCCATGTACACTGAATACTAACACTGATTAACATAGGATATAGATTTAATGTTTAAAGGGACATGCATTATTGAGAAAACGGTCTCATTAAAAAGCTTTAGTCTTTTAGGCTGAAAAAAAGCATGCAGATCTGATTTTTTTTTGATTTTTTTTATGTTTACCTGCATCTTTTTATTTCCACACAAACAAAAGGGGATACTATAATATACCGGTCAGTTTCCTATCCCTAGGAATGCTGGAAAAGTGCACTGGCCATGCCTTACAGATTTAAACATGTGAAGCTCGAATATCTCTACGCCTTGGAACATCCGGACAGGGGGAGAAGAGAAGGAGTCTAATCAGTGTGATTAAAACAGAGCAAGCAGTATCGAGTTTCTCTCACCTGCTGCTACCCAATGATTCCCTGTTTCTGTCATTAGTAAACTGGTCTGAAGCTGAGCTGGATGGTAAGAGTAAGGGGGAGACACTGAAGAAACTTCCCTGGCTGTAAGGTGTGCCCAATAATGCAATCTAAGCAAGTCTATTGTGAATTTATAAACATTTATTACATATTTTTCAAAGTGTTCTTGTTTTATCTTGATTTGTAAATTTGTTTAAAAGGGTTTGCGTGCTGGTTTAAAAACAGAATTGTCAAACGATGCATGTTCCTTTAAAGATCAATACAGCAGCATAGGATGAAGGCCTTATCTTTCTGGCTGGGTTTACTTTTGAAGTGCATTACCTTAAACTAATAAGCATTCACTTAAAAATAATATAACATAATAATGTATTTAAATTGTTTAATGGGTACTTACTAAAGACACAATATCCAATAAAAAATCAACTAATAAGCAGAAATTGATAAGAGGTAACTGAGATGTCTTGCTGCCATCACAAGCTGGTAAATTAAGTCTGGCATGAAGTGTCCGCCTACAAGGGAAAAAAAAATACTGATTACCAAATGTGTTTCTTCATTCAACACTATTGCATTAGGAATAAAAACATGTATTCCTAACCATATATTGTTAAACTATTAGGGATGCTAGCCGAAAATGGGCCAATCCCGTTTCGGGCGGAAACGGGTCAAATTTGCCGAAATTACAAAAATTACATTATGGGACACTATGCGACAGGAGGGGGGGGGAGGGGGAGAAAAGAAATATAAGACAGGGAAGGGGGAAATAACACTATGGGACACAGGAGGGAGGGGGAGAACACTATAGGACACGGTGGGGAAGAACACTACGGGACAGGAGAGGGGGAGGGAGAACACTACGTGACAGGGGAGGGGGAAAAGAACACTGGGACAGGGCAGGGGGGAAGAACACAATGGGACAGGGGAGGGGGGGGGAGAACACTATGGGATGGGGAGAAAGAACAATGGGACAGGGGAGGGGAGAAAAGAACACTATGGGACTGAGGGAGGAGGGGAGAGAAAAAAAACTAAAAAAGAGGGAGGGGAGAGGAACATTAGAGGGGGGACCACTAAAAGAGAAGGGAAGTTTTTCATATTAGATTAATTAAATTCATTAAAAAGTCTAATATTAATAAAATTATAGGGAAAAAAAAACTTTTTAAAATCATTTGGGGAAAAAAAAGTCATTTTCAGTTTCGTTTTTTGGCTGAATTCTGGCCGAAGGGCATCCTGAATTTTTGGTTTCCATTTCGGCCCAGAATTTTCATTTCCGTGCATTCCTACTCCCTATCAGAGGCGGCTCTCTAATTAGGCCTAAGGCCGCCTAAACTCCCTATGGGCAGACTGTATTGGGTCCTCGGTCAGTGACCGAGGACCTGACACCAGGAGGGGGCCCGGCAGCTTGCTCGGTATGCCGTCGGGTGCGAGGCCCCTCCTGGCTGCCATATTATGTCTCAATCACGCAGAGCGTCCATAGGAAAGCATTGAAAAATGCCGGTGAGGTCAGACAAGGATGCCGACGTCGGTGGGGGAGGAGAGGTAAGGGAGCCCGGCGGGGGAAAGGGGTGAGTAGCTGAAGGGGTTTTAACCCCTTCAGCGCCGCGGGAGGGGGACTCTGAGGGTGGGGGCACCCTCAGGGCACTATAGTGTCCCTTTAATGAGTTTTGCTTGCTTAATACATTTTTACTTTATTTAACCAATAACTCTTTGCATATTCATACTTATACAGCTGGTTTGACTGAGTTGCATATTATAAAATACAATTTATATTTTTTTTATTTTAGTACTCTAATAGATTAGGTTTGACTATTGAGTTTTGTGAGTCCTCATTTGCAGGAATTGTGGATGCAGAAACTTGGAATGTTGTATGTAAACATTGCCACAAGTGCAGTTCCGATTTATAATATACAATAACATTTATTCCGTTTTCAAGGATACTGTACACGTGAGGGTGAGGATGATTTTTTTTTTTTCAATTTGTTTGAAAGAATTCGTTTATAGATGTGGAACATTTGACAAAGCAGAACATTTTCTTCCTACCCTCTGGTTCAGCTGCATCCCAGAGCATTTATCACTGCTGTTATTATACAGCCAGCAGCCCAAAAGGATCAAAGCAGCCCACACTGTAATAAATCTTTTCTACAGCTCAGCACTATTAAATAAAAAGCAAATTAAAATGACACGCTGTTTTTATCCCTCAATGTAAAATACCTATACCTACCTACAGCATTCTTCAAACCAGCGAGCGATGTAATCCCACATGTAGTAAGGTTCGAAGGAATTGAACAAAAGGTTGGCAGTTTTAATGAGCTCTGCTGTTCTCTTGTTTTCCCTCAGTTTACTAAACAGAAAAAAGCAATGTCATACACTGTACTGGTAAATATCATACAATTTAAAGCACAATTATCCTACTTTTAGAATGGTCCAAGATTCCCACTAGAAAAGACATGGGTAATCAATTAATCTAAACGTGGAGCACTGGTCCAAATAAAAGGTCATCCTAAAAGGCAGGTTTATATCACTGCCAGGGTTATTATTTACAAACGTGTCAATTGTTGAGAATTGAAAGGAAATTACACATCTTACGGCAAAATAGATGAACTGACAAGTTGGGTAGCTTGCTTTCATTTGGCAAATTGAAGTCCAAAATTTTAAATTATTTTTCAATCACTGATAATATACAAGTATATGAATAATTCTATCCACAGCCTTGCCCCTCAACTGAGGCTGAATTAACACTGCCACAATGTGTTGTGCCCTTAGGTTAATGGGACCTGTTGGTCAGTAATTACTGGAGGGTTGCACTTTGGTAGCATTATTATGTTGATTATTGGAAAAATTTTACGATTTTCTCAAGAAATACGAAAAAGAGTGTCCCTGTGCCATAGACAAAGAATCAAAGGCAACAGTCTTCTCCATTGAGTGTAGGAAGGTTTATTGGTGATCACATGCATTTTTGCTATACACCCTGAACTAAATCTTTTGGTAACACAGAGAAACTAGATTAAATAATGTGTTTATTCATAGTGGCAATAGCCCTGCTTGGTAAAACACTTTATATATAGTATGTGACTATTTACGGAGTGTTTGAAATATGGTGTGAAAGCATACGTTTTCCCCATTGTTTAGTTTTGGAAATGGTTTATGCTTCAATAAGAGACTTTATAATAACAGGAATCAGGTAATACACTCTATCCAGTATGTTTACAAGTGTATAGTGTACACAGCAATGAATATGAGCATATTTCTGAGAAGGTTTCACATTTATACTTTTTTTGTTAATTGGTGTGGAGCCCACATTAAATGTTTCTTATGTCTTTCGTGAACAATCAGTGTCCATTAAGTTAATAAGTAGCTAAAAGAATTTTAAAGATGGAATCAACATACCTGCTAAGCTGAGCTGGATCCTTACTAAAAGGTGCTTGTGTTTGAATATCAAGTTCAGCTTTGCACTGTGTATATAACGTCCTAAACACTTCTATCAATACATCTTCCAAGATTGCAGGGCCTATAACCAAAACACAGAAAGTCATGCTGTTAGACCAGTAACAAGTATACACAATCTGCCATGGGTGTTTAAGGGCTAAAGTAAAGTATAATTTACTCCAAAGCTATAACAATTTATTTTAAAGTTATTTCCATATATTGGAGTGGTGTGGGAGTGATTTGAACAGTGGGCCAAGCATTCAACAGCAAGCTGAGCATTTGATTCAACATGTAGACAAAAACAATCTTATATATATATATATATATCTAAAAATAAAATACCTAGTTCAGGCTTGTCTAGCAGACTTATAAGAATACGGAATGGCTTTAAGTCTTGCACCGGTGCACTCTCTCGGTTGAGTTCCTTTCCTTGCAGAATCCCCACCATGGCCTGCATCAAAAAAACACCATCCAGTCAATAACTAAGCATGTGCTTTGGCAATATTAACATACATATATCAAAGTTAATTTTATGTTTGACCGAATCTCAGCAGATTGCATTTACTCATCTATTTAGTTACCCACAGTGATTTAACCAGAGCTAACCAACTGATTAATCTTTATTGTGTTTTAACCCGTTCGCATATATCAGAACCTCGTACAAATTACTCACAGCAAGCGTACTTCACCAAGGGTACCTACATTAAGTGTCATTAATAGACTAAAAACGTTTTAACTAAACTTGTTAACCTGTTTCCTAGCGACATCCTAGCCTTAATATTAAATGTTGCTGTCCTAGCTTGAAACATAACTGTTAACCAACTCAACATATTTCTCAACCCTGTGGGTACCCAGGAATGTTATAACAATGCCTAGAAAGAAATGAAACGTATTGAACTCAAAACTATATTGATCATAGCTTGTTTTCTCTACCATTACATATGTTATTTTAAAAAAATGTATGCAAACTTCACATGCCACACATTTGTCCTAACTATGATTATTGAGCCTGTTGGTGCTGTTGTGGCGACACAGGTAATGTTGTATCTCCCTGCATACCAAAAAAAAAAAAAAAGCATGTGCTTTGGTACATTGTAAAATCATAACATATTGTGACAGAATACATGTCTCCTCAATACCAAAGATAACTGAGTAGTACTTTAAACTGATCCCAGCATATCCTCTACTCTTTGGGGCATGGTGTTGTAAGCATTCTATAGAAATTAACTGCATTCATCTCACAGAGTGTGGACCATGCTGAGAGTTTATTGTTATAACTGCCATTTCATGCAACCTGATGGAGAGGTGTGCTTTGTGACATGGTGCACTGAATTGATTTCACACAGTGCACACCACTTTAATGTATGCTGTGGCATTCTACTGTCAACTCATCTGCTTCAATTGGACCGTAGTGAATAATGTCTGACACCAGCAACCATGTAGCAACAGTCATACCAGGACAGTCCACTCTGCATCTCTCAATTTTAATGTTTGGTTGAACAATAAATAATCAGCTTGGCCATGTCCGTATGCTTTATGTATTCTATCAAATATCAGCAGGCACAAAGAAAATCAAATTAAAAGTTAATTGTCAAATATTACATTATTCTGTAGCAAGCAGCTGTGCCTTTGTATAGACGCTGGTACTGCACTTGCAGTCCAACATATCCCACCAAACCCAGACAAATCCCATCAAATATAGAAAGCAGGCAGGTGCATTACATAGTGTCTATCAAAAAGAGCCACTTGTGCATGTACGGTGAGTTAAATCTTTTATTTAAAGGGACAATATAGTCACCAGAACAGCTACAGTTCATGGAATTTGCTCTGGCGAGTAGAATCATTACCTTCAGGCTTTTTGCTGTAAACACTGTCTTTTCAGAGAAAATGTAGTGTTTACATTACAGCCTAGTGATAACTTCACTGGCCACTCCTCAGATGGCTGTTAGGGATCCTTCCTGGGTCATGGCTGCCTAAAATGCATCCAAACATTCTGTATCTCCTCCCTCTGCATGCAGACACTGAACTTTCCTCATAGAGATTCATTGATTCAATCCATCTCTATGAAGAGATGCTGATTGGCCAGGGCTGTGTTTGAATCATGCTGGCGCTGCCCCTGATTTGCCCCTTTGTCAGTCTCAGCCAATCCTATGGGGAAGCATTGTGATTGGATCAGGCTACCACTTCTGATGATGTCAGCACACAGCTTGTTTTTCTGAGTCTAACAGCATGCAGGGTTACAGCTTCAGGCTTGAATACAGTAAGATTTTTACTATATTTATGGAGGCATGAGGGGCCCAGAGGGGCTAGATGGTGGTTTTAACCCTATAGGGTCAGGAATACATGTTTAAATAAAACTATTTAAATAAAATATTGAACACTTACTACCTCCAGTTGTGATACGTTTGGATAAGCCTTTGTGTTCTTTTCTACATCACCACATGATTCACTGTATGGCTATTCGAAGTACATATACATGTGCACAGACACTTCTAAAACATGACAGCATGACACGATCATCAGATAGAGAATTACATTTTTCTAAAAGAAATTTTTATTTTGACCTGTATGTTTAGTATAAATCAGAATATCATAATATATAGAGATAAGGATGGATTTATTTTCTGAATTGTAACTTGGAAACCATATTGCATTTAGGTTAAAACAGCCAAGATGGAGAAAATCTTGACCAGATTTTGATTTTGAATTCCGTCATTTTGGTGTATATTTTACAAGTTGGTTCTCAAACCACCACAACTCAATGTTAAGAGAATAGACATCAATGTCTTGGAAAGAGATGCACTTTATTAGAGTGAATAGTGAATTTGGAAAGAGGACAGCCACCCACCTGCACCAACAGGTCCTTGGAGAAAGTATTGAAATAGTAAGTGGCATGCTCCTCTGGATTGCTTTGCCGTGTGCTTCTTGGTCCTACCACAGCCCCATTGTTATCAAAGCCTAAGAGGGAGAGAAAACAAAAAACAAGTTCAGAAATTATCGCTGTTTCTTGCAATTAGAATTAAGTCTTTTAATGGTTACAAGCACGCAAATACAAATAACTCACCCAATATGGAGTAGCCACAATGACAGCGAGAGGGAAATCATATCAGAGTTAAATTAGAGAAAGACTTGTAAATCTTTAAAGAAGCATGCATGCAGAGTAAGTGTAAATTAGCTAGGAGACTAATACCTTAAAGGGTAAATCTAAACTAAAGAAACAGGCAGACAGTAGAGATGGATGAATATGTATGTAAACTATTACACATCTTACTGTATACAATCTCTGCTACTGTGACAGACTGGAAAGACACATGTCAAAGCAACGAATCCCTTTGAACATCATTTTGATGAAGACATAATGTGGTCATCTTACTATTCCCATTAAACTCCTACCCACAGAACCCACTCTTTCTGTTCTTATTATTCTAAGCATTGCGACAGGATAAAAAAAAATAAAAAATTGACAAATCTTCATATAAATAAATAAATCATATCATTGAACAAACAAACAAAACAAAATATATACATATATATATATATATAAATAAAAGAAAGGTTAACAATTGTTTTGCGAGAGATTGTAAGGAAAAGGGAATGCCATGAGCTGTAACAATTGGTCTTATGTAGTAAATAAAATTCGGTGTGACAAACAAGGTATACTTAAGCAACGTATTAGAAGCAATCTATTGAAGTTATTTATTTTCAATTGAACAGAGAATGTAATTAAAAATAATTAGGATTAAATTGCCAAGCGGTGAGAATTGTTAAACCTCATCATCATTTCTACAGATTAAACTATCCAATGAAAGCCAACAATAGAGTATTTTTATGGCCAATGTGACCAGTGTGCCATTAGAATCTGTGTGATGGTACAGCAAACAGTGTGACAGTAAATAGATGCACACATTTCTTTTTCACCAACAGCACAGAGGTCAATATAAATAAATAAAATGTTACCTATTTGGATATGGTAGCAAGCATTTTTAAATAAAACCATGTCAATAGAGCTCTAACCAGAGAAGAGTGAATTTGCGGTTCATAGTCCGCCAAGAATGAATTTTATTTATATTTATTACATTAGAACTACAGGAACATTATATACAGATTTCACATTTCGAGTGCCAGGAAAGTGGAGGCATATTTTGAAGGGAATCAATAGAATGTTAATAATTCAGTAATCTTAAAAGCAGAACATTTAGCTGGAGTGGAGCAGCAGTCAACTTGTACCAGGTACATCTGCTGTGCACACATTCCTATGGTGTGACTCACACTAGCTATGCCAGTAAGTCCAGGTGGGACTAGATAAATAATAAAAACAAGGAATGTGTCTAACATTTAGATATTACAGTCATAACGGACTTAAGTATCAAAAGTTTACTATTCAACAATGTAATACTGAAAACACGTGTGGCCGCATTTCACACAGCATGATGGGAAAAAGTGAACAAGGCTTAGTCACTGACTGAAGATTGCAGATTTAATCTGGACGTTAATTATTGTGTTACATCATTCTTAAATTATTGACTATTTTGGTTAGTAATACAGAGTGATGTCTGAATCATTTATTATATTAGATGGATGGAAATCACTGGAGCTGCACCATATCAATTGCAATATTTATTTGATTGATGGGAAAGCGTATCACTCAGCATGTAAACCGGTCTTATTTTTCATACTTTAGTATTATACAATGTAAAAACACACATCTCCACTTTCAATAAGCTGTGTAGTAGATGTACAAGTGCCAATAAACAAATACCTTCTCATTATCCAATTATGCTCATTGGCTTCCTGTTAAACTCCTACACTGGAAAAATGCACATACCAGATCAAGGCCTTTCATGAACAGTAGCATTGCTAGATTTTAAAATGCCATGGGCTAGAACCCAAATCAAAACTGCCCACTCCTATTGCTCTCCCCAGCTCTTTTCAATTTCTCCACTCATACCTTGACCTTTCAGTTTCCCCTCTGAGCTCCTCTGAATCTCCTGCTCGACAGTCTTTTTTTTACATTCTCTTTTCCACTCATCTGTTTTCTTAGTCTGTATTTAATTATTTTTCCAAACGTGCTTCTTTTCTCCTATTTTTCATTACTCCCACTACTTATCTGATCTCAGACTCTAATATGACCACCTTTTAATGCACATCAACACTAACGTTATCCGTATATGAATACATCTCTGCCCTTTATGAACACATACACACACACTTCAACTTAATCACCTGACCTGTGACTTGTGATAGACAATGCACTTGAATGTACAGGTCAGCAAGCTTGCCTGCTGCACTCTCGTGCATCCAGCTAGGCTTACTAAAAGCAGCACTCCCCTCCTCTCAGCAGCCTGGAGTACAGTCAGAAAAATAGAGCAATATGCATTGCATTTCCTTAACAAACCATGGATAGATAGGGGGACACAGATTTCACACAGCGAAAAGAGTGGTGGCAATTTAAAAGGGCACAACAGTGGCGGAACTATCAGGATCACAGGGGTCGCAGACAGAGAGTGTGGGTGTGTTTTTTGTATGTAGGTATTATTATAGCATTTGATTTAGCAAAGTTTAATTGAAAACTCAATGTAAGCATATATTGAAACTTTTTTTAAAAGCGGCATATAATGTGGATTGCATATATCTATATTTATGTTGTAGCAATTCCTTGCCTTTTTTTCCCTAGGAACACATAGTAGCTGATTTATATATATATATATATATCTGTATGGAGTATCCCTTTCAATTTAATGAATAAAACAGTTACAGAACATCTCTTGATGATACACCTACCTATGTGTCAGTCTCTTGGTTGGTTGTTGTACTGGCAAGATGTTGTGCAGCAACCTCATTCCTACACTGGTGAATAGAAGCTGTATTATAGAGGTTGTGGTGCTCTCATCCATTCCAATGTCTCTCCCAGACAGTTTATTTTGCAGCTTTATAATCCACTAATTCGGCCAGTTTAATGTTGCTGTGACTGGCCAGCATTCAAAATTTAATCAATAAGTATTTGAGGTTGCACTCTGGCCATAGCTGTGTACGCAGCTCAGCTGACCAATTTAGTACCTATCATGGCCATGTATAATGAGAGCTGTAGTCTGTGTCAGTGTGTGTGTATGACAGTGTATGCATCTGTGCATGTGTGTCAGTGTTTGTGTGTGTTTTTGTATGCATGTGTCTTTATATGTGTATGTATCTGTACACGTGTGTCATTTTTTCTGAAACTGTGTGTGAATCTGTGCATGAATGTCAGTATGTGTCACTAACAGCGTATGTGTATCAAGCTGTCTATGTGTGTCTCGGAGTGAATCTGTGTATATATATATATATATATATATATATATATATATATATATATGTGTGTCTGTGGGCATTGTTTGTGCTTCTGTATGTGTGTGGGACAGTACACATGTATTTGTGAAAACACATTTGCATGCAATCACTAATATTACAAACAAACACACCCCTGCATTAAAACACTAACACTCCCCACAAAAACTATACGGCATTCAAAGGCCAACACTACACACAAACACACCCCTATATTCACATGCCAACATTACAAAAACTCCCCTGCATTCACACACTAACACTACATAAATACCAGCACTACACAAAAACAGACCCCCTGCATTCAAACATCAGCATTATATACAAATAAACAAACATTCACACAAATATACTCCACGCAAAAGCATGCTTACATTCACAGATACTGCATGCAGTTAGAACACTGCAAGGATGAGTAAATAGCAGATCCACAGCTAGCAAAGCATCATAGCATTTGCACGGCAGCTGAGGATCATATTAGCCACCTCTGTTCTATAGCGGGTGGAGGGGCCCTTAACAGATTCTTGCACTGAGGCCCTAAAGTTTCTAGTTACACCCCTGCTTACAACTACTTGCCTAGAGGGAATCTGGGGCTAAAGAACTACAACATTTAGAACTTCAGCTTCCACCAAGGTCCATGTTACAGAACATTTGTTTTTTAGTGTGGAGAACAACATAGTAACAGGCAATTAAGAGGTTATCATTCTTATATACAATATTAGGAAGTCAAGTAGTTTAGACTTTACTAGATCAACCAATGTTCATCATCCATCACTACTTACAGATCATCAACACACCTGAGCTTCTTAACACTGCAGTAGGCTTATTAGTTGTAAGGGACAAGATATCAGACTTGGAAAAGAGTACAATCTATTATAGCTTTACTATCCTGGAATTTAAAAAAAAAAAAAATCATCCAAGCATGAAACACTCTTGTCTTTGCATTTGACTGCCATGTAAGTCACACTTGTCTTCCTACTCAGCAACCAAAATGTGCACCTTTTCATAAAGGGAGATGCTTTTAACTCCTCTGCCCTACAGCCTTGCAAGTTATATAGGAATCAAGAAGAATACAGAGAAATAAGTGTATTTATTGTGCATGGATAATGTTTAATATAATCCTGAAAATGCTGAATGCCTGTCTCTCTGAAGCAATTTGAGAACTACATTTCCCATGATGTTTAACAATCCTGAAGGCTGGATGAGCCTAATGGGAAATAATATTCATAAACATGTGCAATGCCAATACTAGACATCACTACACTGGAGGATTAATGTTTAAAATATCTGCCACAGGCTAGAAATGTGCCCAATGGATACCTTTGACTGCTACAAAAGAGGAAGATCATTTCACTCCATGGATAAAAATAAAACGTATGCTTTTAAAATACAGATTTTGGTAAATGTTTTACGAATTCAGAAACCTACCCAGAAGCCATGCATAGAGCCTTCGATTCAGTGACATGTCTCTGCGCAATACTACGCGAAGCGCTGCTGACAGAATACGGATCATGTCAGGACGAGTTGCCTACAAACACAAATGCAATTAAAACGTGGCAAAATGAATGCACTTTATAAAGGTCATAAGGTAGAACAACGAAATTTCAAACAATAACTAACCACCAATATTAAATGATGAGTCATGAGGGGTGATGAAAAATCAGCTTGGTGGGGTGATAAACAGAAAATATTACCAAAACAAAACCTTCACCAATTATAAAAATGTTTTATGTAAGTAGCAGACAAATACTTTGAACTAGCTGCAGTAGTACAGAGAGACTCCCGTACCAGAAATATACTTTATTTCAGAACTACAGTAATCAAATTTTGAAATTGTAAAACAAATAATGACATCTACTTTTACTTGCTGTCAGTCAACCATTTTAAAGCTGAACTCTAGATTTTATACACTTCACCTACATACTGGAAAAAAAATGTGCTGTGGCAAAACATGGTGAATGCATGGCAAAGATACAGCTAAACAGATGACATCATAACCCACGTCACTGGCAACGAGTGTAAGATAGGAGTGATTCCCCACTTTAATAGTAATATAGGGTGTGGGCTGTTGCGCCACATATTGATAGGGAACAGTGAATGTTTAAAAAAGTGTGTAAATAGTCACGAAGAATGAGGTGAATTAGATTAAGTGTCAAGTGGGGTTTGCTTAAAGGGAGTTTTCAGGAAATTGATGGGTTTAGTATATGACAGCATGATGATTGCTACCTGACTCATGTGGAATGGGAAGCAGAACAGGATAAGGTCTAGTGTACTTCTCTGTACCAGTACGCTGGAATCCTGGACAGACGTGCTTACAGCTTCCACCTGAAACCCACAATAAACAAAGCTCATTAAACACAGCTCTGACAATGTTTGGAATCAATTCTCAGTTTGCTTATCTTAACCTTGCAGAGCTTAGACAATTCCTTCATATTCATAGATCAGATTCCTCATAATTAATAAGAAGTCAACTGAAGGCTTATTCATGCAGTTGTGTTGGTCCAAGAGGAACCTGAGCTTCCATAGTTTATTGGTAAAACAGGTTACATAGTTACATAACTGAAAAGAGACTTGAGTCCATCAAGTTCAGCCTTCCTCAAGTATGTTTTTGCTGTTGATCCAAAAGAACGCAAAAAACCTAGTGCCCAGTCCCCCAATCTATCCAAATCCCTCTGCAGCAAAGCAATATCCTGCTCACATTTTATTACTTTACAAAGTTTTGTGTCATCTGCAAACACTGATACATGGCTTTGAATGCCTATTGCAAGATCATTTATAAATATGTTAAATAGAAGTGGTCCCAAAACAGAACCTTGAGGGTCACCACTTACCACTTTTGTCCAGCCTGAAAATTTACCATTAATGACAACTTATTGTACTCTATCCTTAAGCTAATGTTCTACCCAAGAACAAGAATATTCATCTAGACCAATTTCTTTTAGTTTGAAGACTAACCTATTGTGAGGAACCGTATCAAATGCCTTGGCAAAATCCAAGTAGATCACATCCACTGCAACACCCTGATCTAAACTTCTACTTACTTCTTCGTAGAATGCAATTAGGTTAGTTTGACATGACCTATGCTTCATAAAACCATGCTGATTATTGCTAACAAAGTTCTTCCCAATGAATTCCTGAATATTATCCCTTAATAGCCCTTTAAAGTACTCGTGGGTGAATACCGTCAGGCCCCAGAGCTTTATTTACATTAATTTTCTTTAATTGCTGAAGCACCTGGTCTTGAGTCATCCAATCACAAGTTATCTGCAAGTTTTTTGCAGCATCATTTGCATATCTCTTGCCATAGGATCCTCATTAATATATACTGAAGAAAAATAGTTATTTAAAATTTCTGCCTTTTCCTGGCCTTCATTAGCTAACAGACCCATCACTGTTTCTAGTGTACCTACACTTTCATTTTTTGTTTTGTTTTTTAGAATTGATGTACTTGGGAAAAAATAATTTGGGGTTGGTTTTGCATTCTTTGGCTATCAATTTCGAATTTTCTAGTTTAGCCACTTTAATTGCATTTTTGCAAGTATTATTGGCTTCCTTATATCTTATATAGGATGCCTCTGATTTGTCCGATTTAAATGCTTTAAATGCCCTTTTCTTATTTTTAATCTCTTGTTTTACTTCTCTACTAAGCCACATTGGTTTCAATTTGTTTCTTTTATATTTATTACCCAATGGTACATACTGTGAAATGTACCTTTCTAATATTTGTTTGAATAGTTTCCATTTAGCCTCAGTGTTTTTTTTTCCACTATGTGAATGATTTCCTGATTTATTAGCTTAGCAAAAAAACAAAAACAAACACACACACAGAACTTATATAGTGTGTGGTATGGGAACTAAAAAGAGAACAAAGGGGAAAACCTCAAAAAAGTTAGTGATTAGCTCAAATTATGTCAACACAAGTACAAAGCTGAGAAGAGTATCTTTGGCACCTTGGACTCTGCAAGATCCATGAAAACTGCTGTAATGATTAAAGCAAGTTGCTGATCTTGTACACCAACACAAGTCTTGCATGCATTTCTCCTAGTTTAGATGCTAATTAGTGTGCTCTTTGAGGAAAATACAGAATACACTGATGTGAACCTAGAAATGTTCAATCCAATCAGTTCTCTGTCCCCAATATTGAACATGCATACACTTCTATGAGAAAACCTTGGGCTTGGGGAAAGTAATGTCACTGAGACAAGAGGAAAGAACGTGTACAGATCCAACACAGTCTTCAATTCTGTGTCAGTGCTACCTACTGCCCTGACGGTGACAAAAATGATGGATGCCGACATATTGGCTATTGTTCCATAGCATTTTAATAAAAGCTCTTAAAATGTACTATTTCAGAAAACGGCATGAACAAAAAGCTTTATATGGATTTAATACCAAGTTACAAACAATAAAGAACATTCAAAATTAATACGTTTTGTTAATGTTTGTTTATTTTGTATGATGGTCACTAAATCACAAATGCATAAATATATTTTCTAAAAAAAACAAAAACAAAAAAAAAACGAGTAAGAACAATTATTGATTCAAAATAAAGAGTGATCAGATATCCAACACAGATACTCACACAAGTGGAAAACAACACTCTTACGGCATGTGGAAGAAGCCATTAAATAGAACGAGAATGTGGTAAGTATCTTGTGCAATTTCAAGTAGCCTACCAGACTGGGACAAAATATGTCTCATTCAAAAGCTTACAGTGGAAATTAATCTAAATATCCCTTCACAAAGCTCACCTAGTATACACTGTGACTGTCAGATGTCAAAAAGCTTCTAATTAGAAATTTAAAAAATGGAATTAAAAAGTCCCAAACAAACTTTGTATGAGTCATTTTATTTCTGTTTTGCTGCCTAGATGCAACATGGAAAACTGGCTAAGGACAGACAAAATGGAGCATGTCTAGTATTCCCAAAAGGGAAAACTGGGAAGAAAGGAGATGACAAATGACATCATGGAAGCCCCACAATTCAATTCTTGTCATACAGTTGCTTACATGTAGAGAGAGAGTTTAGTTTTATAAAGTAAAACTTTATGCTAACTAATAATTATCAGGTTTGGTGCTTGTGTTGCTTAATTTACCAAAAGATAAAAAACATGGAAGCATGACAGCAAATGTAACATACTGACTGGCTTGTGGTTGACTTTCACTATTACGAGGAATGCAAGACATATTACCATTAATTCAATGTCACTTCCAATGATATAAAGCTGGTCCTCCATTGAAAGCTTCCTGTTTAGATGTGCCAGCACGTAGGTGATACCAGGTAAACGCACGGCAGGGCTGGTGAGGAGACTGCCCCAAAGGGCACTGTAGAAAGCAGACTGTTCCACTACTGATGCCACCTTCTCCAGGAGTGTGTTTGTTCTACAATGAATAGAGCATGCAGGGTATTTAAAAAAGGCAGCACACAGAACAATGTTAACATTTTACATTTAACAGAAACCTGGCTACAAGCCCTAGGGAGGTGAATATTCTGTGGTACTGCCACTGTATGACAAGAGAAAGGAGCTTATAAACAGAATGGTCAAATATACCTCTGTAGTAATTAAAAATATGTTTATTGGAACCTTTTATTCACTTTAACATTAAACATATACAGATTATTTGTCTATCTTGTATAGACTGAAACGTTACAATATTCATAAGCTCACTACGGAGAAGTGCTAGCAGTGAGGACACTATTTCTGTAATTCCTTTCATCTTATTTGAAGAAACATGAAGTTGGACCTTCCTCTGAATTATAAAATACACCTAAGAACTTGCTGTAGGAATATATACACAATATTGGATTCCTTTATACTTAGCAAACCTGTCTAGATGGATAGTAATAATATTCCCTCTCTACAAGGTTGACAAATGAAGCGTTGAACCATCAGATTTTTAATATGATGTTTATGATTCAAAGCGATGCATATGCTAGGGTTGCGCTAGGGTGTTCAGTATAAAGAGATTTCTAAAGACAATTAAGAATTTCAGTTTTCTTGATGAAAGTTATATTTTTAATCTTACAAAACAAACAAATACTGCAGTTGTAGTCTAAACACAATATACCAGTAAAACTATTTTTATATAATAAACCAATAAAAGGTTAAACAGTAATTTTATACAATTCTTACTAACTATAACATAATAAAAGACAGACATCTCAACCCAAAAAAAAAAAACACGGTTGTTTTGAGATGCACACTTGTGACCAAATCCTTTTTGGCACTATTGCCACGCGTTCATTCTACTACAATTTCCCTCTGTTTAAAGCAGTACAGTCATGTCCGAATCCAGTTTGTTTGTTTTTAACCCACCTCCCGACTCCACTACATCTAATTGTCCCCCTAGTCACCCCCAAATACCCCTAAGCCCCCATCTTACTTTTTTTTTTGTCCGTACCTGGGTCCTGGGCGCCACCATCTTTGTGTGAATAGATGAAGTCCCTTTGGGACACGTCATATGCCCACACTAGATAGTGCTGGTAAATTCACGTGCATGCCAGGTTAAACACTTGGGCATGTGAACGGGAATTTCATCTATTCATTAATTTGTCGAATAAATGAATAGAAATTTCAAACGAATGAATGAAGACCTCTTCGCTCGTTCGGATTATTACAAGGAGGAAGCTACCGGCTCGCAGCTCCCTCCTTGTAATATGTTAAAATAAAAGTGGCAGGGAGCAGTGCTCCCCGGCACTTCCTAAGCCCCCCATGTCCTCCCTCGCTCAATATGACCCCTATAATAGCATAACGGAGATTAAAATCTCCCGAATGCCACTACTCACTATGCTGCGATTAGGGGCATGTCTACTAAACGGCTTTCAATCAACCAGAGAGTTATGAGTCAAATTACACAGCACGGGAAAATTCCAAAGACCTTTCCCAGGCTGTGTAAAATGACACAGAGCACTCTGATTGGTTGGATTTCAAACCAACCAAAGTGCTCTAAGCCTAATTGCAGGGTGTGGAAAGGCTTTATACTACTGCGCAGTGCCCTCGCTGGGTGAAGATGGATTATTTTTTTAGTGTCGGGTTTTTTCTTCTTGTTGGATTTTTTTTTTGCGTTCTGGTTTTTTATTTTATTTTTAAAATTTTACGGGTATTATGGATTTTTATTTGCCCTTTTTTGGGGCTGAAAAAAGAAGATTTTAGAAAAAAAGAAGACATCAAATGGTAAGTATTTTTTATCTACAGGGATTTCGTTTTCTCGTTCCCCGCTCACTATTTTTAGGGTGAGGGGGGTGGGTAGGTTTTTATTAAAATGTATTTGGGTGGGGGGGGTGACTAGGGGATTGGGGTCCCCTAGTCACCTGGGTGGGGGTATTTACACTTAAGCCCCCACCCGTCGCCCATGGGTGTGGGCCGGAGGGGAGGTCAATAGGCCCCCCCCATTTTCATTTAGGGCCCCCACCCGCCGCTCATGGTTGGTTGATTGAAAGCCCCTGAGCGGTGGGTACCTTAAATTACAATAAGGGGGGGGGCTATTGTCCTACCCCCTGCTCCCACCCATGAGCAATGGGTGGGGGCCCTAAATGAAAATGGGGGGACCTATTGTTCTCCCACCCCTGAGCGGCGGGTGGTGGCTCTAAATTACAATAAGTGGGGGGCCTATTGTCCTGTCCTCCCCCGGCCACCATCCATGAACGGCGGGTGGGGGCCCTAAATGAAAATGGGGGGGACCTATTGTCCTTCCCTCCCCCCTGACCCCACCCTAAGTCCCCGGTTTACTTGAATAGCCCCCACTCGCCTGGCACGGGTGGGAGCTCGGGGTGGAACACTATGTTCCCCCCAGGCTAGTTAAAAGATGCCCCACCATGGACACATTTATTAGGTGTTATTTATTGAAAAACATGAAAGCACGAATGGCCGAACTGCTCTCATTCTGTTTGGACGAACTTCTGTAGTTTTGCCGGCGTTCGGGAATACGGAAAGGAGGAATCGTGAAAACATGGAGGAAAGGTGAGAATTGTGGGAAAATTGCTTTGACCACAGGAAAAGGAGCACACTTTGTTCCTCAGCTGGTCAAAGCTGGTGAAGCGTACGAAATCTCCATAAGACAAAGAAGTTCCTGCTTTGTCTTATGTTTTAAAGAAAACTAGAACAGACAGGAAGAAATGAAGAACAGATCCTGACAGAGGGAGAGAAGAGGAAGCGATTAACCCCTTAAGGACACGACATGTGTGACATGTCATGATTCCCCTTTATTACCAGAAGTTTGGTCCTTAAGGGGTTAAAGAAAGGTAAGTCCGGCATGACAGTGCCGCTTTAACTGCACACACACTTATACATCTTTTCAGTAAGAGAAATAGGGCTTTTTTGATACCATATAAATATACATAACACAATAGTTAACAGGAATACAATATTCAAAAATGGAAGAAAATGTAAAAAAGATTTTTTAATTGTAATAAACTCTACAAGTGTGATTAAAGAAAACTAACTCAAGACATGTTTAAGATTTCAATACATTTTTAGAAGTTAAACAAACATTGCAAGGAGTGAATTATGGTTTTAAAGCTAAAAAAAGCTAAAAAAACCCTTTGCAAAATGTGAGATTACAACTTTTATAGTAGTCACAATCATATATATTTGTAGAAAGTACATTCCCAGGCTATTTAACCAATAGCATTTTGACAATTTTATCATGAACATACATTGATCAGCCACAACATTAAAACCACCTGCCTAACACCGTGTAGGTGTTGCCACAGAGTGTGTATGTATGGGTCTCTGTATGACTATGTATATGTATGACAGTGTCTGAATGTATGTGTATACAGTGATCCGTTGCAACATTAAAACCACCTGCCTAATATCGTGTAGGTCAGCTATGACTCGTCGATGTGAATCACTTGAGGACTACATGACGGTCTATGCTTTCATGCAGTGCAGGGCTATAATGTCCAATGATGACAAACCGTCATGCAGGAAAAGATACCAACACGGGTTAAGTCTCTGCTGGTACCAAGGAACCCAAGGTATCTTTTGATACCCGGGGGTCTCCTCAATCAGCTGGGGCCAGATTTAGTTGCCCCAGACTGACCTTGCAGTGCTAAAAGGGAGTGGTGCATTCAGGGATTTACAAGGGGATTTAAATCCCCATTGTTATAATGTGGTGTGAACAGGTTTAAATCTCCATCATTTTTAGTGGACCCAAATGGACAGGCATGCTGTACGCAGCTCTTTCACTGGGGATTTCCAGGTGTCAATTGATACCTGGGCCTCCCCTCTGTCATCTGAGTCAATTTTTAGTGGCCCCAGACTTTTTGATGAGCTGCATACAAAGTTAGTGCTGCATATAGCCCTTTAAATCCATAGAGAACACTGCAGCTGAGCAATGAAGCTCAGCCAGTGTTTCTCTTACTGGATCTGGAGCTTGGGAGACCCAGGGTCTGAATATATCCTGGAGTGTCTCCCTCCAAGCCCCAATGGCATTTTGATCAGTGCTGGGCTTTAGCAGTTATCCAGCACCGATGCAATGCATTGGGCATATTATATTTAATGTAAAAGATATCAAGCTGTCATACATAAAATAGCCAGTAGATGGTAGCAATATACCACTCTGGTGTATCTTAGAACTTCCTTAACTAATATCAGTACTGATATTAGCATAAGGAAACCATTGGGAATATAAATAAATTAGGGATTAAGATGAGTTAATATTAGGTTTAGATTGAATATTAGGTTTTAGTATTCAGTTTATTACAAGGTTTATATTAAAGATGTGTTTGGAATTCATTTTAAAATTGTGGTTAGGCTTTAGATTAGATTTGAAAAGCCGCCTTACCGGCGAAACGCGCGTCGGGGTTGTAGGAGATTTCTATCTTTTGCTATCTCAGCCTTTACCTTACAACATTAGATCGTATAATTTTTGTTGGGACGTACCGAAAGCATTTGAATTAATTTGATTTATAGATTGTGAGGTTGAGGGTATATTGAGATCCTTCACAATGGATGTTAAAGTGAAGTTTAGTATCTCACCACGCGTATCAAGACAGTTAATTCATATTCAGTTCTGACTTGTATACTGCGGTTAGCTAGCACAGCTTCCTTATTTAGAAAAGTGAAGTCTAGCCTCTTACCACGTGTATCCAGACATTTAATTTAATTTAAGTTATATTCAGTTTTGACCTGTATATTGTAGTTAGCTAGCACAGCTTTCTTATTTTAGAGGTAGGTGCCCTCGAAGGCACAGCAAGACTCCCTTTTCCATATAGCATAATATCTAATCACCCCTATTTATGTCATCACACCAAGTAAAGATAAATCATATCCCTTTAGTTGTGATCTGAACGATTTGTTAAATACTTTGGGTGATAGAGATCTGCTCTAGCCGTGACTTAAATTCTTTCATTTATTAGGGCATCTACTAGCTATCTACTTGCAGTCTGACTAACAGCACAGTTTTTTATTCAGAAGCAGGTGCTCTCAAAGGCACAATAAGATTTGTTTCACTATACAGAGCAATAACATTTAACTTTCTGTATCTTGTGTAACAATATACTTTCTGTATCTTGTGCAAATCATACTGAGCGAATTATACACGTTAGCTAACCAGCCAGACTGACCAGGATCTTTTCATAGACCTTTTTTATTCTAGATCTCCTGAATGAATATGAGCGAGTCAGACTGATAAGGATTTTCTACGGACTCGTTTCATTATTTATTATTTTTTATATCTCCTGTATAAACGTTTAAAATTAAACGGACTAAGGCTCAGACCTAATAATCGATTGCAGATAAACTAATATTTAGACCGAGCAAAGTAATTTAGACTTATTCTACGACTTTGTTTCATTTTATATCTCCTGTATAAACGTTCAAATTTGGACGGACTAAGGCTCAGACTTAATAATCGATTATAGATAAACCAATATTCAGATCGAGCAAAGCAATTTAAACTTATGTCCGTTTATACTAAATTCAGCAAGTGATCGAGACAAAACGAATTGATACATCATCACATTTTGCAACACTAATGTGTATCCAGCTGACATTTTCTAGTTAAACTTCCAATTATAACTACATAGTTATAATACATTTCATGCTAACTGAGACTTTGTGCCAGTAAGCACGATCATTTGTCTGTATATTTTCCTACAAATCTTTTTGTGGGAGACTGAGGTTTTTATAACCAATATTTATTTATTTATTTATTTTCACTTTCTTTGTATATTTCACTTTTATTTTATAGACCTTTCTAAATAAAAGTTACGTTTTAAATGTAATATATTTAGGGCAGTGTTTCTCTTCTTTTCATTATAGGCTTTAGATTAGTGTTTGGAAATCATTTGAACTCAGCAAGAGAATTGCTCTGCTGACATCAACAAAGCGAATCCTTCTAATACTATTTGTAGGGTTAGGACCGAGATTAGGATTAAGGTTAAATTAGGGTTAGGATTAGGTTTATTATTAAATTTGGGATTAGGATTTGGTTTAGAATTGGTATTTAGTTTAGGATTTAGACTGGGAATAATATTGTTACTTTGCAGAGATATACAAATGTTTTGCTTAGTATAGTTAATTTTATATAACATTAGGACACTTGATATAAAAAAAAAAAAAAAAAATTTAAAAAATACAAAGTATAAAATACAGTGTACATTTAAAAACTGAAAAAATAAAAATGAGCACCTCTTAAAGAAAAGAAAATTGTTAAAAAAAAATGGCACTTTAATTGAGCTCAAACTATATCATGTGAGAGTCATTTTCTAGAATTTTGGAGAGGAATATATATAAGTAACTTATAATTTTCCTTCAATTTACAAACAACAGTGTCCACTGCAGCCCTAGAAATTACCCATTGTATGACAGGCTATACAAGATACAGCCCCTGATCAAATACCTGTAAAATGTTTTTGAAAACTACATCCTTGAACAGAAAGCCTGCATAGATGTATGCCTCTTGAAAATCAAGGCAAGATTGCTTTTTAAAGTGGCACTCTCACCACCACCTCCCCTGCAAAATGAGTATTTCATAAAGATAGAATCTTTCTGAAATACTTATATTGACTATGTTGGAATTTCACTAAAATTCAAACCCAGTCACGAAGTGCCAACCCTCTTTAGCCGTCACCAGTGATGGCTGCAAGGAATTGGCTCTTTCTATTGAGAATCCCACGGTGTCGCACAATCTGTTAATGGGACAGGGACACTGCACCCAGACCACTTCAATAAGATGAAGTGGTCTGGGAGCATATAGTGAAATCAGCACTTTTTGTAAAGTGAAAAAAAAAAAGATGATACACTCTTTAAACATAAAGCATTTCAGAAATCTAGGTAAGCGTATTAAGAATGCACAGTATGTCCGTACAGCTGTACTCTGACTATAATAAGAACCAAACGTATAATGCATGTAGCACTCGTTAATATATATGTGTAAAAAACAAGCATGTAGCCCAACTGCAGAACTAAAGCAACAATATACCGTTTGTAGTAATTTCGGAAAAGCATTTTTGCAACGAGTGCAATGCAGTGAATTCGGAATGGGAGCAATGTGTGGGGACAGGAAACTCTATTAATCATAAAATAATTTGTAGTCTACACTAAAATGTTTTGGTATATTCTGCATAGAGATGTATAAATGACAGGAACTATGGCAGAGCAGACATTACACCCAGGAATTATTTTCAAAACAGGTAAATAAAGCAATATATATTAATTGAAAGGATGTTAAATTTCACCCACCTGTCGTAATATTCTGAGCCCTCCTCCAAGCCAGGGAGAATGCCGGTAAGCAATCCTTGCAGTCCTGGTTTTAAGGTCTTACCTAGAGGTAGGTAATAGGTCTCATACAGACTAAGTAATGCTGGTTTTACAGACATAGCAGCGTTTGTAAGTAGAGGAAAAAGGCCAGAGCTGGAGGAAAAGATTGAGAATATTTTAATCATAAAATAAACACGGCATTTAGAGTGAGCAGACGCTGGACGTCCATAGGAAAGCATTCAGTAATGCTTTCTTATTGGCTATTTGAATACGCGAGCGGCTCTTGCAGCGCATGCACATTCGGATCTGATGTCGGCAGGGGGTGGAGAGTTCCCCAGCACAGTGGGAGCCGGGCGCTGGAGAAAGGTAAGTGGCTGAAGGGGTTTTAACCCATTCAGCCCGGCAGGAGGGGGGCCCTGAGGGTGGGGTGGACCCAATAAACCCATAGTGCCTGGTAAACAAGTTTGTTTTCCTTGCACTATAGTGCTCCTTTAATCTTATGGCACTACATGCTTTCCTAGTTTTCAGGAGGCCCCTAAGTATGATTAGTAAGGACTGTTGCCAGTAAGATTTCATGTAGGGTATCGGAAAAAGATGTCTTAATGGGCATATTAGCCAGTCAACTAGTAATGGGTATTTCTTTCAATTTAGACATATACTCTGCCATAGTTACAGCTTGGCTATTTTAACAAAAATGCTGCAATTTAGATTATAGTCCACAGTTTAGTAAATAACTGTAGATTTGACTAATGCAAAGGAATGAACAGTAAATGAAGCAAACCTCAACATGAGTTATCTCATGCAATGCAATGCAATGAATTCTCAGCTATCTGGTCGGGATCTTAACCTCCTATAATAAAGTATGATGTATAAATAAAGGGACTGATGACAGCTGATCTTATGGACTCTTAGATAACATTACACTTTCTGTAACGATAGTTAGTGATCGCAGCAACATTAAAGAAAATGGAAACAATATGCCATATAAGGAAAATGGTGAACATGAATCATAAAATTACAGTTTCATACATTAAAAAAACAAGGAGGAAAAAAAAAGTAGGTTGACTGTTGTTTTAATTACCTGTACAGGAACAGGTCTTTGGCCAGGCGCTTTGGTCCAATAATTTTGAAAATTATTTCGTAAGTTTCCAGTGCTTTCCTGTGAACTCCACCGGGTAATGCTGGGTGAAGGCATTGTGCCAATCTTTTACCTATGGTTAACTTTTTGGGAACAACTTGATACTTTGCATTGTTTTGTAATACCTGAGAAAAAAAGAGAGTCAAATTTGAAACGGATTCCATTATATTCCTATGATATATTGTCAAAATGGACAGGACATGTACAACTGTTGTGTTGTAGTTTCCCGATTCTAATGTAAGCTTGCCAAGGATATACAAAACCATTGTTTTAATAAAGGTTCTGATATGTTTTTGGTCTTAATGGGTTTAATAAACCATCATATTTACACACATAACTTGCTACACAAACTAAAGGCAGTGGATAACATAATCAGAAGACTTAAGAGTAATTGCAGATTACTGTTGTTAGAACAATCAATATAGAAAAGCAGATAAACACTGGTAGTACTGAAAGCACCATATAGTAGCAGAACATATACTAAATTATATTCTTCAATATCCCCGATGAGACCGCTTTTAAAATGATGGGAGAGATTTGCAAAGGACTGTTGCTATCATAGAAGTGGGGCATCAAACGAAGAGAATAATCAGAGACATTCCATTGGTTCCCACCATGATTGAGTCAGTTCTGCACCAGTTATGAAAACCAAGACATCATAAAGACCAAACATGTATTAGAAGCCAAAGAAGACACACTAAAATTCTACATGGCTTTGCTTAAAAAAAAGGTCTCAGAGAAATGAGCAATAATGGAAACAATGTTGACTCATTAAAGAATTAAATAAAACCACAAATTAGGACATTAATAGAAAGGGTAATGAATATGAGGACATAATTTGATGTTCATTGGTAAGGGGAGAATTCAAATTTAAGACCAAAATAGCCGCCATGGAAATGTTCAGATACTTTGGCCTTAAATTTGAAATCCACTTTGAATTCTCACTTTAGTGAATAGCCACGTGCGTGTGAAAGGCTGAAATAGAATACGAGAAATACTACTTTACAAGAAATATTTCATAGACATGTGGATAAACCTTCAAAGAGAAGTAGCAAAGGATAACACAATAAAAAAAATTGAAAATATATAAAGTCACCGAAGAGAAAAGACTGAATAGGCAATATTTTATTATATGGCATACTGATATGTAGTATATTGTATTAATTATCCTCAGTGTACATTAATGTAATGCAGGTAACAGTCTCTATATTTCTGAAAGAAGGATGAACACAGACACAGAGATACATTCCTTTTGCCAAGGGATATAAAAGGCACCCTATGGATCTTAGTTTCTTCATTGAGTTCAGGATCTTCTCCAATTAGCACTGCTCATACATACCTTGTTTAGTTTACCAAGTGCAGATATTAAATCAGCCCATTCGCTGGAATACTCAAAGTTCTTTAACGCTTTATCGACAGCTGCCACATAGTTTCTATATTTGGAGTCACTCAGTAGTTCCAATTCCTCTGTGTTCATTCTCCCACCACGTCCCACTAGAGACCAGCTCGGTGCTCAGCAGAAACCATCACCTGTGGGAGGAGGAATGTGTGACCATTAAACTGCTCTAAAGATATGGATATGCAGATCACCTGTGATGACCAGAATCTGTAAAATCCACCATACTAAACTGTCTGTCTGCACAGCATATATGGAAGACAAAAGCAGAGCCTGCAACAGAAAAATAAATGTGATGCATGAAGATATCTCTGCATAGGTAAAGTCACATTATATAAGAGGAACGCTTTCCTCACTTTTCCCTAAACAGGCTACGCTTATGTCGACGACTAATCTAACTTGCAAAGGCAGCTTTATTGCCATGTGGGGTCTCCAGAGATGTTTTTGTCAAGTTTCAGACGTCATCTTAAACAGCAAGTCCACTGGCAGCATTGATATGGTTGTTGTCTTTATTTAGATCTTTAAAGTACGCAAACAGGTTAATGGAGATGTCTAAAATGTAGATTTCATTATTTTTAAATAATTCATAATAAAAGTAACATTTTATACATCCAATTGACGGGTTTGTTTACTTTATAGATACTGTATTGGGGTTACCACCATTTTTTTGAGGTGGTGAGTTAGAATTTCAAATGGTTTTGGTAGTTAGAGCAGGCAATGCAAATGATTTTTACCATATGGTGCCATGTGAACAGATGGTGTAAAGGCACATGGGCACTTATGTACATATAAGTATGCCCAGTCAACCATGAATTAATAACATCACCTGGACGTGCGACAGGAAATATCACCCCACTGTACGTTTGACACTGATGTTTAGGGGTGTCAGTGAGCCTATTAGCTGGAGAATGTACTGTTAACACAGCTTTTTTAGGTTTTGTTGGTGTTAAATAGCATGCATCAACTAGGGTAAATTGCCTGCTTACCCCATTCAGGATGCCACTGAATTTTACATTTTCTTGAAGTAAAGAAGCTAAACAGTTTACATTTATATAAAAATGGGATAGTTGTATTTGTTCTTATGAAAACACAAACTAAACTAAGAATAGTTTCACATTGAAGATACATTACAATTTTATTTTAAAATAATAGGTGCACACAAAATGTCACACATGCATCTCTGTTGAAGGAATAGGAATTTGCAACTAATGGCATGTTTGTGATAAAGATGTAACGTACATCTGATAAGATCAATAAAAATACAAAATTCAGAGTCAATAATATGCCTCTCTTTTAAACCAGGTCAATGAGCAAGTTCCATGAAAGGAGTGGCTAAACTCATCAGACCAGTAATGTCACTTAATTACTGGAACGAACATGTGCAGGATTAGTGCTCACTATATCACCTTGGTAACAGACGAGACAGTAAGTAGAACAAGTGTGACCGGATGCTACCAAGCAGGAATCGTATCCTTCTGCAGGCTATGAAGAAACACATGTAGTTTTGTTAGGGCTGCTTGTGATTGTATATTCTCCACAAAAAGGCCAGTTAATAAAATAAAAATTAGCACAACTGTAAGATTTCATTGTGCCTTCAATGATAAAAGGAGGTGGTAAATTCCCAGGCATACAGGAACCTCAAAAAAACAAAAAACAATAAAAATTAATTGTATGGCATACTCTTTGCCCCTCCATATTTATTAATGAGAGGGAAAAAAATGAATGCAATTATTTAACAAGCTAAAGGAACACCATGAGCAACATCATAACCACAGCCCACTGCAGTGGTAATGGTGCCAGAAATGAAGCCATACCATAGTAATCTGTATAATCATGTTAGCACAGTTTCACACTTACCTGGATCTCTCCATGCTCCCGTGCGGCTTCTGGTCTTCTCAGAAGTGGTGAAGCCAGATGTAAATATTGTTCAATTGAAGAATTCTTTCTACTTATTCACTGGAAGAGAATGCTTAGCTGACACTCCAAGGCAATAAATGAACACATACTTTGGCATCTCCAGCCGGAGAAGACTGGATGCAACATGTGACCCAGGTAAGCATTAAACCATGCCAAAATGCTTTGACAGATTACTCTAGATGGTTCCACATCACTCCTGGCATTATAACCACTACAGAAAGCTGTATGGGTTATGGTGTTTGGAATGTTCCTCTAACAACAGAAGCCAAATTTAAAATAAATAAATTGTACAAAAATGATGTGTGTGTGTGTGTAGTTAGATATGTATATATACACACACATATCCATACATTCATCCATACCTTCTTTTGTGGTGAATTCATATTGTTACCTTTACTGTGCCTTCACAATTTCCAACTGCTCATATTATATCCTGTCAACCCATAAAATTCTCAATAAAACAGTTTCTAAGTAAGAGCAGAAGCTGTTTAGCATCTATAAATCTGCCTAAATTATGGCCAAGTTTGAAGCACAATGTCTGAAATGGAAAGCTACAGAAAAATCAGTACAAGTCACTTAGAAAAGGCATAAATGTGCTTTTAGACAAATGTAAGCTTATGTAAATATAACATTTGTTTTCCGAAATAGTCACTCTAACTTAAAAAGCACCATTAAGATGCTGCATTATTGCAAAGTGAACCTTGAATGCACACTTACTCATGAGTGTGGATTATTAAAGGGACACTCCAGGCACCCAGACCACTTCTGCCCATTGGAGTGGTCTGGGTGCCAACTCCCACTACCCTTAACCCTGCAACTGCAAAACTGCAATATTTACTTTGCAGGGTTAACTCCTCCTCTAGTGGCTGTCTATTAGACAGCCACTAGAGGGCACTTCCGGGTTTATAGCACACATTAAGGGTGCTATAGCGTCGCTGGACGTCCTCACGCGACTCCAGAGTCGCTGAAATCCCCATAGGAAAGCATTGAAAGCATTTTTAAATGCTTACCTATGGGGAGGTCTGATGTGTGTGCGCGGCATTGCCACGCATGCACATTAGGTCTCTCCCCGCCTCGCATGCGCAATCGGTCTCCCCTGCCGGATGACGTCGGCAGGGGAGAAGCATGGGCGGACCCTGAACGAGCGCCAAGGGACATCGGCGCTGGATACATGTAAATCACGGAAAGGGTTTTAACCCCTTCAGCAACTTGGGATGGGGGGTGGGAAAGAGAGGGGACCTGCAGTGCCAGGAAAACAACTGGAGAGTCCCTTTAATGCAGGGAGGCAACCCCCTTAAGTTGTCAATCAGGCAACTAGAAAGCTCAGTTGTAAGCTAGTGTACCACCATTGGCTGTCTGACATTAGAATGCTGTGCATGCTGCATCAGACGCTGATTTTTCATAGAATGAACATAAGTTACATGGAACTCCTAATCCTGCATGGCTAACAGTGTTGTGGAGAGGTGGAGTTACAGCTCCGGGAGCAGAGTGTTAATCTTCATATGTGCAGCTTTTCATTGCAAAATACTGCACATACAGAGTCCAAGCTTCATTAAAACAATACCTCAAATGACTGAAGTGGTCATGGTGCTTGAAATAACCCTTAAAAATTTATTTTGCTTATTTTCCATCATCTGATAGGCAAGTCAAGGAACTTAAGCATGTGTGCCTCACAGGACCTACCATCTAGAAAACACCTCAAAATATATAAACAACTTGTGAAATTAAAGATTAACTGGGCTCTGGTAGGTTAATGCTAAATTTTATTGAAAGGAATATTACAAACACCATAACCACTAGAGTGTGCACTCCTGGCTTCTTAAATCGGGGTCCGCTGGGTAGCGATCCAATCCTCCACTAGGGTCTTCAGAGAACCAGAAGCTCAAGTTGGTACTCCAGAACTAAACCCTGCAGTGCAGGGCTGACTCATTGACATCACCACCTGATCACTCTCAGCCAATGAGTTCAGCCTTGTACAGCAAGGCTAAACTCAGACTGAGAGCGTCTGACTCTCTAAAGCAGTCATGTCCAAAGTCCGGCCCACATTCCGATTTCATACGGCCCCACAGGTAATTTGGCTAATCTATCTGTTGTGGCACACAGTGCATCCCCGAGCACTCCTCAGGATCCCTGGATCTTTGAACGCCCTGGTCCTGAGCAGTGCTTGGGGCTTCACTGGGGGCCAAGAGATCGCGAGATTTGGTTCCTTCTCCCTGGAGGCAGAGAATGAAGGGACAGAGAATGAAGGGACAGAGAATGAAGGGACAGGATAAAAGAGAGAAGGGACAGGATAAAAGAGAGAAGGGACAGAATAAAAGATGAAATTAAAAGTATGCCGCTTGCAATAAACTTTGCATAAAATAGTTAATTTGCATTTAATTTTAATGGTTCAAAGAATGTCAGGCAAAATGTTTGGCCCTCACGCATGTTCACTTAATCAAATCTGGCCCTCTTTGAAAAAAGTTTGGACACCCCTGCTCTAAAGTCAGAGGTGGGGAGTAGTGTCCGGTGGATCCCAGGTAATAAGATAAATCATTATAAACCGGTTTGACCAATTACATTGTGGTGCGCTGTAATGGCTATAGTGCTTGAAGTGTTGCTTTACGTCTAATAAAAATTTGCTCAAAATGTGTTTATTACATATTTAATAGAACATTCCCATCCACCTTAAAATGCAAATTCCAGAGAGAAACATGGAATATACCTTTCTGGAGATTCTTAAAGCTGCACCCAAGTCACATGTGTCTGACTCACAGGCAAAAGTTTTATGACTGTCCTAAAAGCATATTACACTAAGCATTGTGTCACATGACATTTTACCATGTTACTTGAATATTACTTGGTCGTATGACTGGGAAGTGTTATCGGCAAAGAAGATCTAAGCTTACAAACATAACATTGTACCTGCTTAAAGGAAAAAATCTAAGCATAATAAATACTACAGCCTTTGAGCTACCCTCTAATGTAAGTAGTCAAACCGTTGCCAATGGTTTGACTTCTTACCTGGGGGTAAGAAGCTATAGTGGTTATTGTGCTTGGAGTTCTTAACAAAAAAAATTCTCATGGCTCATGACATGCATTAGTTTTTCGTCCATAAGGATTCTATGGGTATAATTTGATTGGACAAGAAGCGTGAGAAGGGTCAGCAGACCAGATAAGTAAATCCCTTTATTTCCATTCTTTTTATTTATTTATTTTTTTAAAAACATTATGTGTTTATTCAGTTGATAGTTTTGTCATAGAGTCAATCATTACAGAAAGAAAGCATTAGGATTTTCGTGATTATACATCGTTCTTTTTATTAAACTCGGGGGGGCTCTAATCTAAAAAGGAATATAACTAAAAGTTTGTATTCCTAACGCTATAGTGTTCCTTTAAAGAACTCTTGCACCCCATAACAACTTAATCTTGCCTTCAAGCGTTTTAACTCCGAAGTTGGTACCCCGTCACCAAACAGCTCAGTTTTCCCTGTGCTTTCTATGGCCACCATACAGTCTTGGAAAGTTTGCTTTGCTGGCCAGTGATAGGTTGAAAGAATTAGTTGACACCCTTAGCCTATGACCAGCTGTCAGAAAACTTTAATGATACAGTGGTGGCCTGGAGGAAGGAAGAGGCATAGGTACTGAACAGTCAATAAGCTAAATCCAGTACATGAAAGCCAGTAAATTCCAATAAATATTAACTGTCCCCGAACTTTAAACGTGGGCAATGGAGATATGGAATGATAATCACCAAGTAATCTACATGCTTACATTACTATTGAAATTGAGCACTTATGAATTCAGTTTAATTGCACAAGTGTAATTTTTAAGCACACCATTTTCAACACTATTTTACATGGATTTTCATGTTTGTCCTTGCATGTCACAATAACATTGTCTGAATAAGGTACCAATAACCTTGTGTGTGTGTGCCCTTTGACAAAGTTCCTGACCACTGAGAATTATGTCTCCATTGTTTGATTTCATCACATGCATTTTTACAGACCAAGCAAGGCAAAAGAGCATCTTAAAAAGGTAAGATACCTGATTTTTAGCCCACTATAGTGCTGTAAATTTCTCATTTTATCTAGAACTGCTTATGCTCTCTACTGCCTAATGTTAGCTGCAATAAACAAGGGCCAGTTACACTTATCTCTCACTACTGGCATCCTAATTGCAGCCATACATTTACATTTGGAATTCCTGACTATTTTGTTTTACTAAGCTCAATAAAAAGCTCTTATTGGCATCACCAGAACATTCCATCTGTTCCTGGGTTACACAGACAATACCTGCCACCTTCCATTCTCCTTATCCTCTTTGTGGGCCCATTCATTCTCTAAACACAAAGACCCCCACATACAGAGGTTAGGTCGCATCTCCATGAGAATTAATTATTATTATTATTATGATTAAGGTGATGATGAAGCTTTGTGTGAATAATACAAAACACATCTCTCATTTATCATTGTACGGGTTAAATAATGATCCCCCCCCCATCTTGTTATTTGAAGGATATTAATGTCCCCTGTTTAATGGGAGCTAGATGCCTGTACTATCTGTGGGCAGGCCTCTCTCCAGGAGTTTGTCCATAAAGCTACCATCTGACAGTGTATTCCGTCACCGACAGCACTATGACGTCACTCCTCTGTGACATCACTACACGGTGTCATCCACTGCCCCCGGCAAACAGTGCAAATCTCACCTGCTCCGAGGGGCACCGCTCACTGCCCGGCTGACAGCTCCCGGCATGCAAGTCGAATTTTGGGCAAGGGAGGGGTGGGAGAGTGCCGAACACGTCAAATGAAAGCGCCGGAGACTGAAGCCTGACTGCGGGTGAGCCGAATGGGAGCCGCCATGTTAGATGTGGGCAGTTTGCCCTGAAGCTGTTTCAGTCAAACTCTGTAACATGTGATAACAGGTGGAACAACTCGCGGTGGGATTCCCTTACCCCTGTATAAGGCAGTGTACAGGACACAGAGGGGGTATTATTGCCACGGAGCTCAGCCTTACACAGGGGGAGTATTATTGCTGCGGAGCTCTGTTCTAGGCTCAGACACACTAACAATATGGAGCTCCTAGAAAAGAAGAACGTTTGGATAGAAAAGTGGGACAGAGGAATTTGGGCGCAAAATAGGGACTGACCCTTAAAATTCAACACTTGGGAGGCAAGGGAATTATTTGCTGGGATTTAGTAAAGGTTTTTTAATAAACTGTTAAAGGACCACTATAGTGCCAGGAAAACACTCGTTTTCCTGGCACTATAGTGCCCTGAGGAAATAGGGGAAGGCTTAACCCATTCATAAACATAGCAGTTTCTCTGAAACTGCTATGTTTATGAAAAAATGGGTTAACCCTAGCTGGACCAGGCACCCAGACCACTTCATTAAGTTGAAGTGGACTGGGTGCCTAGAGTGGTCCTTCAATTGTGTACTGAGTACCTCCGTTGTAGTCTTCCTTTTTCAGGAAAAATCACTTCAGTGATTATAGCTCCCCACAGACACTAAAACAGGCAACTTTTGGCACTCCAGATGTTTTGGACTGCACCCCCCATGATGCTTTGCCAGCATTATGGGTGTATGAGCATAATGGGGGATGTAGTCCAAAACATCTGGATTGCCGAAGGTTGCCTATCCCTGCACTAGACCATACACGTGCTGGGAACAAGAACTCCCTTTATTCCAGTTGCACCAAGATATTTATACACACAGAGGGTTTATTTGCATAGAATAGGGTAATTAACAGCACATACATTTCCCCATAAAGTCTTCTTTCCATGATTCCTTTTTTTCATGCTGAAAACAACCCTAAGCCCCACCAAAACAAACAAAAGCTCAGCTCTATTTTGTGCATATACAGGGAGTGCAGAATTATTAGGCAAATTAGTATTTTGACCACATCATCCTCTTTATGCATGTTGTCTTACTCCAAGCTGTATAGGCTCGAAAGCCTACTACCAATTAAGCATATTAGGTGATGTGCATCTCTGTAATGAGAAGGGGTGTGGTCTAATGACATCAACACCCTATATCAGGTGTGCATAATTATTAGGCAACTTCCTTTCCTTTGGCAAAATGGGTCAAAAGAAGGACTTGTCAGGCTCAGAAAAGTCAAAAATAGTGAGATATCTTGCAGAGGGATGCAGCACTCTTAAAATTGCAAAGCTTCTGAAGCGTGATCATCGAACAATCAAGCGTTTCATTCAAAATAGTCAACAGGGTCGCAAGAAGCGTGTGGAAAAACCAAGGCGCAAAATAACTGCCCGTGAACTGAGAAAAGTCAAGCGTGCAGCTGCCACGATGCCACTTGCCACCAGTTTGGCCATATTTCAGAACTGCAACATCACTGGAGTGCCCAAAAGCACAAGGTGTGCAATACTCAGAGACATGGCCAAGGTAAGAAAGGCTGAAAGACGACCACCACTGAACAAGACACACAAGCTGAAACGTCAAGACTGGGCCAAGAAATATCTCAAGACTGATTTTTCTAAGGTTTTATGGACTGGTGAAATGAGAGTGAGTCTTGATGGGCCAGATGGATGGGCCCGTGGCTGGATTGGTAAAGGGCAGAGAGCTCCAGTCCGACTCAGACGCCAGCAAGGTGGAGGTGGAGTACTGGTTTGGGCTGGTATCATCAAAGATGAGCTTGTGGGGCCTTTTAGGGTTGAGGATGGAGTCAAGCTCAACTCCCAGTCCTACTGCCAGTTCCTGGAAGACACCTTCTTCAAGCAGTGGTACAGGAAGAAGTCTGCATCCTTCAAGAAAAACATGATTTTCATGCAGGACAATGCTCCATCACACGCGTCCAAGTACTCCACAGCGTGGCTGGCAAGAAAGGGTATAAAAGAAGAAAATCTAATGACATGGCCTCCTTGTTCACCTGATCTGAACCCCATTGAGAACCTGTGGTCCATCATCAAATGTGAGATTTACAAGGAGGGAAAACAGTACACCTCTCTGAACAGTGTCTGGGAGGCTGTGGTTGCTGCTGCACGCAATGTTGATGGTGAACAGATCAAAACACTGACAGAATCCATGGATGGCAGGCTTTTGAGTGTCCTTGCAAAGAAAGGTGGCTATATTGGTCACTGATTTGTTTTTGTTTTGTTTTTGAATGTCAGAAATGTATATTTGTGAATGTTGAGATGTTATATTGGTTTCACTGGTAATAATAAATAATTGAAATGGGTATATATTTGTTTTTTGTTAAGTTGCCTAATAATTATGCACAGTAATAGTCACCTGCACACACAGATATCCCCCTAACATAGCTATAACTAAAAACAAACTAAAAACTACTTCCAAAAATATTCAGCTTTGATATTAATGAGTTTTTTGGGTTCATTGAGAACATGGTTGTTGTTCAATAATAAAATTAATCCTCAAAAATACAACTTGCCTAATAATTCTGTACTCCCTGTAATTCTAACAACCTGAAACAATGAAGTCTCATTCCCACCCAAGTAAGAGAAATCATGGGTTCAGGACAGGATCAGTCACAGAGGGCAGCAAATTTAAACTGCTCTGGAAGAGTCCCCTGAAAAAAATAGGACAACATCATGCCTGGAAAACAATAAGACAAGAGAGTGGGGAAGAAAATAACTAACAACAAACAGATTATACACTCCCTGTACCTATAATGAGCACAGAGTTACTAAATCATGAGAGTAATCTGGGGACCTACATAAAGTATCAATTTTCTGTCCCCAGTGATGGTGACTACCGTCACACATATGTTGGTTCAAAATTGAAGATAATTTGAAGATTGAAGATTGAAGCTTTAGTGTACTAATTATCTTAATTTTAATAATGACAGGAGGCTAATATTTTGCTTAATCTTTCTTTACCAACTCCATATAGCAGCAAAGAAAAGTAATGAAAACTGCAAAGCACTCAAACACAAGCAATGTATATAAGAGGCGTGTATAATTGAAGCACTTCCTCTTCAACTGCGACATCAAAAGTCCATGAATCCACTTTAACTGTAGACGTACAATGTGCTTTAAATCCAAACAACGAACATCAGGAGTCAGGACAAATATCCCATGAACTGGACTGTCGATCATCTGCGGTGTCCAATTATGCTGAAAGAGAGTATAAACCGTTTTAATTTACTGAATGGGCTGCATGAAGCATATGTCCTCTGAGATAAGAGAGAAAAAGTAGGGTTTGCAGCGGGATGAAAATAGAATGTCTGGAATGTAGATTAACAAGTCCTATCCGCTCCGCGCACCAAATGCGCCCTTAATGTTGGATCTATACCCGCCAGAGAGAGAAAAGCAACAAATGAATCTGGCCAGAGTCGTGACTGAAACAAGGCGAGATAAAGGAGACAGCAACTTTGCGGTAGCCTCCATATAGCAGCGGAGGGTCCATATCACACAGAAATGAGGGTCCGAAAGGAAAAAGGGATAAAAAAAAATGAGGTGGAGTCCAATGTGGTCCGCCATGAACACTCCTTGGGCAAAACACTCCCTTACACTGGTTGTTAACCCCTTGGGCAAAACACGAATTCATCTGTGTCAAATGTCCAAAACCCATTTAAAAGGAGAATAAGCAGAGAAGAAAGGTAAACATGACTGTAAGCTGGCGCAGGGATAGCCTGTTGCTAGGGGACCAATCACGTAAAAATTGGAGGACGATTCCGACGTTCCATAGCCGTGCGTAATTAGGTCCCGGAGGATGCTGCAGACACATGACGCAAAGAAGACAATAAACGAGGGGATCTTCGCCCACGGGAGTCCCCTGTAGAGAAATATGAGCCAGTGAAATGGCTGATCGCAGCACGTTGATCGAGCGATATGACTTCCCTGATGAAAAAAGGGAAGAGAGTAAATTCAGAATAGCGGAAACAGGGACAGGGAAAAGTTCCGTCTCACACACCAAACAGACCAAGTTGGTCAGGCTGAGTGATAGCATTGCTGATATTCGTACATCAGGTAAATTATATAAATAATTATAAGACTCAAAAGCTTTTTCAATGTCTAAGGCAGAAAGATGTTATTTTTTTTAATAATTGATGTGGAATCAATCAATTAATTGATTATCTTGCGTATCTGCCCCTGGACAAATTAAAGAAGTAATGCGTGCACGCTCCTAATGTAATACACACCAGACACCAGTTTCGGGTTAATGAAAAACTTGAGGAATATTTATTCTGAGGGGACGGCATGCCCCTTATAAAGCAAAATTACATCATATGCATTATCAGAGATAACATGGAATAATACACCAATAATTGGTTAGGTGTTAAGTGGTTCATTTATTGCTCTTCCTACCGGGTGTGAACCTAGAACTTAGCCCTTTGAGTCCTTTTTATACTGTGGCTTGTTAGGATGGTAGCCTTGCCCCCATCCATTTTAAAACCAGAAGGGGATATAACATATCCAAGGAACTGTATCTCAGTCTGGTCAAACTGGCATTTTTCAAGCTTACAATATAAGCCGTTCTTTAACAAGGTTTTGAGCACGATTCTCACATGTTCGTGATGTGTTTCTAGATCTGGGGAATAGATGAGAATGTCATCTAGATACACCAGTACGAACATGTGGAGATATTCTCTAAGGACATCGTTTATAAAATCCTGAAATAACGCTGGGGCGTTGCATAAGCCAAACGGCATAACCAGATATCCATAATGTCCCGTTCTCGTATTAAACGCTGTCATCCACTCATGTCCCTCCTTAATTCTGACTAGGTTGTATGCACTCCTTAGATCGAGTTTAGTGAATACTCTGGCACCTTTCAACCTGTCGAATAACTCAGAAATAAGGGGAATGGGGTAGGCATTTTTTATTGTTATTTTATTTAGACCTCTATAGTCGATGCAAGAGCGTAGGTCTCCTTCTTTTTTGGATACGAAGAAGAACCCAGCCCTAGCAGGTGAAGAGGTCCTTTGTATGTGGCCCTTTCTTAGAGCGTCTTTAATGTATTCCTCTAAGCAAAGGGTTTCTTGAGGAGACAGTGCATAAATTCCTCCTTTAGGAGGCATAGTGCCTGGTAACAAATGTATGGCACAATCATAGGGTCTGTGTGGAGGTAATACCTCAGACTGAACCTTGTTAAATACTTTCTTTAAGTCCAAATACTGTGGTGGGATTTCTGTGGTTAAAGGAGGCGCTATAGGTACATTGATGGTACCAATTCGTTGTGGCATCTGTAGTAAACAATGACCTCTGCAATTCTCTCCCCAACTCACAATTTCTCCTTTCACCCAATCCAAACGTGGATTGTGTTTCTGGAGCCAAGGAAAACCGAGTATTATCGGACATGTAGGGGAAGATATAATTTGAAAAACCGTTTCCTCAGAATGTAAGACACCTACTGAGACAGTGATTGGCAGTGTTTTGTGCGTGATAAGAGGTTGAGTAAGAGGTCTCCTGTTGATAGCCTCTACTGCTATCGGTCTATCTTTCTGCCTTAAAGGCAGGAGATGTTTGGCAGAAAATTCCTTATCAAGGAAATTCTCCGCTGCCCCAGAGTCAATCATTGCCTCACACTGAACTGTAGTTTTCTTACAAGACAGAGTAATTTTTATAAGAAAGCGGTTCTTAGTCAATTTAGGGGACATATACATCACACCTAAGGTCGGTCCCCGAACGTGCCTTAGGTGCGCAAGTTTTCTGGCCGAACCGGACATGAAAGCCTTTGATGTCCTCTCTTGCCACAATACAGGTATAACCCCTCATTGTGTCTGTGTTGTCTCTCTGCCTCAGTTAGTTTAGCAATGCCCAATTGCATGGGTTCAGCTTCTGGAGGTGGAGCAGGACTAGTAATCACTGGGTTAGAGAAACGAGGAGCTATAGACAAGTTTGTACGTCTAGTATGTTGTTTGTTTTTCTCCCTCTCTCTGAGCCTATTGTCAATGTCAATCATGTATGCAATAAAATCATTAAGATTAACCGTAAGGTCTCTGGCTGCGGTCTCACCTTCTATATTTTCCGCTAAACCTTCAGAAAAAGCAGCCACCAAACCACTATTGGTCCAGTCAACCTCAGATGCTAATGTCCTGAACTCTATGGCGTAATCAGCTACAGAGCGGGTACCTTGTTTTATTCTCATTCAGGCTCTGGCAGCGTTTTTCTCTCTTTCCTTTGGCTCAAAAGTAGCTTTAAATGCCGTTAGGAATTCATTATAATCACGAGCAACTGGATTTCCACTCTATCATAAGGGATTGGCCCAGGTTAAAGCCTTGCCCGTTAATTGGTTCAAAAGATAGCCAATCTTTGATCTATCTGTAGGGAAGGAACCCGGGGAAGCCTCGAAATGATATTCGATTTGGTTAAGGTAACCTCTGAATTCCTTAGAATCACCTCCAAAACGAGGCGGAGGTGAAAGAGTTATGGGTGGAGGTTTATATACCGCAGGTATAGGTGGCAGAGCTACAGGTGGTACCAGGGGTGCCTTCCGATAAGCAGTTCTCTGGAGCAAGGTATGGAACGCTTGGGCAAACTGATCTAACCTGTGGTCCATATCCTCCACCCTGCCGTCACAGGCTATCATATGTTTACATAGTTCCGCAGGATCCATGGCCATGTCGTAATGTCACGACTGCTAGTGTGGTCCAACACGCAGAAACTATGTAAAGGTACTGGGGTGAATCAGGGATTTAAATATCCCTCTCTAGGCTCTGATTGGTCAGAGGGTGACCTCTGACCCCAGAACGTGCGTGTGCGTTGACGTTGTGACGTCACGCGCACGTTCGTATAATTTGGGGGGGCAGAGCCATTTATGGACGCGACCTCATGGTCGGCACCATCTTGGTTTTTCCCGAGCGGCGTGGAGGAGCGGTTGCCGGCTCACCGCTGAGCAGGTAAGCTCAGCATGCTGGCGTGGTCGATATCCAGGAGGAGGGCACCCAGGAAGTAAGCTATCCTAAAGCTTACTTTAGGATAGCTTACTTCCTGGATGGGGTAGGTGTTTTTTGTCCCAAAATCGGCAGGACAGTCCTGATTTTCAGGTCCTGTCTCGCCATCACTCCTTAGTCCACTGGTGTCCTGGTTTTGAAAACACCACGGAACTGTCCCCAACATTCATACCATTAACGCGTCAAAAGACACTCTTGCGCTATGTTTAGGGCACTAGGACCCTGCAAGGAGCACTAAAAGTGCCATTAACTTGGGGGAGTCCACACCTTTGGTGACCCTTTTACTTCCCTTCCACTTGTATTCCACAGGCGTGCAAGCATACTCACTGCTAGACACATTTTCAGGCAAATACACAGCTACACAATGCCAGACATGCACACACAGGTAGCAATACACACTGACACACACTGTGGTTGTCTGTATCTCTTAATGTGTATCTCTTAATGTGTATCTCTGTGCATCAGTGTGTTTGTGTGTACATGTGTGCGAATATCAGTGTGTATTTGTGTGTGTGTATATCAGTCTGTATTTGTGTGCATGTACCACACAGTGTACACACACACATACACAACTGAGAAATGAGTACATATGCCAAATATAATGTTCACTGATCAGCCACAACATTCAAACCACTGACAGGTGAAGTGAATAATTTTGATTATATCGTTACAATAACAACAGTCAACGGTCAAGGGGTGAACACTCCAACACTTCATTTTTTTTCATATGTTAAAATCAGGAAGAATGGGCAAGCGAAAAAACTGAGTGACTTTGACTAGGGCAAAATAATGATGGCTAGATGATTGGGCTGGCTGTTTCCCCTACTCTTTCACCAAAGGTAAGAAGAAGGGTGGGGGGATGAAGATTTGTATAATGTATAGTATAATTTAAAAAAATAACACATTTGCTACCTGCTTCCCTCAAACTCTGCAACACACACACAGCACCCTTCCCCCCCCTGCAAACAGCACCTCTCAAACACAGAGCTCCCCTCCACACACACACACACACACACACACAGTACTTCTGACACACAGCACTCCTCACAAACACAGCACCCCCCTCACACACACAGCACCACCCCACCCACACAGTACACACACTCTCACACACAGCACCCCCCACACACAGCACCTCTCAGACACACACACACAGCTACCCTCACACACACACAGCATCCCTCACACACACAGCACCAGACACAGCACCCCTCACAAACACACACACACACATACACTGCAACCCTCAATGCAGTATGTATGTGTGTGTATCCAGCAGTCTGTATGTATTCAGCAGTCTGTGTGTGTGAATTCAGCTGACTCTGTGTGTGTGCGTGTGTATTTAGCATACTGTGTGTATGTATTCAGCAGCCTGTCTGTGTGCACTCAGCAGTCTGCCTGTGTGTATTCAGCAGTGTGTGTATTCAGACCACCCCCGGGTTAGCCCCACCATATTGAGAATTTTAACAAAATATAATTTAATTTGTTAGATCTTTGTTAGATCAGGTTTGATCAACATTTTTTTTCTTTAGATCTACTCTAAAATATGTGATATTAACAATCATTTTCAGGGGGGCTAACCCG